CCGCAACAGGAGAGGCAGGTGTAAGACGTCGTTTGTCATCACCACGTTTGCGTCTCTTTGTTTTGGAAGCTTCCCATTCAGAATGAATCAATGTTTCCAACCTTGACAAAGCTGTCTTGAACCTTGCAGAAAAAGCTGTTGTACCTTCGTGTGGACGTTTCTTCAGGTGAAATAAGATATCATCAATTGACTCATGCAGCTCAACTTCAGGTAAGTGCCGGTAGTGCTTGTCTAAACATTCCAGCACAGTCAACCATCCACGGTCAGAGCGAACATCAGCAATTGATAGATGTTCAGTGCAGCGCCAAGCTTCGCCAGACAACCTGCTAAGTAGCTTGGGACCAGCAAGACACTGATGTTTGTCCTCCAAGGCGGCCACACTCAGAATCACCTTTCGCCTGAATTCCCTGTATTGCCCAGGACGGCCATCGAAGGTCAATTCCTTGAAAGGATCACGTGTGTCCATTGCTATGACACACCAACGGACAGGACTGTCCAATTGTATGCACCCAAAAAAACCAGGTGCCACACCAAGGGTACAGTGAAGTACCTCTTCCGGTTGTAGCTCAAGGCCACTAGAGCTCGCAGCTCACGCTACCATGATAAATCGGCAAGGGAATGTGCAAGTGCACCACGCTGTTTGTACCTTCACCTGCAAAGTCATGTAGCCCAACGCTATTGCGTCAGGCTCAAGGCCCCTTCGGACCGAAAGGATGCAGCAGCGGTCGACCATGTCATACCTTCGGAAATGGGACATCCATGTCTCCGTTTTCGTTTCATCAATATATATATATTTATATTATAAATATATAATAATAATAATTTATATTTATTTAATAAATAATAATAATATATTTTATTTAATGTATTTTATATAATATATGTAATATAATATTTATAATATAATAATAATGGTGGTAATACAGATAATGATAATAAAACATAATAATAATAACAACAACAACAATATTAATAACAATAATAATAATAATATATTTATATATAATATATAGATCATAATGTATATATATATATCATATATAACATCTATATACATATATATATATATATATATCTAATATATATATATATATATCTAATATATATATATATTTAAAATATATCATATGTATAAATAATATATATATATATATTATAACCAACATTTTAACAGGACTCAATGGTTTGTATGAACAATTGGGGCTCACGTGACATAATCCCAGTACCAGGGGCATACCCAATAATACAACCATATGGGGACGGTAACTTTGGTTTTTGTTGTTGTAACCAGGGTGATTACCTGTAGTTTCATGGAACTCGGGTGCTTTGTGAGCTATACTCAGGCTGCCAACCATTTTCGCAAGTGTGGGAAAACATCTTTGTGGATGGTTTGATCCGGAAATTGTGACCCGGGACACCACGAGGTATTTAAATCATTATTATTTTTTTGTACTCTCCTTACTCTCCTGCAAATAAACATATATATATATATGTATATAGATATGGAAAACCAATGGTTTCTCCAGGAAAATTATCTACATTTCTGGTGGGTTTTCCGTATAGATTTGTGAAACTACTGGAGGGGTGATATTTTTGGGTGGAAGGATGATTCTGGAACACATTCCAGGATCTACTTTTTAAAAATGTTCTTTACCCGTTGTTCATGTTCACCCGTGCTTTACGCAGTTTTTCCGCCAGGGCCATCCATTCAAGGAGCTGGATCTAAATCCAGCTGCTGTGTACACTAAAAAGCGCCGCACTCAGCGGTGCTGTCTGAATTGGAAACAGCTCTGTCCAACGAGTTGCAACTGGGGGATGTGACTTCACACTGCGATTTGATGTCCCTCTCTTTTATGTCCATCTCAGAAAAATGACTTTCAGCGAGATACAGTTCGTGGTTTTGGAAACCGGAATGCCGCTTGAGTTGGTCACAGACTTGTAGAGTTGCTACCTTCTTGGTATATTTATATGTTTGGTTGTTTGGGGTTGGCCCTGCCAATGGTCATTTCAGCCACTGAGAGCGACCTCCTGAGCCACCTTCCAAGATTCCTCCGTTTTTCAAGTGCAACACTTGGAGGTTTCCCTAAAGTGTGGGTATCCCCAGTGGTCACCAGGATTTTCAATACTAAGTCAGTCATGATAGTCATGGTCACCCGTGACGATTGGATGAGGACTGGGGTACCCCATGACGTCGCAAACCGGTGAGGTTTCGAATGAATGGCGAGGCCAGCCTTCGTGCCCGCTTGAGCAAATCAGTCTGGAGCTTAGGGCCCGTGGGGTGATCGGCCGTTCCTGGTTCAAAAGGGTTTATGTGTATGTGTACATAGTATGTTAATTATAATATGTGTATATATATATATTATGTACCTATGACAGGAACCCTATGAAAAACCAAGTAAAGAGATGACTCAAGCTCTTGGACCTGTTTCATGGGTTATCGACTAATTTGGAGTGTCTGTCAATTTGTGCGCACTGAAGTGTGAACTTACGTATATTCATATATATACATATATATATATATGCATACATACATACATACATACATACATACATACATACATACATACATACATACATATACATACATACATACATACATACATACATACATACATACATACATACATACATACATACATACATACATACATACATACATACATACATACATACATACATACATACATACATACATACATACATACATACATACATACATACATACATACATACATACATACATACATACATACATACATACATACATACATACATACATACATACATACATACATACATACATACATACATACATACACATATATACATATATATACACATAAATATACATATAGAAAGATATACATATAAAGATATATACATACATATAAAGATATATACATACATATATATATATATACATATATATATATATACATATATATATATACACATACATAAGATTCAATTGTATAACGGCACAATCTGAACAGTATTGAGTTGATCCCTTCAAGAAGTGCTCGAACCGAGACCCGGGGACCGGGATTTGGCCAAGTGAGATGAGCCGCACCGCTGTGCTTTTTGGCGCCGCAGCAAATGCGCGCCCCCTGGGGGTTTTGCGTCCAGCTGACCGCGAAATGCGGGACAGCCATGGATGCGTCATCCTGAGAGTGTGTGGTTATTATGGGGAAGTATTGAAACAAGTCAAGAAGAAAAGACACCGAGAAAAGGAGTCCCATAGGTAATTCAGGTCAAGTTACAATTTAATCACATTTGCTATAATTTGTAGATTGGAACTGTAGACTTCTGTCCGTTTCATTGAGTACAGTTCCTTTCAGAGCGAAGTTGCCCATCCCCAAGTGTTTAACTACCCAACAAAGGATTTTAACCAAACAATAAGAGTTTGCACCCCATAGTAATGAGTATGTTAATGGGATGATGTAAAATGATTCCCTTTTATGGTGGGTAACCGGACAGCTTATTATTGGGGTGACCTCACTAAGTTTGTTGGTGACAGGCTGGGAAAACTGTTAAGGATATAATCACCAAAGATCCACAAGGGGATATCAACCAAAAGATGGCTCAAGACCTGGTTGTATGTGAACACCGAGGCAGAGGGCCTGGAAATTGATTGTGATTGTTGGACCCTGTTTATAGGTCCTTTTATAGGTGGTGCAGGGCCCCATCATTGTGGGAGTTTGATGTTTTACTTTGCATTGACGCTCCCAAGGATGAGCCTTTCTTTGCATTGCACAACTCTTTATCCGATTCTACGAAGTGGATTCGGCAACCAATTACATCCTCTCCCGTTGGAGGGGGCTTCGCTATGCAACCCTTTTTTTTTTTTGGCATGGCAAAAGCTCATGGGGATCAATTCTCTCGGAAAATATCGGAGGCAGCTGCTTGGGACCCCAATTCTCAAAGACCAGGGATGGGTCCTCCAAGTTGTGCAAAGTCGTGGACTGAAGCTTTGCATCATGTCCATCATGTCCTAGCAGTTGATCACGTTGTGATCTTTGAGCCCCTTTGATGTGTTCGTTTTCAATCATGTCAATGGACAGCAAATACATGTGGCAGAGAAAGTGGACAAGCCTAGAAGTTTACCTTGACATCCCTGAATCGATAGACATGTTGTTTGCATGCAAGTTCGAAGACTCTTTAATTGAGTTTTCACTTTCACCTACAGAACTTAACGTCAGGGGGCACTCACAGAGTCCGTGGAGAATTCTTCAGGGAAGCTTGATCAACTCAACTGCGCTGAGAACTGCTTTGGGGCGTTGCATTGTGGCCAGAACAGGCGTGGTGAGGTTGTAGGACTTGATCCTTCCAGTCATCCTACGATTGCTATGAATGGCTTTTGACTCTCACATATGTTGCTGAGGATCTATTAAAACCAGCAAACATGTGGTTGAATGTAGAAACAGGTGTATTCACATCAACTCGCATGGTATTGATGGGGTTACAAGTACAGTACCATCGCCAGTGGCTTGCCAGCGAGTTGATTTCCAGATTTTTCATCTGCACCTCACACCCAAGACCTGGATTGCAGTGATTTCTATGTTTGGTTGACTCAGACGTATTGAATCCAAAGTCAGCACGAGAGGATCTTTCACCAATCAACAGGGCGATTTCAGGACTAGAGGGGTTGCTAAAAACTTGCGGGACGCTTAAATCCACCAAAGATAGTCAGATAGTCTATCCCTTTTGTAGGGGCAGCTCCCATTCTTGGGAGATAATGAAGGTTTGGTCTGAAAAGAGGGTATTCCAAATTTGGTGTTTTCTTCTTCATTTTCTGTTAAAGTACCAATGGAAAATCGGATAGAATTCCCCATTCAGGTTCCATACTTTTTTCCCATTGGAACTCCGCTTCTGTAGGATTTTCAATTGCATTACCAAATACCATCTGAGGGTATCTCCAGTGTTCCGATCCAGCGATGTGGACGCACTGCCACAGGTGGTTTTCCCTGCGGCCGCAATGGGGCAGTTGACGGGCCACTGCCATGCCGCAGGCAATGAAGCTGGTCATTTGCTCTCGATGTCCACTCCAGATGAAGCTCCTGTTGACCACGCAGTTTACAGTGAATTTGCCATCAAACATATAAGAATTATGAGGATTATATTCACGTCGCTTCGCGACGGCAACCGCCCGCACCGCATCGTTGGGCTCAAAGTACTGATTGTCGGAAAAAAAAACGCGAAGAATTTGATAGCCATGTATAGCGGACCAACGCAGTTCAAAAAATAACGAAAAACATGAAAAAACGGCGAAATTGCTGTTATTTACAGTGTTTTTGCGCGGTGAGAAGCAGAAACCACTGCAAATACCATGGTTTTTGAGGGTCAGGTGGCCAAAAACACTGTAATTTACAGTGTTTTTTTAACCAACGTCAAAAAACACTGGTATTTACGATGTTTTCATTCACACCGTAACATAAAACAGCGTAATTTACGAGGTTTTTGGAAGTTTTGAAGCTAGCCGTCAAGCATGCAGAAAACAGAAAAACACTGTAAAAACCAGTGTTTCTGCTATCACAAAACGACGAAAATCAGTCCGAAAACGGGTCCAAAAACTCAAAAATCCGCCTCCGGGCCAGGCCACCTGCGGAACCGCAAAAAAAGATGTTGCAAACCAAAAAATTGAGGTCAAAAAGTTGAAAAACACGGTTTTTTTTCACTTTTCGCTTGCCGATTTTGGACGGGCGCGTTCACGAACAGGTGTCTTCCGTACTGTTTTTTACAGTGTTTTTTGAAGGCGAGCGTCACGACCTATCAAAAACAGGAGGTTTTGGCCGAAAAATGCCCCCCCCCCAGGTAAACCTGTAACCTTTTACGAGTGCCATCCGGACGATCACGCCCCAGCACCTTCGGTGCGGGCGGATTTTACCATTTTGAGATTTTTGGGTCTTAGGGGAAGATAATTGAGGATTATTGATTTGGGGGGATTACTTCTCAAACCTTTTTTTAAAACTATCAAGATGGTTTTGGTCCCAATTTGTAGAATCATATTTGAAGCGTGGCTCCCAGGCAGCTGACTGTTGATCTCTTCGCCAGGAGGTGGAGCTTCTGATTAAGATCCTCTCGGCACGAGGATTGCGGGATGCAGCCCCTGATTTGTGGCTCGGAGAGCGGAAGATTGGTGGAAGATTGGTGGAAGATTGGTGGAAGATTGGTGGAAGATTGGTGGAAGATTGGTGGAAGATTGGTGGATATGGGTCATTTGAAGGTAGGGGTGCTATGACCTGCTAGGACTTGAGGGTGTTTAAGACAGAAAAAAGACTTGTGCTTTTTCAACAGCTTCTCACAGACAAATCAAATGCAAACACGGACTGGAACCTTGGTTGGATAAGCCAGACGCTCTTGCAGTCGGAAGTAGCCCACCGCAATTCTGCCAACAAAGGCTTGGTAGGAGCTACTACCACTGCTCCAGGCCCTCTTTGTTTCATGGGTACCCTCAAAATTAGTCAGTTGACACCGAGGTTTGGCCTTCAGGCAGCCTATGCACTTCCACATCGAGATGTGTCGCATCCCCCGATGCAGAAGCCGGGAAGGCCGAGCGACCAGCTATGACCAGATCCTTTCTTTTTCTTTTGGGGCATCGATGTTTGTTTTTTTCCCGGCCCCTGTGGTTCCACTAGAGATTCCCATTTTCCAGTGCTTTCCAGTCTCAGTTGCGAGCGCAAGGCAGACGATGGAACCGCGTCGGCCTTGGTCGAAACAGACCACCTGGGAGAATCAGAATTTCATACGAATAACATGCTATTTTGAATGCCAAAACCACCAGGTTCTAGATTTGATATTCGTTCATTGTCCATAATGTCCCCATAATTTGTTGAACATGCCATGACAATGATCACACCCCAAGGTTGGTTTGTTAAGCTTGCTTCAATCAGTTCAATCCTCGATTTCTAGTTGATCAACTCCCTAGATTTTGGTTGATCCATAGTTTAAGGAATCTTTGGTTCATGAATTCCCCGAGTTTTTGATTCTCGAAATCCCAAATGATGTCCTTGAAGTCCCAAATGTTGTTCAGTTTTTTGCTTCATTAAAATCATCTTACATCCCCCAAATCATCTTATATCCCCAACAAAAATAGCCCCTAGATTCCCTAGATTTGCATAATTTGCTTGTCACCTTAGGATCCCTTAGGTACTGCATCTGCGAGATCATGGGCCGCGACGATGGGGACGCCCCCAGCGTGCGCACCGCTCCGCTGGCGGAGGAGGATTCACCGCAGTGGAATCACAAGACGCCCAGCCGAACGGAAAGCGGGGCTTTCCGCAGTTCGGGGGATGAAAATTACGTGGGATTTCACCATGGATATAGGGCTTTTAAAGGATCAAGATCTGGGAATCTAGTTGATAAACTGATAAATTATGTTTTGATTCAATTGATGGTTGATGGTCAATGGATTGATTGAAGGGAACATCTCCACGAAAGCAGGGTCTTTTGCTCCCAAATATACGGTAGTAATATTTGTGGACAATTTGGTGCGAACAAAATGTTTGAAGATGTTTTTGGAGCCCCTTTTGTTCCATCCAAACTTATCAAAATCCCATTCCCATTCGGTCATTTTTGGACAGTCAGTGTATTTGAAGTTTGTTGTCCCTGACTCTTGCCCTTCATGAGTCTGAGAGCCAAGGAAGAAGATGGTGATACTTGAGGCTGGCACCGCACTGCTGTATCCAAGTGGTGTTGCTTCAGTCACAGTCTGCAACTCATCTTATCCAGTCAGATAATGTGTTAAAACCGTGCCACGCCCTGACTGCCGAAGGGAGACACACTGATCTTCATGGTGAATTGGAAGGAGCTTCGGCGGGATTTGCTTGCTGTTAAAAAGTTTGGGATGGCAAACTGGTGGTGGTTTGTTTGGGTATGAGAGCAGAAGTTTCAGCGACGTTACAAAGCAGAAGGTAAGGTGTATGTATGTCCTTCAAGCATGGCTTCTTCGCAACTGGCAAAATACTTCAAACCAACAAGCATCGCTGCAAATGCTTTCAGCCTGTCTTGCAGAGCAGTCTTTTTCATGGACATTGTCACTCCCATTCTACCAGCGCAGCTGTGAGAGTCCGTTTTGGAAGGATGATGACTCTGAGGATGACTTGATTGGCCAGAGTCTCTGGATTTACCAGGGGAGCAAAACTGGTTTAGCAATTTTTAGTGTAGAAACGATCCAGGTTTTCAAGGGTTTCCCACTACTGGGCTATCTAATTCCTCGACATGGGAGGATGTGTGAAACAGCTGCTTCTATCAAAGAACATCAGTGAGGGGGAAACAGCTGTGGATTTGGGCTGGGATGCGGGAGAATGGTGGCCCACGGAAGGCAGGACCATTCTAAGGACTTGCACGCTTTTTTTGATGTTTCAAATTGGAAAGCTCAAGATTCACATGATCTTCCAAGACTTGTGAGTTTTAAGGAAAACCACAGGATATCTCTGAGCCTGTAAATCAACCATGTATCCAGTCGACTCCCACGCCACAGCACTGAGGTTGGGCCAAGCTGGATTTTGATTCGCTGATGCCCACAGGTTAGGAACAGGGTCTCATGGTTTCACGATGTTTCACGGCCCATTTTGGAAGGGAAACCTCTTGGGCTATATCCAAAACATCGGGGATATGCCAGAAGACAGAGGTTTATGGGATCCCATTCATTGGTCCCAGATTGTCGGACACATAACTTGTGAAACCTGGTCTTGCCAACAGAAGTAATCAAAGTAATCACCGACGCATGGGAATTCTCAGCGTGGTGTCTCAATCTTGGCACCTGTGAGTTCCAGCGTCAGATGACCCCAGCTTTACACATCATATGGGTTTGTCTGAACATGGGGTGTAAATGGGAATAATGATAATAATACTGATAATAGTAAATAGCAGTAATAATAGTATAGTAACAACAGTAACAGTAATAATAACAACAACAATAAGAATATCAAACATAGTTATAATAGTCATAATAATATATCATCATCCTAATCGTCCGAACTGGGGGTACTCGATTTTCTGATCCCGCTCAGCGCCTTGCTGTAGGCTTTGTTGGTGAATTGCGACTGACTGATGCCTCTGCTAGCAAGGTGTGGGCCGACGAAAGTCAATTTTTGATGATGATCAGGATATGTTAGGATTTGGGATGAGCCGAGAAATGGTGACTTCTGATATTGGAACTATCTATCTTTGATTTGGGAATTGTAGTAATTTGCCAAAATCCCTTAATGAACACAACTTCGAATATCACCTGGAGCATCAATGACAAAGGTCATTTATAGTCATCGAAACATCGAAACGATTGGACCAGTTCAACCAGTTCCAGCATGCGTGGCCATCAACATCCACTGGCTTTCTATGTACCAATCCATGGTTGACCAAACAGATCCATGGCTCAAGAAGTTGACCCTGCCCTAGTCATGACCTGGTCATCACAACATCGTGCCAAAGGCGGTGGTGTACATGGTGCAGACCTGGCTTTGGATGGAGTTTACGCCGATTTTCACCAGAAGTAGAACATCCAACAACTTTGATCAACTTTGTTTCTTGTTGAGGTAGGTTAGCCACAAAATGGCTGAGCATCGGCGGAATTGCCCATGGTGCCATGTCTGAGTCGGCCTCGTTGGAGATCCTCTTGGCACATGCGCAGGCTTGGTGCGCAGGATTTCAAGACATACAGTTCAATCAGATATGGGTTTGTCGAAAAATAGTAGAAAACATGATGTTTAAATCAATGTTAATCACCATTTTCCAAAAAAAACATAAAGTGGGCATACCCCATTCTCGGACAGCTTTCATGCAATTTCCATCCATTCTTGATGGTTGAGAAGATATCCTCATAAACCACATGCTACCACCATGTTCATCAACATCTCGCCACAAGTCATGTATGGTGTGGACATTAAAAGGAAACATGATCTCGAAACCATGGGCTGTCATGCAGGCACGTAGTGTATACATTTGCACATTGTGTGCACATATTGTATATGCACCTATTGTACATACATATATTGTATACACATATTCTATACACAGTACAGTGATCTGGGTAAATGCTAGGGACCGCACTGTGACCTCACTGGAATCATGGTAAATGTATAGGGGAATCATCCCCATAGCTGGCCGAACTTTTCAGCTTGGCTGAAATATGATCATGTCCCCAGATACATACTGTGGATGGTTGCGAAATCCTGCACCAATTGGTAAACATCTCGTTATTATAGTCCGTTTTTATGGAAACAGTGTTTCATTCCGGAATCCCAATAGTATCAGTGACCCTGCATGGTGCAGGATTTCTCAACCCAGGCTTGTCACCACCGATGTCTTCTGGCTGCACTGGGGGTAGTCGCGGACCAGCGACTGGTGCTGTGCCAAGAGGTTGCCAGGCGCACAGTCGGAACCACCTTGGTGTGTAGCCATCGTGGTGGGAAACTTGGCTAAAGCTATATATAGATATAAATGATATAGATATTTCATCCTGGAGTAGATAGAATATGGAAACCATCCCCGCAAAATTGGGAATATTTTTGAAAATGCCATATTCAAATACTTCAGGATGATGATGATGATGATGATGATGATAATCACGATATATATATAAATAATATGTATAAATTGTACACTTATATTGGGGGATTTACATTTAACCAAGAAACAATGCGCATATTTCATGGGACATCAACAATGGGATATATCAGCAACAATTTGATATACGGTGTATCTGAACATGTTTCTTTTTTTTGCACCCTACTTCATGGCCATTTTGTTGTAGGAAAATGATGATTCATGAATGGATTTAGATCTAGTCCATTTCCAGACTTTACCTATATTTTCGTTGGAAGTCTTGGATCACTTTTTAATGAAAGATACGCGCTTTCTCAAGGAACGACGGTGTTTTTTTTCACTGGTTTAGAAGTTCTCAAAATGGTGGAATTTGGGTACTCAGACTTAGGACCCATCCCCACTTGGTCCTTTTTGTCCTAAAAAAAACTTGGCCGAGGATCCCTGCGGAAAGTTGCAGGGAATGGGCCTTTGCAGATCACAACAGCAACTGCCTCGGAGGAACCTTCGCTGCTTGCGTCTCTTGCTGTCAAGATGAGTCATTTTTTGGAGGTCAAAATGAAGGTTCCCCAAATGATCACATGGTTCATCCTAGGAGTGATGAACTCAGTCGTGGCTCCTAATGGGTTCAATTTCGATCACCTGTCAGATGTTTGATGCGTGGTACCGAGGTCTTTTTTGATATTCCGCAAGCATCTGCAGAAACCCTGTGGGCTGCCTGTGAGACAGTGCGGGGTGGTGGTATTGTTTGCTTGGTTCTGCCGGCACAGCTGACGCTGAAACTTGTTTGAATTCGGAGCCTTTGTGACCCAGCGGCTGTGAGGCAGGAGTGGAAACCACAAGGTGTTGTTGGGTGTTTCCTAAAATAGGAGTACCCCAAAAGCAAGTACTCCCTCAGTAAACATGACACATTTTGGAGGATACATTGATTGGGGTCTTGCATGACTTCGGAAATCCAGAACAAAAACAGCACCGTGACATGTTTTTTGTGCAGCCGAGGAAAGATTGCATGGATATGGAGACAGAGGCACTTGTCCCACTGGCTTCGTGACCATCCATTGACAATTGAGACCAGAATTAGGCGAAGGAGCAACAACTAACATCAACTGCCTCCAAAAAACGTGGGTTTCAAAACAGCTTTTGGCTATGTTGACCCTATGATCCATTTTGCCACTGAGCCCTTCTGGTCCATGAGTTACAGGATGTAGCAGTCGCATTTGCGGCTGCGCAACGCGCAACGCATCCAGCGGCCTCCGCACTTACCGATTTGGATACCCAAATTGCATGCTTTCATGGGAATATGATGGAATATGGAGAACATTGACAACATTTTCATACACATCATATTAGTTATGGAATATGATACCAAAAAGTTTCCTTTCTTACACATCATTTTCATTTTGCTCTGAGAAATCGCCAGTTCGCCACCTGGAAAAATATTCCTCCTGATCCCATCAGTTTCACCACAGGCACCGGGCAGCCTGTCGGCTGATCAGAAGCTTGGTGAGGCATGGCTTATCCAAAAATGGCTTTGTGGACAAATGGGAACCATTTTTCCCACCAGACATGGTGTTTTTCTTTTTTTTTCCGGGAAAATTTATGATGTTCTTTGCCAGCAAGGATGGATTTTGGGGTATGTCTATTTTGGACCCCAGAGGATAGGCCAGAATTGTTGGAACTTGGCATTTTAGGGATGGAATGGGTGCCATATTTTTGAACAAACCCTGGTGAAGAAGGATTCCTGTTGCAAGATCCGAACATGTCTTGCTGCTTTCAAGCAAGGTCTTTTCCTCCGTTTTTCTCCCTTTGTTGTTGGAACAATGACGTAATCACATTCTTAGGCAATGGATGGCATTCCCTATTGACAATCAGCTCACGCATTTCATCCATCGTGGGGGCCTCACTGTGGCAGGCCCTCTTGCCGCGTCTGGTTCACAGCCTGTGGCGGTTGCCTTGTGGCTTTGTGGATCACGGACTGAAGCTTCTGGCCGCATCTAGAGGACTGCTGGATACTGCTGGGTACATGGTTTGTAAATGGGGATCTGGATATAAACCACAAGTCTTAGGGAATCTATAAATTGGATGAAATTGGGAGATTATGGGAGAGCATTTTTTGATATGTGGGATATATACCCAATCAACTATACTAATCTATTATCTATCTATCTATCCATCCATCTATCTATCTATCTACCTATCTATCTATCTATCTATCCATTATACTATATTATATTATGTTATATTATGTTATGTTATGTTTTTCTATCTTATATGATACTATGTCACATCATACCATATTATATTATATTATATCATATTATAGTATATTATATATATATTATATTGTATTGTATTGTATTTTATTATATTGTATTATATTATATTACAGTATATTATATTTATATTACAGTATATTATATTATGTTATGTTTTGTTATATTTTATTATATGATATTAGATCATATCACATCATATTAGATTATATTACATCATATTATAGTATATTAAATAATATATTGTAATGTATTGTATTGTATTGTATTGTATTATTATATTATATTATATTATATGATATTATATGATATGATATGATATATTATATGATATAATATATGATATATTATATGATATAATATATGATATATTATATGATATAATATATGATATATTATATGATATAATATACGATATATTATATTGTATTATATTATATGATATTATATTATATTATGTTATATTATATTATATTATATTATATTTTTTTGTTCTTTGTTGTTTATATATTGTATTGTATACATTATAGTATATATGATGCATGATATATGATATGATACATGATATATGATAGAAGCCACCAAGATATTTGGGATTTCAAATCAACAAGACACAGGGAGTCGGTTGCCCTGATGCCACGCCTCAGGAGCTCTCGTGGTACCTGAGGACACGTCGGAAGTCGCCGCTGCACCGGGGGAGTCGCCGTTGCTGCAGCTGTGCTGTACGCCATGTCAAGAGAAAGCCTTGCGAGCCATTCTGGAGGCAGTGTCCAGTAAAAGCTCCGGCTGCCACCTGGCTGTACACAAAACATCTGTCTTTGCCTTTGATTTTTTTTTTTGAGTGGTTCCCACACAAAGCTCATACAAAAAAAAAAGGTAACGAAAAAGCTTTGCGGGCTGTTGTCATTTAAGTCACCATTCACTCTATGGTCTCCATGTGGGTTTGTGTCAAATTGGGCACAATTTTGATGCTTTATCATCATTTCTACATAGAGCATTATAGCAATTTTTAACGGTTTATCACCCATCATCTATCAAACCAATTTGGCATTCACCTATAATGATACTATACCATCAGGCAATTCGACATATTCATTTTATACACATTTGTATTTTGAGACCAAGCCATGTCCAGATCCTAATTTTTGATGATTAACTCATTAACTCCCCATTTTGCACGGTGAATATCACATATTCTTGTTGGTTACATCACTATTCTTCATGGCGAAGATCCAATTCGTCACCTTCTTCTTGTTTAAATGGGTGAAATCCATATTTTCCATGGTGAACTCCATATTTTCCATGGGTTTTTCATCCTTTGTTGAACCGCCACATTGGCTTCACAGGTCAGCGCGTGCTGTCTCTGAGCGGCCGCCGCGGACGCGGCAAATCCTCGGTGGCGGGCTTGGGGTTGGTGGCAGCGCTGCAGCGGCAAAGGTCGGTGGTGGTGACCGGGCCGGGATGCAACAGATGCTGGGACTCAAGGGGAGACTATGGGCGACTATGGATATGAATCGGATATGATTGGAATATGAATTAATGGGATATCAACATATATTGAGTCTATAGACTCGAGAAATATTACGGTGATGGGATATTTTTTATTGGATATGAATGGACCACATTATTTACACAAACCATTGTTTCACCATCAAAATTGGTGATTGCATGGGATATGAATGGTTGAAAAGTAAACACCTATAATTAATGAGTAATCCTCCTCCGAGCCTTATCAAGCACCCCCGCAGAAGGTTTGGGACCATCTTGGTGGTGTTTAAGATGAACGGGGGATGGGGGATGATTATATAGATATCAATTGGATATTCAATGGGATATTGTTGGTTAAACGTGGGAAATTAATGGGATATTGTTGGGATATCAATGGGATTGGAAGATAGGCTTGATACCTGAAACTTTAGGGGATTCAACCATTGAATATCCATCATCTAGTGGATATAAACAACATCATAAGACTCCATTTGGGTAACAGTGGAGACGTAGTGACCACCACTGCGGCCCCAACTAACATCGTTTTTTTTTTGGTTTAGGAACCTCCCCAAGGATAGTTGTTGAAAATACACTCACATATCATCACCATAAACCCTAATACGGCTTCGTCACGGTGATAGTTTCTCCCTCCTGAAACATACTGAAACCACCAAAGGGCATCTATTTTTGATGGGTTGGGGGTGTAGCAACATATTTTTTGGGAACTGGCAGTCTAGCAAAAAAGTGAGAGTTGCATGAAATCATTTCAGCGCGTCGGCCTATTTTCTAGGGAACTTCCAACTGGACTTGCCAGTTTTTTCAAACCCATTCTCCAATCCCATTAATATCCCATTAATATCCCAATAATATCCTATTAATTTCCCATTAGTTTCCCATTTATATCCCGTTTAATATCCCGTTTAATATTCCCAACAATATCCCAACCATATCCATTAGATATCCCAACAATATCCATTAAATATCCCAATAAGTGCAAGTTTTCATGCCATTTGGTTCTGCCTCCAGGCGTTCAAGGCATGTTTCGCTTTGCTGCGAATGTGCTGAAGGAGGCCATCGGCTTGTGTTTGGAATTGGGATACCCTCTGGTCAACATAGCTATTGCAAATGGCAATTTATAGTCAAAATAAGTTAATATACCTATGAAACATGATGATTTTCCATAGCCTATTTAACCACGTTTTCTAGCTGAGTGATATGAATCAGTATGTTCATCACGTTTTAAGCCTAGTCCGCCGGGGTCCGTTTTTATTCCGAGCGTGACATCAGATTCATCCATGGATTCAGTCACAGGCAGATCTGCCGGATGGCCCGTTGCAAAGCTTGATGTTTGGCAGAGCCCGCTTTCTCCACGCGGAGCTCACGGGATGGTGATGGCTGGTGGTTGGAGCTTCATGTCCACCTATGGCCCTATGGTTTTTGAAGGGCTCAGGGAGAAATCTGCAAGATTGCACACAATGCTGGGCTGTATTTTCCTTTCCCTTCTACGGAGTTTTGGGATCCGGCGAAGTTTGAGACAGACCTTCATGTTTTGGGATTTGGGAGAGACGTGTGATCACATGATATATTTCTTCCCATTCTTGGTTGGCCAAAACCATTCTCCAGGAGACCGTGCCCGGCTATGTGGCAGCATTGTCAGCGGTTGGCGATGCACCCGTCTCCAGCTTAATCACTGACAAACACAGGAGGCACAACAGCCAACAAAGTGGTCAGACCACGGACTACGTGGGTTGATTCCTGTCACCCTCTGGGTCACTCACTTAGAAGTCATATTCATGAACCCTCCACTTTTTTTTTAAATTTCAGTGTCTTTTTCTTGTGAAGGAACATACTGCTTTTTCAACTCTTGGCGAGAGGTTTGGGGTTCCGGGTTAGCTCCAAGATCTGGAGCCTTCCGGGTTTTTCGATGGCAACATGGGCATTGCTCAGGTGCTCATCGTAGATGAAATGGCCTCCTTAGCCATTCCCACCCTGCACCAGTTGCTCTCGGCCCCAGTACCGTTGATCCTTTTGCTCGGCACCCTGTCGGGTGCTGAAGGTACAGGTGGGATGTGGGCCAAAAGTTGGAGGGGAACAAAACCAAAGGATTTGGTTATAGTTGGGGTTGTACTATGTAATCCCGGTACCTAGTGAATTATGGTGGATCAGCCTGCCATTTTGCAGGTGCAGCTATTCAAGAGAAGGTCTTCAAGGAATTGACCGCGGATTCGGCTGAAGCCTGTCATCATGCCACTCTGCCACCTGGTGTCACGAAGCGCGACTTCGTGAAGCTTTCGCTTCATCAGGCAGTCCGGTATAAGCCACTGGACCCCGTGGAGAGCTGGTTGGATTCGCTGCTGTTTCTGGATGTGCCAGCTCCTCCCAGCGATCCCAAAGCCTATGGAACTTTGAAGGCTGCGGAATTTTTGGAGATCGACACGACGTCCAATTCGCAGTTGCTCTCCGAGGTCATGGGCCTGTTGCGTGGTCACTACCGCACCTCGCCCAACGATTTGGCGCGCTTGGTCAGCGACTCTCACATCCGCACCTTCGCCTTGGTCGGCAACGGAGGGGCAGGACCACCTGCCGTGGCAGTGGTGGCGATTGAGGAGACGCCGGAAAGACTGGGGAAATCGGGAGCAAAGGTGCACCAAACGCATTTGTTGGCGAACGGTGCCTGGCAGCTTCTTAGATTTCGTTGTTCTGAATTTGGGGTACACAAGAGTGGTAAACAAGAGTTGGATGGTTCATGCTTTACGGGCTAGTAAAACAAAAAGTAACTTCGAAATTTGTGGATCCCTTTCTTGCTCTGGCTTGCAGACTCCATCCCTTAGAGGTTACCTTGGGAACCCAAAGAATCCCATGGTTCATCGTCATTTTTCCTTTCAGAGGCCCATCCCTCATTTTGAGACACACACGGCCCAAATATAGTCTTTTTTTTTCATCTTCTAGAAATATCTCCCATGATATCTGCATTTCATATATTTCATCCTCCAACTTTGAAGCAGAAACGCCACAACGCCCAAGGCATTGAGAAGGAATACCCCCACCTGGCCCTGGCGCGGCTATCTGGCTTGCGTCCCTGGCGCGTGGTGGCCTCTCCAGCCTTGCGGGGACGTGGCTTCGGGCAGAAGGCGCTGGAGCTCTTGGAGCGCCACGTGAGGTGCCATGACCTTGACGGAACAAGGTTGAAATTCCCCGAAATTGGTGGAAGATGGTTAACATCTAACAAGGTTCTCTCATGTTCTCTCCATTTTGAAGGGTCCTATAGTAACTATAGTATTTCCCATTTTTTTTGGCTCTACTTTTGATACTTTGGCAGTGAAAGTGGTTTAATACACTAAAAACTGATATATATATATAATATATATATATGGGCTGAAGAGTTGATTTTTGTTGGTTTAAAGACATGTTACATCCATCTTTCTCGTGGGTTGAAGAAGTTGAAACCCATCTTGGATCCCTGTTGTTTGAAATCGCGTTTTTCCCCCAAGTTCAGAAGGCGTTCCATTGAGGATTTTGGCTCCCAGGAGTTTCCGGGCTGGGTCTGACTGACAGGCAGCCTTCCAAAGATGGTACTCCCGCATTTGACTGGTTGGGCGTTTCCTTTGGTCTTACGGCCCCGCTCTTTCGCTTCTGGTCTCGTGCTGGCTATCGCCCGGTAGTGATGTCAAACACGCCCAACGATCAGACGGGGGAGATGTCCATCAAGATGCTTCTTCCAGTCAGCGTGGCTTGAAGAAAAGTGATGGTGTGATCTCCTGGGAAATTTGGGTGTGGGCTATCTAGTGGTTTCGATATCTTTGAATGGAAACATTGAACATTTTTGTTGGGTCCCCCCATCGTGAGGCAGCTCTTGAGCGAGCGCTTCCTGCCATTACGCCCCTCTTTGGCACATCCTTCTACCGTCGACTTGCCACCTGCTTTCGCACCTTGGGCGTTTGGTGATGGTTTGTTTTAGGGGGAAAAACCTGGATGTTCTCAAATACTAGTAGCTAGAGAGAGGGAAACATGATAACATGCAGTTTTCTGGTGTATCCTTCTTGGTAAAATCCAGGGCACTTTGGGTAGTTTTTTGGTTTGTCCCATCTGGTAGAAATGTCCTCAGTGTTGAGGACCCATGTTTGATCCCAACCTAAACATGTTCCAGCCGTGACGGCAATGATCTATATTGAGAAGCTCCAATTTTGATCGAGTTTGAACTCCACTGCTCCTTGGATCCCTTTGGTAGTGGAATTTTACTGTACTAGTAACTAGTACGTACTAGCATCTAAGTTATTGCTGGTAAACTGTTGATGGCTGCTAGTTTTGTTGTTAGGAGTGGCGGGAAGTTTTCCTGCAAGAATAGAGTGAGAATAATTGCCTGATTGTGGATAGGAGTCAACCATTTGCGAATGACTTACTTGCCTGGACCCGCAAATTCCTAAAAGTGCTCCAAAGCCTTTGGTTTTCTTCCTTCCAGACCCTTCAAGATCCCTGAAGAATTCCATGTTCCTGGTACTTTGCCCCCAACCCCCTTTGTGGACCTTGCCGATTTGGGTACCTGTCAAAACTGGCAGTCCAAAACTCCCCCAGTTTATCATCCTTCGGTCCCCCATTAGACGCCGAGGTGATTTGGACCCCTGCCTGGTAGTGGAGATTTTCGCTTCCAGCACTCTTCCGAAAAGCGAAAGTGCCTGGCAGGCTTCGTCTTTGGAGGCTGCACGCTTGGCCTCTTGGCACCTTATTGACACCCTGGGGGAATCCAAGCTGCCCATTTGAAATGCCTAGGCAATGGAGATATTTTTTTGATATTTTTTGGAGGATGGCCTTGGATGATGTTCCATTGCCAGGTTTGATTGCCATGGGGGACTTGATCTTATACACGATGATGTTGGCCGGTCCTTTTCCAGCGATTTTTGATGATTTTTGCCATTCGGCTTGGAAGATTGCTGGTCCACCCGACAGGAAGAGTTGATGAATATTCTTCAAAAAGAGACTTTCTTCAAAGATCAGTAAGAGGAGTGCACCGCAGTGGACTTGACCCCTCCGTCTTGTCGTGGGCTTAATGATAGGCCAGTCACCGCTGGCGGGTAAGGAACAGCTGGCCAGAGCACGGCGGCCTGTGGAAGAAGTAGCCAGGAACTATGTGGCTTGGCCGCCTGAAATTGCTCCCCCCCGCCAGCAGGTTCGGGATCAAAAATGCTGCTAACTGGAATTACGCCAGTGAAATGAAAGTTTATTTCACTGCAATTTCCCTGCAAGCGACCCAAATTTCTGCTATCCTGAGGACATGTTCCATTGCTTGGCTTCTGCATATTTCTTGGGTTCCTTGGAGGGCATGCGCTTTTCGAAGGCAGAAGAATCTGCGCTCTGTGCGCCGGGCTCAGTTATTTGATGATGACTGAAATGACTGAAATGGCAATGAACATTGGGGAACTCCAAATGCCCTATTTTGGGAAAAGTGGATCAATTGGACTTGATATGAGCCACTTGCCAGTTGCAACACCCAATTTAACATCTTGTTTTATCAGCGGAGATGTCTAAATACGCTGCGGCAATATGACCTGGCAATGGAAAAATCTTAAAGCTCCCCACATTAAAGATATTTAAGTGGCAAGGGCAAGTCACCAGACTGGCAATTCAAAATATAGTCCCATTTATTCTATCCATTCAAAATTTTAAATGATATCATCACTCCATTTCTTCAAATCGTTCCCCATCAGGAATCACATGATGGGAACTCACCTTGATCTATATCTATACCCTATATCCCGTATCCCATGCAAAAAGAGACTATATAATGTATATATTTCCCAAGAATTTGAGAACAAACAACATCAACAACTCAAAGTATGAGAACCATATTCCCAACCACCACATTAAGCCCATGTTGAATATTTCCATCAACAAAAATGTCAAGCTCGGATTTGGAGGGTATTGGAAAACAATCACACAATTATGGATTTGCTTATATTCAAAAAAAGCATTGGGAATCTTGTCATCGTAAAATACAATTGATTTCCTATGAACAAACATGAGTTTTCACCCCCAAATACCCCGTTGTACAAGCCCATGTTCCTCGTAAAATAATCCAAACACCCAATCCAAAAACAATCCCAAACCAACCCTAATTCAGCCTAATTCATAATTTCTTGAATTTTCAACAAAGAAATCACCAATTGGAATTGGAAGCTATAAAACAAGGTTTTGTTTTGTTTATAATTCCCATTCCCATCCCTGTAATTTTAACCCTCCAATCTAGTTTCATCCCGTGCATCCACCATGGATCGGGGGATTGGATTCATCATGGTTGGTGAAGTAAACCCAGTGCCATAGAGCATCCCATTCCACCAGCCACATGGGGGCTCTTTTACATCATCCCATATTTTGGTCAAACCCCACAAAAATTCAATTTTAATTCCCCTGCCCCTATTTCAGTGAAACCACACAAAAATATACAACAAATTCAACTTTAATTCCAATTTTTTGGTGAAATCCCATGTAATCATAGACATCCCATATAAATCATAGAAATCCCATATAAATCACATATAAATCCTATACATTGTTCACAATTCCATTCAAAAAACCCAAGGGATTTTTCCCCAAACAATTCACCCGAAATTCTTTCAAGGCCGTGGGCGCGCAGACACTGAGTCTGGAGGCGGCCGCTGAACGCCTGGGCCGCGGGAGCAAGGCGGGAGATCGGCAGAACGACGTGGCGGCCAGGCTTCGCTGCGTGGCCAAGGAGAGGACAAGGGGCTGACAGCTGACACAAATCCATAGAACATGCCAGTTTTTTTTTTGATATCTATATACCATTTTCCTCTAAAACATAGAGATCTAGAGAAAATTGATGGAACAGGTCTTTTGTGGGACATCCCCATCCCCAACCTTGGATAGGTAGTTTAATCCTTTAGTATTTTGCTTTAGATAGAAAATAACCATAAACAGCAACAAATGATTTTTTGGGGACTACCAAAGATTTACCATGTCTATACAATATTCCTATTAAATAGACAAAGATCTAGAGAAAATTGATAGACCATGTTTGTTCCCAGGGATTTTTGCCTGTAAACATCTAGGTAAAATTGATAGAACATGGATGAACATGGTCGAAGGAAGTTTAGAAGTCAAACTTTCGACAATATGGACAGATGGAAAAGCAGAGGTGGGAAGAGTCAGAGAAGAGAAGAGAAGAAGAGAGAAGATCAGAGAAGAGAAAGAGCCAGAAGAAAGAAGATGCAGGTGCGGGAAAAGGTAGCAAAGTCGCGATTCACTGTGCTTTTCCAATGATTTGTGGCTCCGGAGGGTCGAAAAGTAGGCTCGCTAAGGCGGCGGGTGCGGAGCCATGTTGCCAGATGAGAGAAGAACAATTGCACGCCGTTGTGGCGCGAAGCACATTTCCAAGTCAAAATGCACAAGAAACACACAAGGATCAGACCACTTTCGGACAAGCACATTTCCAAGTCAAAACGTACAAAGCACACCATTCTCGGACCACTTTTGGAAGTTGAGATATCGAGAAAGTGCACGCCGTTGTGCGAAGCGCATTTCGAAGTCAAATGTGCAAAAAACACCACATTCTCGGACCAGTTTTGAAGGTTGAGATGTGGTTTTGCGTGGCAGGGGCAAGGGATTCCGCACATTGCCAAAAGTGAGCAAAACGTGAGGGTTTTGTAGCATTTCCAAAAACGATGGCAGGCGTGGGACATTTGAAGAGGGTCTGGAAAGATGCATTTCGCGTGGCAGGGGCAGTACAAGAGACATGTTCATCAGAGATGTTAGGAGGTCAGGGCGCTGATTTCCTGAGAGAGGTTGCATTTTGGAGCATCAGATCTTCTGGTTTGCTAAGATGACTTTGCCCGACAGGTGCAGCACTTCGTATGACCTGGCATCACTTTTTCGATGCCGTCAGCTCTGCACTCAACTTTCCATTTTTGAAGGAAGTCTCGCGGAATTGCTTCGTTTTTGACGTTCTCAACTTCGAACAGTGAGGAAGTCTCGCAGAATCGCTGCCTTGTTGATGTTGTCAAGTTCAGATCGATGGATAGATAAACAGAGAGACAAATACATATAGATAGACCGATAGACAGACAACTGCAACTGCACTACACCACGCTACAACTACAACTTCAACTACAACTACACTACCGCTACAACTACAACTTCAACTACACTTCAACTAGACTTCAACTACACTTCAACTACACTTCAACTACAAGAACTACAGCTACAACCACAACTACAACTTCAGCTACACTTCAACTACAGCTACAACCTCAACTACGATTACTACAACTACAACTACAATTACAAGTGCCACTACAACTACAACTACAACTACAACTGCAACAACTACTACAACTACACTACAACTGCGACTGCAACTACAGCTGCAACTACAACTGCAACTACAACTGCAACTACAACTTCAGCTACACTACAACTACACTTCAACTACACTACTACAACAACAATTCCCACGACACTACGCTACAACTACAGCTGCAACTACAACTACAACTACACCACAGCTACAACTACACTACAACTACAACTACAGTTACAACTACAACTCGTACAACTATTGCAACTACTAAAGTTAGTACAATTAAGATAGTTACAACTTCAACTACACTTCAACTACAGTACAACTACAGCTAGAACTACAACGACAACCACAACTACAACATTACAACTTCAACAACATCAGCCCGACTACAGCTACAACTACAAGTACAAGCACAACTACAGCTACAACTACTGCACTACACCACACTACATCCAGGAGTTGTGAGTGAGGTGACCACTGCAACCATTGCAACCGCTCCAAAAAGCACAGCTCCAACAACCTTTCGGTCCATCAGTGGATTCGCTCTGCCATCCATGCATCACAACAACTCACCTCTCCTATAGTGTCCAGTCCTATCCTTGAAACTTCTGCCACCGCCTTGTGCGGCACCACTGGTATAACCAAAATGAACAAATACTATGATATACCGGTAAGCTTCACCTTCAAAAGTGGTATAAACAAGGAGAAAAACACCCGTAATCATTGTATTAAAAAAATGTTGGGCATGTGGGGCTGGACCAGCTTCGGCCGACCGTGAAGTTGGGATGGGTCACATTTCAGAGTTGTTCAAGTAGTTTTTTATTTATTTGGGAAATTACCGATTGTCTAGAGGCTCAGAGATCCAAACTTTGACCCGCCCCCATTTATTTTCCAACGCGTTATTTCTGTTCCCACTTGCACACCATTGCGGAATCGTTTTTGTAAATGGAGGCCATGTTTTGTAACATTTCTGGCGAGCTGGTAAAAAGGGGTGGGCGTATTACTTTTCGGTTTATTTTTGGGATTAACCACATCACTAACCAGCAGTAATGGGTGCTTCATGAGGATCTAACCATAAAATGATGGATATCAATGAGAAAAAATATGGAGTTTAAGGATGGCCAAAACATTTCAAACATGGTGCTCGCCACTTATGTTGTTGGCTTATAACCTGATCTAAGCAAAAAATCCATATTTATCCCATATTTATCAATATTGGGATATTCAAGATCTATGATCACACTCGCAACTTATTTATAGTTGACCCATATTTATCCATAATTTTCCCCTAAGCGCGGCGGGTGTTTTGGACAGGAGGTCGCCCTCCACATCGGAGCTTTGGACGTAGAGTGCTTGCTCACGATCGCGCCTCGAGAGCAGGCAGGGAGCTGAGCAATGATGTGCTGGATACATGACAACATATGTGTTTATACAATATAGTATAGTACAATAGATACACATATGATATATGTAATTACACATGTATGTATGTACCACATGTAACAATGTATATGTGACAGCGCCACTGGTTCGACCACGAAGACTTCGTGTTCCGGCGTTCTGCGACCCTTGGCGCTTTCCAGGTGCTATTGGAGCGAAGTCAGTCCCAGTTTGTGGCACAGCTCTGGCTCCCTCCGCTGTTGGACTTGCGCGGGGAGGCGGAATCGGCTAAGATTCTAAGATGGAACCCATTGGGACCCATGGCTTTTGGAGGTTTTTTCAAGTTTGGTTTCCTACTGCAGTGTTTTGTGGTGGTTTGTGGCAAGAGGGGTTTGATGGAAGGGAATGGGACTCAGGGCATTTTGCGGCTGGGAAGGATTTTGGTCGGCTGGCATTGCTAACCTTGCGTTGAGGCTTAATCTTGTCAGCCTGCCATTCAGGTCTTTATCCAAGTCCCAGAGGGAACTCGTGATGTAGAGGACAACCTTGAAGTACCCTGACTGCAAAAAGCAGGTGTGCAGCAGCGGTGACACATTAGTCCCCCACACATCCCCAAATTAAGATGATGTACTTTAGTGAAGAGATGGTTATGCCTCTATCTATAGGTCTTGATTTACCGAAGACGAATCTGTGAGTGCAAAAAAAAGGATTGTGAAAGGACCAATGCCCGGCACAATGGGCCCCCACCACCTACAAACGGGGGCCATTCCATCCCAATCGGTGCCCCTATCAAACCCACAGGGACATCGGTAGTTCTGACCCCATCTAAAAAGAATGTGTTTTTTTCAAGCATTATACAAATAGTATACCCATCTCCACTCCCAGATTGTTTGGTACTTATTAGTTAAACCTCCGCACATATCTGGACTCCGTGCCCGTCAGTCTGAGGAGTTGGCCAATTACGCCATTCACGACCTTCATGTGTAGCTTGGAAGAGACAGCCAGGAGGGCCAGTTGGGTGCCAGGACTTTGTTAGAACATGCGGCGATGAATCAAGTTACTCAGAATTAGTATGAATTAGTACCATAGTTTGGGGGACGAACAGCTTTGAACAGAAGGATGGGGTTTTGACCCATGGCCCACTTACTTCATGGATGCTCAGCTGCGAGCCGCGCGAGGCAAGAACCCCACTTCAGCATGCTGGTCAGTGGTGAAGCTCGACTCAAGGAATGGACTTTTTCAGGTCCTGGAAAGGACGATCGATGTTCCCGACTTTGATCTGCAAAGCCTTCAGGAGCATGGAATATAAATGATATAATTGTTGTTACTATTGTTGCTATTATCAACATTGTTATCATTACTATCACCACACTCATTACTCGTATTATAGTTCATTACTATTGTTGCTCTTATCAATATTATTATCATTACTATCATCACAATCATTACTACTGTAGTGTTATAGTTTATTACTATTGTTGCTCTTATCAACATTATTATTATCATTAATAAACAACACCATTATTACTATTGTTATAGTTATTGGTCATGATCTATTCTTTCTTATTCGTTGTTGTTTCACTAAGCTGTACCCCCAGACTGTAGCGATCTCCGAGGCCAAACGCATTGAACTGCGCTTGGCCAAGAAATGCTTCAGTTGCATCGAAGCCAAGAGTTATTTCCGCCTGCAGCGCGTCTCACCTCCTCAGTCTGCCATGTTGCTGGGTCTGCCAGGGGACTGGATGGTAGAACAACACAGGATCAAAAAGAGGGGATTGAAATGAGCCAAGCTGGGGATGAAGCAGCAAAAGCTGCGGAAATCTTCCACAGATTTGGATGCTAAGTGGACTTGAAGAATGATCACAGTTTTTCCCGATTTTGCGATTTCCTTGATGAGACCCCCTAGAAGCCGTGCCCAGGTTCAAAATCCTGCGAGTCAGTCATTACCAGTCCTTAGAGGAGGCTCTGCGCACTGAAGGTGTTGAGGAGATCTTGCCAGGCACCACTTCTTTGAGCGCAGGCTGGCTGTAGGTAATGCAGATATCCCGGGCCGAAGAACTTCGCGAAGATCTGAAAAGGTTGCAGGTTATGCAGTCTATAGATGCTTATAGAACAAAGTTCCCTTTTGACACCAGTGGAGCCGAACAAGTTATGAGCAGAAGCCAAGATCCGGTCCAATCCGGTCCAATCAGGTGATGTGGAAAAATGTGGAAAATCTCGGTGGCAGGTCTCAATACCTTTCAACAGCTGTATGGTGGAGCAGCAACACCGGAGGTCCAAGGCTTGATGCTGGTGATGAATTGATGATTTGGGGATGGGTCAAGACCCTGGTACCTAGTGAACCCCAAGTCATAGCTGGGATTTATGGATGTTCATCCCACTAAAAATGTATCGTATAGGTATTGACCCATACCCATTTGATGGTTTTTGGGGATGGAAATCAGTCAGTGGCTTATTGTTGACGATCGGAAACTCATAATTTGTCAATGTCTGGAAAAGTGGGGGTAAAAGCGACAACCCAAGAACCGCACTGCGGGATAGAGCCAATACAGTGAACGCTAATGATGGCGGTCATGTTGTCGGTGGTAAACCACAGATTTTTGATTTTCATCCCTACTTGGGCTATCTTGGGCTGAAGATCCAAAGTTGCCCGATATTCTGAGGTTGAAACCACCAACCAGTCATGAACCTTTCATTGCTAGTTGGGCGTGGAATATCCCACATGCTTCGTCAATATTCATCGGACGGGGCTTGAAGCTCCAAAAGATCCAAAAAATACACCCTCCAAGAAAATTTTCATGTTCATGAGCGGAGACATGACACATCCACCATTTATAGATGATTTCCTAAATTTCTTCCAATGTCTTTTTTCCAGACCATGTTGATCTACTGGATACCCAATCCTGGCCCCAGGTGTTGTGGCCTTTGAGATCGAACTGGCCACTAAGGCGAAGAGGATGTGGATGTTTATTTTGGAACAAAAACATCGGACTTTTCCTGGCCACCATGAGAACTTTAGAAATGTTAACTGGGGATATTTGGAATTTCACATTACTTTCATGGATATAATGTGGGTAAAACAATAATAAACCACCCATTTGGGAATGTTATTTAGACCACCTACAAAAATGATCAAAAATGGGGGATGGTTTATGGCATTGTTTTACCCACAGTATTTATAATAGATTTGGATCTTCCCAGCAGAAGTTGGGGTGCCCACAGGCTCCCAAGACTCCTGCGGCGCTGCCCATTCTGAGCGTTTCCGCGGCTCCGCCCTCCACGCGAACGGATCAGCTTCAGATTGATTGCGCCTGGCGGTATCCAACCAACGTCAAGGACAGGGAGATCTGTAAAAATGGCAGCCAACTGGTGATACAAAGAATTAAAAAGTGGGGGGAAAAACATCCATCACTATCAGAAATCTATGAAGTAGTTTTGATCTCAAGGTGTCAGGGTTTTGATAGCCAAACTGTTTCCCAAAGTTGAAAAGCGGACTCTTCGGCCAACGCAACCACTAACGCGACCAACGCGACCAACGATCCGGGTTTTCAGAGAGTTTGCGGAAAGCAATCCTTTTTTGGGCCACATCTTGAGCCGTGGCCCACCTTTTGCGTGGATGATCAGTTTCATTTACAGTATTTTCTGCAACTATTGCAAGCCATAGGTTCAGACTCCCTTACTTGCCTCATGAATATTTGATTCGACTCATTGGGATTTGCAGCCAGAGAACCTGAGAACCGTACAAAATGGCGAGGTGGACTGATGCCTGCATGGTGGTTCCAAACATGTTCCAACCACACATGACATGTGTTCTTTTGCATTAGTCTATCCCACTTGCCTGTTAATGTGGTAAACCCAATAAACCATCCCTAAAATCACCATAGTATAAACAATCCCCAAATGGTAGGTTCAGCAGTTGATCTATATCCCCGGGTGTGTTGCTTTTAACCTCCACTTGTGGCCAATTTCCCTTGTTGTCAATTCTTGGCCGGTTCAACCAACTCAAGAATCATCCATTCTTGGGTCGCAGTTGCGCCATAAAAAATGCCCCTGGGCCCCTGCGTTATGAACCGACGTGGTTTATAACCCATGACTCAGTTGGGTTCAAAGCCAGATAACTTGACCTTTCGAAACATGGCCCAACCATGCCCCAGCTGTCAGGGCTCGGGTGAACTGAAGCTGACGCCGCGCTGGGACAGCTTCGCAGGAGAGGTGGGACCCAGCTGGTGTCTGGGCACCGTTGGCATCTCACTGGTGAAAAGTCGCAAAAACGGGTTCCATTTGGAAAGCTTGGTAGGGTAGAGCCAGTGAAAGTGAAGTTAGCTGGAACCCAGCTCAACCGAGGTGCTTAGAAGCCACCGCTTTCTGCGTTCTGGGCGAGCAGACTTGTTCATTGCCTTGTCACAAGGACATTGCCAGCCCGGGGATGTAACCAGAAATTTGGGGACTTGTGCCCGGATAGGAAGAATGGGGAGTGAAGCACAGAGGAGATTATAAGCTTAGCAACTGGTTGGTGGTTTGATATATCAAACAAACATGGGGCCTCGTCCTGAAGGTTCTCACATCTTTTGTTTCCACATGTTTCGTAACCCCTAGAAAGACAGAACAGTATTTCCAGGATGGTATAGATGCGTTTTTTTTCTGATCATTTCCGGCATCTTTTTGGGGGTTGCTATCTTGGCCATCCCATTTGAAGGGCTTCTGGCAACTCTAGGAGTTGGACTTCATCTTGGACCTTGGCGATTCCAAACCTCGTTGGAGTCAGGCACTGCCCAATGATCGGAAACAGCTCCACCAAAGAAGCTCCCAACATGGTGACCCCCAATCATCAAAAAAAACGAGGTTTGTTGGGGTGTTTATGAGTATTAGTCGGGGATGTAGGGGGAATGGAGTTCTAAATTTGCATGATAAAAATCATCCTTTGGCCCTTTGGCTGGAAAAAAGCCGCCGCAAGCCGACTTTTCAGGTGAAGGTTCTCCTGACTGTCTGGGACGAAGTGGTGCTGCGGGTCTGTCGCAGTGCATTCTTTGGTCAAGCATGGTTACCTCCGATCACTGTCCTTGCCGAGGGGAAGTTGGAACTTCCACTGCTGCACCAAGGGGAAGTGGGTGAACTCTTGTTGGAGGCCAGCTGGAAATATCCCGCAGGTCCGGAGTCCAATTTGGAGTCTCAGGGATCTTTGACCCTGAAAAACTTGGTGGTGCGGGGTGTGAACGGTCCAGCGTATTTGGAAGTTCGGGTGCTGCATCAATGTGGCAGAGGGGTGGAAGGTGCTGGCGATCACCAGTTGCTGCTTTGCAGTTTGGAAGGTGTCTTCAATATTTTGGATATTTCCTCCCAGCAAAAGAACATGTTGGAATTTCCGCCATCAACCAGCAGAACTGGGGATCTTACCCCGCAACAGTTGGGATTTTCATGTATTTCATCACCAAAACCAGGGATTTACACCCCAAAAAATCAGGGTTGAACGTCAGCCACCAGGTTGATTTTGCCAATCAGCGTTCCAAAGGCTGGAACTCAACCGGGAACGAACCCAGCACGGCTGAAGCCGGCAGATGCCATGGCTCCGGTGTTGAAGGTGGCGACTCCACGTCCCAGGAGACCAAGTGGGGGGGCGACCGGGCTGGGAAGTCTGGTTGGCGCAAAAATGGGGGATGTCCACCAACTATCACGGGGATTTTTCATGGGATATTTCATGGAATATAACCAACAACTTGGAATATGTGGGGTCTCAAAATGGGGGATCAATGTGTGGTCATCTTGATGTGGACAATTATGACTAAGCATGGATTTTTGGGCTTTCACAGTTTGAGACAAAGCCAACATGTATCCTATTTGCATTTACATATGACATATGCCCGTCGGACTCTTCCCACTGTTTGGTCCCAATTGAGATGAATCGTGGGTGACATCCCTTGATGCCAGTTATGTGGGTTTGATTCAGCCATATTCACCCATTTAACTTACCAGTCGTGGCCATTTGGAGCCATGAAGCCAGCAGTTCCGACTAGCCCATGTACAAACCAGTTTGATACCAGTTCTCGCAGGATTTGGAGGACTGTACTTTACCACCCCCCATGGCAGGGTCCCGCCATTCATAGGGCTCAATGGAGCCATTCTTTTTGGAATCCTTGGTGGGAGGACCAGAGGGTTCGATGACCCCACTTGACCATAGCACATCCAAATCCAATTTCCATCCGAACCCCACAACAATTAACAACTTCTCCATGAATCTCCAGTACAGTTGGTGAAATTCCAATTTTTGGCTTCTTGAAACATCTCGATTTTGCTTCATGACTCCCATTGAATCCCCCTATCTTTGTTGGTTATCCATGGTTAATCCCTCATCCCCAGGAGCGCCGGGCCGCGTTTCGTCGCGCCTGGGAGCCTGGTGAAGTTGGGCCGCCGCCTGCGTTTCCTCGGCTTCGACGTGCGCCTGGTGGAGAGCGTGGCGGAGGCTGCGGCCGTGGCGGAGAACGAGCAACGACGCTTGGTGGCGGAAATCCATGGAAAACATATGGTTTTATATGGGGTTTAAGGGAAAATTTACAGGACACCAAAATATTTAATGGAAAAATCCATGGTTTCCTGTAGATTTTCGCTTAAACCAATCCATTGAATATGGGTTTTATATGGGGAATCATCCCCAAATGGCATGAAATTGCCTTATTTCAACTATTTTCAGGTTAGTGAATTAGGATATACTATGTATATGATGGTTGTTTAACATCGACCCATTTTGAATATCATGTATGATCTACGGTATATACCCAACATTTCATGAATGGCTATATAAACACATACAATATATATGTATATATATATATGTATGTGTGTATATATATATGTATATATATATATGTATATATGTATGTATGTATGTATGTATGTATGTATTTATACATATGGGGATATAGAATGATATAGATAAAATTACCTTACCATCTTATCTTACCGGTGCTAAACGTGGGGAATGAGGGAATGGGATGATTGTCAATAGTTATTATGGATCATTCCCCCATTCCTACCGAAGCACAAGTAAGTTATGATAGTTGGGATAATAATGGGATATTCGAAATAGGATAGTATAATAGGCTTATATATAAATGGAATATGATTATGTACAGTATATATAATGGATATGCCCGGTGATTGTTTGACACGGACCCTGAAAATGAACAGTTTTTAGTGGCAACTAATTTTGTCGACCCCCTATTTGGCAGGGTCTGTGTTAATTTTTTGGAGGGTAGCCCAGCCTTTTGAATGGGTAGAATGGGTATGCTTACTTCAACTTGTTTTGAGCCAACAATATGACATCATGCCTCATTTTTTAAAGTAGTGAACGGGGATTGATATATATATAAAATCAACACGAAAGGGTGACTCAAATATCTTACATGGACTTCATCAACACACGTAGAGATAAAAACAAAAGGAGCTTCTCCAGTTTCTTGGGGATGCTAAGCAACCATAATGTGGATGCCGGAAGGGAAAGCCTGCAGGAAACCAACCAAGCATGAGGATATATCCATCCATATTGGGAGAATGGTGTACATCAAAAACTAAAGAAATTCCTCAACAAAAATGAGGATGTCTACCGACTATAATAGGGATATCATGGGACGGAATTCAATATACCCAACACTGAGGCATGTACTGGTCTGTCTGAAAGTGGTGGGGACTGCATTTTAGGGACAAATTGGTTGACAAAAATGATGCTGTGAACATATGCGATTCTGGGGGTATGGACAAAGCCATGCCATAAGTTGCCGCACGACGACGACTCTACGCTTCTTTGCCGCCAGGACAGCTGCTTCTTCTACAAGGCTCTCGGATCCGAGGCTCTTCTACAGCGTGTGCAGTACCCAGAAGTTCCCTGGAGGAGCAGCTTCAATTTACCTTGGATCACTTGGGCATTCTGCTGGATCCTGCCCTGATGGCTTCACGCTGCGCGGAATGCAACGCAGACAAGTTTCGCTTGGCCAGTGCTGAAGAGGTGTCCAGCGAACTGCATGCCAGCACCATCGAGCGCTACTCGGTCTCTCTGCTGCAGGTTGTACCTGAAAGTGCCTGAAAGTGTCGACCCACTTCACTGTAGATTGGTGATGGTCTGGCTGTGAGGGGGGTGGATGGATTCGGGTGCCTGAAGGATCTTGTTGTTCCACCAGAAGTATCATGCCACCTGTCAGTGTCAACGAGGAATCCACCTGCAACTGGCACCTGTGGGTGGCTATGTCCACTTTGGGTTCAAGAATTGTCATTCATCGCATGCTCACACATGTTATAGTGGCTGCCTGGTTCACAGATCTTTTTGGTTTGGACATGTTGGAATGAAGATTTGAATCACCAAAAACAATCATTTCTATTCATTTCTCACAATTCTACGATCCAAGGAGTTCTGGCGTTGTTGCAGCTGCCGGAAACTCTACTGGGAAGGTGGTGCCTGGTGTCGTTCCATGCGCGCGGCTGGTGCTGCCTGGACTGGGGGTCCCACCGACGAAGAAAAGTGTGTGGCTGGTGCTACCTGGAAGGGCCACCGGGTGGTATTGGATGGCTGTGATGTGCTGTGCCAAATTGGGAATGGTCACCAATCCATTGGAGGGATATATTGTATATATATATATATCCATTATACATACCATCTTTTGACCATGGCACATATGGTATGCCCTGAGAGGCATGGGTGTTTTTTCAAGCATGGAGACACCAATTTCCGGACTTTAACCTTGATCACAGCCTGTTTGTAGACAAACGATACGACGTTACGACACTCTTGGGGTATGAACATCCATTTACCACCTGTTTCGTTGCGAAAACCGGTGTCATTCGCTGGGTTTTGATCCATGCCCATCAGACAACCTCACGTGAGCATCCATCGCACCCTGCCAGGAGCTGCCGGCCTTTCTCAAGGCGAGGATAGGAGCGGTTGGAGGTTAGTAAGACCCCAGAACTGAGGTTATTGCTGCTGCTGGTTATTTGAGGTGAACCAACCCCTACAATGCTCTGGGGTTTATATTTGTTTGTTGGTTAAACATTCCGGTCTAAGGAAAGTGGGTCACTGAGGAAAGAAGCAACGCTGGAATGGTAGATAATCAGCTCCCTACGGCGCCAACACACGCCCATCTGTGTAACAATTGGGACTATGAAGCGAGACCCAGAACTTTGTTGGAATTCAGGATAAAAAAACCCAGAAATTGGGTCAGTCGGAGGATTGCCAAAGAAATGGTCAGGGAAAAGGAGCCGAAGCCCCGAAGAAAAGCATCGAAATTTGGTCAGTCTGAAGATCATCCCAATACCCATCAGGTGTCTGTGAAGCCAGCCTCATTAGCAGAACCGGAGGAGCTTGACGAGGCGAGATAGCGAGAGAGATTCACCATGTGGGGTATGGGCGTGAATTGGATGCAATGGAAGATCACCAACACGTGTTGGGATATGTTGGGATATGTTGGCATGTCTGAAAATAGGCTATACTCAAATTGCAATTTCTCCAAGGGAGCATGATTGATCAAGCATGCGATCTTGCGGGGACCTGATGATTTTTGGACACACCCGAATCTCTGGCATTTGAAAATTTGATGTTTATAGTTTGATATAGACATCACATTCACATGTTATCCTTTGAATGTTGGGCTCTCAGATTGGATGGTTCTATCTTATATAATGCATATAAACATATATACACATTGTATGTGCGTAGTCTTGGATATCTTCGATATGTGAGGTTTGGTCTTGTGAGATAAGTGAGAGAACTCACCTTGTTTGGTGCATCAACCAGGGGGACCATTTTTAGCAGGGAAAACCTTGGAGTTTAATCCAAGGTTATACTGGTTATCGTTATGGAGAATTCTTAAAGGATATGATATACACACACATATATATACTTATGTATGCATGTCTGTATATATGTATATTATACATATATAATCCTTGGAGAGCTAGAGTATTATGTGTACTGTAGTCTTAGGCCACAACTTTTTGAAGCAGCCAACATCGAGGATGTTTTTTTGGGGCCACGCATCGTGAAAACGAAATCCTCAGAGAAGTCCAAAATCAAGGAAACACATTAACGACACAAAAACACACTCAAACAAATGGAAAATAAATTGGCCCTGCTCAAAAGCGGCAGGAATTGCGGGTCGTCTCTCACAAGTTGTTTCCCCTGAATCTCCTGTTGGGCACTGATTATCCTTGTTGTTTTTTTTTTCCCAGGTAATCCACAAGCCCAAATCTCAAGTTGGGGAGTCTATCCTCAGCAATCTTTTTCATCCTTTTCTAGGTGCCCCCACATCGTGTCAATGGATTGGCGGATTGGTTTCAAGGAAAATCTGCAGGACACTCTGTGGATTTCGGGACCCTCGGCTCTGGAGGTCGCTGTCCTTGCCCAGGCTGAACCAAGGCCTGCCCCCTTGGCGCCGATGGCGTCGCACTTTGTGGAGGGCATCGGGGACCAGGACATTCAGATGGTGGGAGGTGTGATTTTGTTTTGCTTCATGGAACTGCAGAGTTCGTTGTTTTTTTCTGTCGATGTTTGAAGTGATTTGAAGAATTTTCATAGTTGGATCACAGATGAACATCCTGCAACCTGAACGCAAAAGGAAGTACAACAGTGACCCCCCAAAATTGGACCACCTGGGAATGCCCCCTGTGATCAATTAGTAGCTGCATGGGGTACCCTCTGGTGAATCAGACATGGTTTGCTGGACAATCATCCTGGATGAGGATGATTTTCCACACTAAAAACCTCCATTTCTAGTGGATTCCCCCCTTGCCCTGTTTGATGACCATAGGATATATGTCTTTAAAACTGGGTTCAAGCCCCATCTCCACTACTGGCAGGAAACACTTCTCCGGCAGCCGGAGCAAGCGGTTGACTCCATCGGTGACGCCTCTGAGCCGGGGGCCACTGGTTCTGCAGGTGGTGACTTTGCAGTTCCAATTGGGATGAGCCCAGGGGACTTCTGCCAGGGCTGGGAGGCGCGTTCAGGAGACATCATATATATATACTACTACTACTACTACTAATAATAATAATAACAACAATCAATAATAATCAGAAAATACATACATGTCCTTTTCATTACTTTTTTCGCGGCTTGGTTGAAGAAAAGGGTATGCCAGTCACCGACCCTGACATATTTCTCCTGGTTCCAGCATGGTCAAATCTCCTATGAATTGTTCGCTTCATATCCCCATTTGGCTGTCTGGAAATCACCAGGGTTTTAGTACACGCCACAAAGTCTCATCCAAGGCACTTCCATCCCAAACTGACCCCAAAAGCCTTCGCTTCTTTATCCCAAATCTGTGTGCTAAATTGACTACCCACATTTTCTAGTCATGGGAATTTCTGGGATGATACTTGAGAAAATCACCTTGTTTAAGGAGTTATCATGGAACTATATAAATGAACCATAGCCTCCATAGCTATAGGGTACTTAATGACTCACCGCCAGAGGCTTCCTTTGGAGCCTCAAAGTGTGGAGTTGGAGCCTACCCTGCCTGCCCAAAAGTGGGGAACTTGAGCCACAACAATGTCCCAAGATTTCAGGAAAATGTTGACTAAAGAATCAACATTTTGGGGGTTCCCTAGTTTCAGACAAGTTTCAGACAAACCCAGATATATGGGAAAAGCGTGGAAAAAGGCCCCAACTGGTGGATGTGGTTTGTTGATGATGCCCTGGGGTCTCCGACTGAAACCGGGGACACTATTCCTCGTGAAGGGCAGCTGTAGACTCCGTCCTCCAAAGTTCTGTTTCGGAAACTGCCCAGATGCGCAGGTGCGTCACTTCCCCAGCCAAAACCACTGATTCTTGGCCATTTTCTTGGCCTCTAAGGAGCCCAGTTGCGCCTGAACTGCCAGTGCCGGATGCCGAGAATCCACAGGGTGGATCACCAGCCATGATATTTGGGAATGGTTCCAAATTTTGGACCAGGGGACCGTAGACCTTGGTCATTTTCAGTGCCAACCATTTATTTTGTACCCGACTTTGACCCATCCCAGTTTGGAAGATTTTTGGAGTGATCAATTGGACCAGGGTGCTGATCGAATGTCATGGGGTGGACTGCCGCAAGGCGATTCCTATGGCAAAGGGTAAGCACTCCTTAACTGTTTGAGGTGTTTTCAGGACCCTGGACTCTGGACTGTCATGCAAGTATGCCATTGTTCCATAGTTACACAGTTTGCATGAGGATAGATCTGGTGTCACTGAGGAAAATCAACGAGCACTTCACAGCAAATCGGAGTCAGTAGGGCATACGCAAAAGAATATTCTTTGCCTTACCTATCACGGACTATGGGAACTACATGACGATTGTTGTTTCGTGGGTACTGATATCCCATAAAGCCTCATCTTCATTTGTACAATTGGTATCTCCCATATCCATCATGATGCTACTCGAACTTATTCTGATCTATATCCCTTCAAATGCGCCAGACATAGGAATCCCTCTATGTACGTATATTAAAAAACATACATACATATGTATACACACGCATACATATATATATATATATAAACATACACACCTCATACTCATGTATAGACCCGATCCCCCATCATTTCCATCCTCCAGATGTTCATCCCCCAATCGACAGGCAACCCCCGTCACCAAAGTCGCCATTGCTGTCCCCTTCGGCATCGCCGTCGCCAAAATCGCCCTCGGCGTCCCCATCTTCCACCGGCCAAGCACTGCCCGGACAAGTGGAAAGGCACTGGGACGGAACTCGTCTGGTTGGTTTGGACCCAGCTGAAATGGGTATTATCAAGGAGATATACAACACAACTGGTGACACACTTGGAGTTTGACGTGCCAAGATTAGACAGGAAATCTGGAGACTTGGAGGGTAACATGGTTATTCTCCAGATTTTCCCTTAACCAATTGTGGGTCTCCAGTGACACATGTGATAGATTCCTTCAAGTGTAGAGTGGGCCCCACTCCCCAAGTCGGCAGATGATCTGCCAGGGATGCAGCTACATCGCCCAGCGGCAACGAAGAAACTACGGATCCTGGTAGCCCAACAGAAAGGCCAGGTGGGCGGCTGCAAGTTGACAACGTTGGCATCTGAAAATTGGGATCCGAATTTAAGGGATGCCCCCAATTCCAAATTATCATCCTTTTCTCCATGAAAATGGTCAATTTTGGGGTACACCGAATTTTGAACCATACTCATTTGCTTATACAATGATGTTCACTTTTTGACCGTTGGTCTCGTGTGCTAGCATTCCATTTTTTTTTAACTACATGGAAGGTGAGGTCTCTCATGGTGACTACAGGTTGGAAGCACCGGTGCCTAAAAAGCAAAGCAAGCCGCGCTCTCTGTCAAGCTTTGCCGCCTTTGACCACGAACTAATGCCACAGGCCCTTATGTTTTTGCTTCTACCGGCAATTCCAAGGAACACTTCCATAGAGACTGCCTGGCGATATGTTCGACTGGCTTTTCCTTCCCCTTGCCCAACCCGTGAAAGGAAATCCAGATCAACTTGTGAGAGAGACTCCAATAAGTGGCTAGGAAATCAACAGAGAAACTTTACGTCCAGGTGTTTCACCCATCGGTGGGTGTGGCTTTTGTACCCTGACATCTGCTACCAAATTTTCAATTTTACCTCAATAGCAATGGCTGAACACCATTTTTATACTCGCATGTCCATTTTTGGTGATGATATTTCATTCTTACACCGTCAATCATTCATGATTCTATCCTGGAGTTGCTATGTTTGATTTCTCAAGCATTTTTGATGGTCAAATCATTAAAAACACCCATGGCGCAGCGCACGTTTCCTTGATTTTTCAGGGCTATGTCTTGATTCTTGACGATAGAAAGCGATGGCCAATCCTCATTTCAGGATGATTTCATGCATTTTTGAGGGCAAATCTGCACGAATTCCCACATTTTCAGGGTTAGATCCCAATTTTTTTCAGATCACTTTTCCTGAATTTTGGGTCCCAAAACCATCGCTGAGGCCCAAGGCCAAGAAGCGCACTGGTGGTGCAGGGAAACCGCCTCCACCTCCGCCCAAGGCCCATCATACAGGGATGGATACGGGTTATATAGACGACCTAGTCATAGACGGACTACAGTCAGCCATGAATTGGGAACGATCAACGATGGTTCAAGCAACAAAGGAGGGATCTGGGCGAACTGCGTTTTTTTTTTGCCGGCTAAGCCCCAGAAAATGAAGGTTTGGAAATCGGAAGCATCCTGTAAATAAGCGACCATTTTTAGCTAAAGATGATCACTTACACAGAATGGTAGATGATGAGGATAAGGAGAGGCTGCGAATGATCATCGGCTGGCTAGAGATGTGGTTAAGAAGGCATAGGCTACAGGCTACATGGATTGGGGATAAAGGTACCATGTGCTGGGCAAACGGATCGTTTGGTTTGTCAAGGAGTTAACTCCTAGCCCTTCTCATGGGGCAAGGCTTTTCATACCCTACGTGGATAGATAGATCACCTTTTTGAGAGGCATTCAGGCTCAAGCACTCGAAGCATACGCAGACTTACCCTCTGGTAATCAAGCATGCCCCTCTATTTATATAGTTCGACGTTTTCCCAGCCATAAACCTCCATTTATAGTGGTTTCTCCCATATTTTCCTATGAATTGACACCGGAGCTCCCAGTTCATCCCTTTTCCACACGCACCTCGTGTCAGGTGCCAGAGCCACCCCCCTTAGTTCCCAAAAAGGACGCGCAGCGTGCCGGAGCTGGAAGGTTCCTGGAAGGGCTTTCTTGCGCGGTTTTAGCACTTTCCTAATCATCCACACTTTCCACACACTTTCCAGGTTTTAGGAATGGTTTTAGTGGCTTCATGTAGGTTTGTAAGATCTACCCCAATTTGCTTGGTTTCCACCTGAGTCCCCCAACCACGATACTTATGGCCTACGACTTGGCCATGTTGCTTGACCCAGGAGCTCAATGAATACGAGGATGAGGCAACGGGGCTGCGATTCGCATGTGGAAGTTCCTCAGGCATCAACCTCTGCAACGGAAAACCCGATGAGAAGACAAGACACCGGATACAGTTTTTCTTGGTGATTCATGTCGTATCCCCAGCTCAACAGAAAAACCTCCGTATTTTTTATGCGTAAATGTTCAATCTCCGTAATTTTTGGGATGGCTTATGATATTTGTTGTTGAATGTGGGTACAACAATGCCATAAACCACCCATTTGGGAATGGTTTATACAACCTATAAAAATGGTGATGTGGGGGGATGGTTTATGATAGTTTTACCATGTTTTACCCACATTACCAGATGATCCTTTTTCTGTGCACCTCTTCCAGGTGGTGAGTGCGATCGACCTTTTGTGTCGACAGAAACGACCCTTGAGGCGAACGGAGAGGACGCTATGTCAACATGGCGACTGAAGGAACTTCCCGATGGATTTTCGTTATATTAGTTAGCGTAGCCCCAAAAAAGATCGATTCTAGATGATTTCGTTGATTTGTTGTTTTTATTTATTCGAGTAGAATTGTTTTTGCGATTTTTTCAGGGTTCCTTTGTAGGCCCTTCATTAGCTACATTGTGACCATGACAAAGTGGCCAAACATAGCTGTATAAGGAGTTGTGGTTAAACATTTGGGTCTATATAGTGAAACCTGGCTGATTCATTCAAGGGTCTCAGCCCCAAAAAGAGAAACATTACCATTTGGAACCAATTTATAAAGGGGTTTCAAAATGCTGGGCCATCCACGTATTGGAGTGCAAGTCCAAGTATGTCATAATATCTATACGTGTTGATCTGCTTGTCCCATCTCTTGGGAATGGCCGTAGGTCAAACTCCGCTATCAAATGGATGATCAATGCGAGTGATTAGAAAATGGTGATTCCCATTCCTGATGGTTCTCAAATTTTTAAATACTCTGGTAAACTAACACAATTAACATAGATGTGGAAAACGCACCGTTTGTAGTTTGTAGGTCATTTTTCTACAAAAACCTATAGAAACATGGGTTTTCTACATCTACGTTAGCCTAGGGGGCCCATACCCATAATTTGCCCACGATATTTGTATTTTGGCCAGTGAAGCACCCATGACATGCCCATTGTGAAGCCCTTTATGCATTTTGCCAATTGCTGGTTGAACTTTTCATGCTTGTTGTTTGGGTCCCCATTTTGACTGCTTAAATCCGAATATTCGTTGCCTAACTTCATTTTTTTTGTTGATCAACCCATTCCAATTGTTGGTGATTTCATATGATTTCATGAGATCCCCAAAATTTGATGCTTGATACAGCCAATATTGCCAATCTGGCTGTATCAACCGGCTGTATCTTACCATCTTTGCCGGTTGATACAGCCAATTGTTGGTGATTTTCGTACCAGGCACCGTGCCAGGCAATCCTTGGAGGAGGCACTGGATCTACGGCAGAGCCTTGTGGATGCGGATGCAGATGATGAAGGCGCCTGGAATGCCGAGATCGCGATCTCCCCCAATGAAACATTGGGATTTAGCTATGAAACATTGATATTTTTTATTTAGTAATATTACTGTAATTAATTTAGCTAAATATTGATGATTGATCATAGTCTTACCGTAACATCAATACCAATCAAGGATTCAATCCATATTTTTTGTTTTACCATCAAACAGGCAGTGACAAAAAAGCGTCAGGCAGTGGGATTAAACCATGACACATGGATTATATGGGGATGGCCCATTGCCTATAATGCCTATAATGAGGGGCGAATGAACATCCATTTTTCCATCCAATGTGCCGTATTATGGCTGATGTTAGGCCAATAAAAACTCCTGCCCAACTCACCTGGGACTTCTGAAATCTCATGGGTTTTCTGGTCTCTGGGAATGTGAGAAATCGGGGGACACCCAAAAAGTGACATCCTTGGCCAACGATGACATCCTTCCAGGCAAACTTTCATCCTTTGGAGTGCAAGCTGATGAAGGGTCAGGCCCTGAGCTGGGGTCCATCTGCTTCTTGCCTGTTATTGAACTCCGCTATTGTTGGTTGATGAAATCCCCATGTCTTGCTTCAATCCGTTCAATCCCAAGTTTTGCTGCTTCAATGCCACAAAGATCCCGACTTATCCCATGTCTTGTTGCTTGGCTCTGCACCCCTTGGCAAGCCCCTTTCTTGTGGCATCGCACGAGCCGACTCGAGGCCCAAGTCCTTTGGACAGGTCCTGGCCCAGGTTCAAACCTGGCTGTGACATCCCCATGAAAAGTCACAGGAAAATATGGGAACATCCACTAAAAATGGAGGTGATGAGCGGAAAAATCATCCATCAATGGATAATCGATGGGAATTTCATGGAATTTCATGGGACAATCGTGGATTTTCCATAGGACTTACATGGGGATCCCCATCATGGACCATGGGATTTCTCGGGATGATGGTTGTACAAGAGCTGATTGGGGATAGCTAATTTTCCGATTGTTTTTGGGATGCCATTCATTATCAACCAACCAGTATATGGGATAGGGCTAGTTTTCATGTGGCTGTGGCTTGGCACAGACTGAAAAATGTCAATGAATTGGTGTGTTTGGGAAAGTCTACAGAAAACCCATGGGCTTTGCCAATCCCATGAGCACACACACAAACACAAATTTTTGCAGTTGATAAACACAAACACATAGAGCGGTTCCCCAAGAATAGAAGCGTCAATCTCTATTATTTTCAGTATTTTATTGATTTCTTTATTTCCTTTTCTTTTGTGATACCCTTGCATACCAATATCTACATACATACAGATTGGCTACATATCCGATGAAAGTGGGTGCAACCAGCAACTTGTTGCTCCATTTTCGGGGCAACAAGACAAGACCAAAAGCACCACAGATATCATTACAGATCCACGTTTGTCTGTACGTTTGCTAGGTATATCATGGTATATCTATATATACAATTGCATGGATCGATTCATACCACACATTTGTAAATATGTATCCTTATTTATATGATAAATAAATCAATAAATCAGTTAATCAATAATTAATAACATAATATATATATATATCATAATATTTTATGGCTCTGGTCCGCAAGAGAAGTGGTGTGGCCTGATTTCAGGTCAGTGAGTTATGATGATTTACCTATATATATATTATATATATTTATACACATACTATCCATACATACGCACACACACACAACCCCCCATGAAACAGGGACATATTGTCATGACTCACCTTGGAGGCTTGGACTGGCAATGCAGGTGCTTCAGTTAGATCCGCGCTTCGTCAACCAGAGGGAGAGTTCACCGATGGCTAGTGCAAATGGTGAGTCAACCCATTGGAGTTAATCAAGCTGGGGGAGGTCACCAACATCACAGGCTGCACTTTTTTTGAGCTGTGGCGCGTCTCAGGCCGATCGCCCGCGCCTGTAGCGCATGTGCTCCCTTGGCCGTCACAGGAGGTACGGATCTGGGGGTCAAGTGCCTATCCCATGGATGGTTTCGAGTTTAGAATTCTCTCTATAGTGCATGGTGCCCCAGTTCGGAATCTTTAAGTTGGTTTATGTCACTAGTAAAAAGAACTGTTGGGTTTATGGTAGATACTTGCGAAGACTAGCCTCTGGTAATCAAGGGTGGCTGGAAGATTCCCGATGAATCAATGGAGGTTTAGTTCGCTGGGAAAAGCTTCAAGCCAAATGGTGGATTTTCCAGCAAGCCATGCTTGACTACAAGGTATCCAGGTATTCCATAAAGATGGGAGGTCAGGATCTAAGTTCAGATTTTGACTGAACATGTTGAGAAAACCGCCCAAAATCGGTTAAGATCATGTTCCCAATTGTTGAATGACCGTAAATGGGGTCAATCCCAAAACTTGAACAACAAATAAAGTTGGTTGTAAGTTATATCCTGTTCATATCCCTCAGACATAGCCATTAATATTCCGTTATGTAAATATATATATATATACACACCACATTATATCCCCATTCTGCTTGGCCGAAAAGATTGTCCCCGGCACCTGAATCCAGGTCACACACCGAGAAGTGCCTGGCTTGCGGGGCTTGGGGAAGCCATTGGCCGCGCGCTTGCGTGGGCTGCTTTTACACCTGGAACGAGCTGTGGCTGAGTTGCAGATAGGGGGAAGATGGGGGTTTCCATAAATGGGGGTACCCCTAAATCATCCATTTCAATAGGATTTCCCTTATAAACCATCCATTTTGGGGTACCAGCATTTATGGAACCCCCCAGATGCTTCCAACATGAACTGCTGATTTGAATCATAGCTTTGAGGTTGAACATGAACCCAGATGTGTCATCAATTCGAAGCTTTCACAGCAAACCAAATGGTGTGTCACCTGCAAGAAGGTGAATATGAACCTACCATCGCCAATTTTGCCCGAAATGGGTTGAACAACATATCCCAGGTTGGAGATTGAGTTTGGCGTTTATCAAATCATTTCATATAACATGTTGTACAGTAACATACCATTATTTGCTATACTATAGCATTAGAAAACAGGTCTTTTCTGGCCCAGCCCAGCTAGCAATAGGAAGTACCGTAGGTTGATAGATCTCATGGTCTGGCAATTTGGTCGGGATGTAGAAACTGGTACCAGTTGCCTCTACTGGGTTTGGATTTGTTTGGGATATGCATAGAATCTATATATATATATATAATATAATATATATATATACACACTTATTCACACATATACATACAGCATAGTTAGTTTATAGCTAGTATACGTATATATATATGTATATTAGATGAACTCTATAATAGTGTGTGGTAGATATAGCATACATATACAGAAGTTTATGATCCCCGAGGACGTGCACCACGTGTTGGGATTTTCCCCAAGGTTGCATTGGATCCAGAGATCTCTGCATCAGACCTCTTGCAGCAAGATCTGATCACCGAGGCGGCGAAATTACCTGTTGAAGTCATTGGGGGGAAGTTGATAATGCTGGTTACCCTCTGGTAAGCCCCTGTAAATGGAGGCTTTTTTTCTGGAACATGTCTATAAATGGGGGGATTTTCCCATGTTTGATTGCCGGAGGGTACGAAACCTTCGGTTTTGGAGGGTTATATAATAGATTTATATAGATTTCAAAATCACCCATTTGTGGCACACACACACACGCACTTACTTGGGGAAACATCACATGACTGCAAAAAAAATGGTTCGTAAATCGTGTTTTGTAAATAGTAGTATTTACATGGTAAATGGTACATCGAGGGAGCATTTACCATTGGTATTTTCACTATATAGTTAGTAAAACCTGTTTACCATCATTGTTGACCCTGGTTGCTGGAAATCTCTCCCTCAATGATGGTTTTAATTCTTGGTGGTTCACCCACCACTCGAACCACAGAAACGGGATGATGATCTTTCCAATGACTAGATAGAATCTTTTTTTTTAAAACAGGGGTTGAAGCCACCAACCAGTAAGAAATGTCTGTTTGCAGACATTTTCTCCATCTATTCTTAAATAGCATACCCAGAATTTGTGGTTCAGCACGACGCTTGATGAAAGACGAGCGAAACTCGCTGCGCACATACTTAGATCTTCGGACAATGACCCAATGAGGCAGGTAACCTATAAGCCTGGCAGTGCAGATGCAGTCGAAGTTGGTACAGTAAACGTCGTATCGGAAGACCTAGGCAGCATTGGACTTTCCATTCCAACCAACTTATCCACAACCTAATATCTCATACTGATTATCATGCTTACGACTTCCAAAATGAAAACATCCTTGCAGCTGCACGCCAGCGTCGAATCTAAAACCATGTTCCGTCCTACGCCCTGGTGCCCAAGCACCTCTTTTGTTTTTGCTGTGGATGTCAGCAACGGGGGCATGGCGAAAGAAAAAAAAAGAATTTGTGGTTGCATTCTGACAAACTTCTGTTTTTGGTTGTCATTCACCGAACGTTTTGATGAGCATTTTTTATGGTCGAATTTCATGGATTCTTGTGGGGCTTGAACCGTGGTGCATTGGGTTGCTGCCCTTGTCTGATTTGGTGAGGCCGGAAAGCCCGAAGTCAATCTGCAGGCACATGGCTTTTGGGGTTTTGATTCCTGGTCCACCAAAATTGGCCCATGATTCCATAGGTCAATTGGATCCAGCTGCTAGCTGTTTTTGAAATGACTTCGGAGACCATGAAGATCTTTGGAAATAAATCGGCAGTATCTTGTTGGTGCATCATTTGCAGTCGGTGCTGCTTGCTTGCTCTGGTTGAACCCCCGAAATCCCAGTGGTTTATCATTTTCCAGATGAACACAGCCAGGCTTCCGGGCTTGGCAAGTTCCCACCACCTCTGATGGTGGCTGGAAACGTGGAGCTCCAGTCCCAGAATTCTTGGATGCTTTGGCACTAGACACGATCGCTTCTTGACTATTCTTGGATCAACACCATGGAAATCCCAAGAACATGTGTGTGTATATATACATATATATGTATATATATATGTACAGGGGTTTCCTATCGCAACAAATTCCTGACAGCAATTCTCAGATTGGAGAATTTGCCATTCTCAACTGAACCGCCCCCATGGCGTTAGGACCTTTTGGTCAGCACTTTCCGGTGAATGCCAAGGCCCATGCCGTTGACTTTGACTGCGGGCCTCTCAGGGTCGACTTGGAAATTGCCTTGGATTTGTATGTGTATATGTATATATATTATATGTATATATATATATGTATGGTATTATATATATACAAATTATTCACATTTACATATATATATATATGTATATGGTATTATATATATATATACAAATTATTCACATTTACATATATATATATACACAGTATATATATATATCTATATATCTATATACATTCATATTCATGTGTACACACATAAACATAGACATGCATGTATATTTCTGCTATGAATATGTAGATGTACATGGGCCAGTCCCTAGGCCGATGCTTGCCTTATCCCGAATGCCCAGCCCCTTGCGACGGCTGGCCTGCTAGCCAGCCTGCAGACACACACGCACAGTATCGGCCCAGATGTACGCAAACACACATGCACAAAAACAACAATACAATGTGTACATGTAGATATGTTTATTACATAACATACATACATACATACATACATATATATATACATACATGTGTATGCATATATATATATATGTGTATATATATATATAGATACTGTATAGGTATAGATATAGACAGACATAGATAGATAGGTATATAGGTGCTAACGCCATGGCCAGGGGACTGTTGGTGGCGGGCTATTTTATGCTGTCTGACATAGACATGATGCTACGTTCGGGGTAGGTAGGTACATAGGTACGTAAGCAGATAGCTAAATAGGTAGATACGTAGATAGGCAGATAGGTAGAAGGTGGATAGGTACATAGGTAGATATGTAAATAGGCAAATATATGTAGATGGATGGATGGATGGATGGATGGGTGGGTGGGTGGGTGGGTGGATGGATGGATGGATGGATGGATGGATGGATAGATAGATTAGATAGATTAGATAGATTAGATAGAATAGATTAGATAGATTAGATAGATTAGATAGAAAGATAGATAGATGGACAGATGGATAGATGGATGGACGGATAGATAGATAGTTTGATATATATATATTTATGTATCGATTGATTGATATATATATATATAGACAGATAGACAGATAGACTGATAGATTGATTGAGTAATAGAGATATAGGATCGATAGGACAGATAGGATACAGGATCGGTAGGATCGATAGGCAGATAAGAGAGGTAGGAGATACAGGATAGAGAGGATAGAAAGGATAGATGGGATAGATAAGATAGATAGAAGGGATAGGAGAGATAGATCGATTCTCCGATAGATAGGATGGATAGGATAGATAGCATAGATAGGATAGATAGGAGAGATAGGAGATGTAGGATAGATAGATAGGTAGACAAGATAGATAGGATAGATCAGATAGGATGTAATGGATAGATTGATAGATGGTTGGATGGATGTATGCGTGGATGAATACAGTAGATGCGTCGATGGACAGATTGATAGATTGATAGACAGAGATATAGGTACAGACATAGGTATAAATATAAGTGTAAGTACAAGTATTAGTATTAGTATACAATAAGTACAAGTATATATATATATATATCAGCTATAAGTATAGATATATGATCCCGGTTGGTGGTTTGGAACATGAAATTTATTTTTCCATAATGTATGGGAATGTCATCATCCCAACTGGTCCGAACTCCATCATTTTTCAGAGGGGTAGGTCAACCACCAACCAGATGTTCCTGGCCCACAACTACCCCGCATCATCGGCTGCTCCAGTAGTTCCATGGTCAAGGCACTTTCTTCTGACGAAGAGGACAGCCGGACAGCCTGTTCGGCACCTTTGATTGACGAACTGACAGTTCATTCTTAGTGAGTCTTAGTGATATTGTAGTAACTCGCGCAAATATCGGTTCCAAGCACCAAAATGAAAGGATCATTTCACCCATCGTTCTTTTTTTGGTGCAAGATTGCCATTTCGGTATGGTTGGGTAAACAGTTTGAGGCATTGGCATGTCTCAGACAAGACCATGGTGACCATGGTGGATACTGTTCCTGAGCCGCAGCATCTTGACGAAACCACACACTCCGCAACCACTCATCGGCTCAGTTGCTTTTATGAAAACACGGGCAGGACATGCAACACAGACCAACTTCAATCGGGACGGGACACTTTCATGTAGCAACGTGGGAGTCTTGCAGAATTGACCCTTTGAAAAAGTCACCGAACGTTATTATTATTTGCCATGATCGGAATGCTTTCACGAGCGCGGTCCCCGGTTGCACTTGATGGCACAAATTTGTGCATTGAGTGAACACTTGGAGAGCGTCAATTTGTGGCATCGAACGATTAATGTAGCTGAGTCTGTCATGCAGGAGTAGATTGAATGACTCAAATCGCGGATCAGTTGAACCTCAGCTTTGGTATTCCTAAAAATGAACACATGATATTCATGATATCAGGTCTCTGCAGTTTTATACCTCGCATGTTTCAATTATATTCATTGATCCATGCATATGTTTCCTGTATACATCCCTGTATTTGTCGCTTATTTCCCTGTTTATGCACAGTCGAACTTATTTCCCTGTTTATGCAAATGCACAGTGCAAATGGCATGCAAAGTAAAGTACTGTAGTTCAATGCAGTTAAAGAAGACGGAAGGTAACGCGATGCCATGCGTTGTATTTCGACCATGCCATTTTCTTTCATTTAATTATATATACATAGACCTGTTCATTGGTGCAGATAGATATGGATACACCATGTCTCGCAAAAAACAAATAGATCATGATAGATCCATTTCCATTTCCTCTATTTTTCATGGTTCAGATCCTATCCGAAAAGGGTACGGGTCCACCTCCTTGAGGTTCATGCACAGGTGAGGAGGTTTAATGATCCTCCGCAACCTGTAACAATCATAAGCCTGATTGTTGGGGTTTCACGTAACATGAAAGATTAGAATTGCTTATGTGCTGTGCATGATTATGATATGTGCACCAATGGCATAAACGGCCCATCATGCTAGCCCCATCGTACCTTAGGACCATTGTTGGCTTGTATAAATTGGATTAATCCTTATTAATACTCATGAGTATAGAAGTCATTATACCATTGTTATCTGTTGGATGATTATAACTATAGCTATAACTATAACTATGACTATGATGATTATGATAATGATAGTCATATAATATCATATAATCATAACAATACAATCCTCCCTTCTTTCTTGGTTGCTCCAAGCCCAGAATTTCGGAGGTCTTGAAGTTCCTGAGCTTCGCTGGCTTTGTCAGCTCAGCATCAGTGGAAGCCTCAGCTGGGTGGTTCAACCCAAGATGCTGGGTATATCCCAATGGTGTAAGATCTTATAAGGATAATAATAACAATAATAGCAAATAATAATCATAATAGTAATATTTAGATATATTTAGAATATGTATATATATATATAATAATATATATATATCTATACATATATATATTAAAGGGCTACGCCCTCTGCCGCCGACCCCTGGACACTGGAGGGTCATGCCTGCCTCTGTGTCGTAAGCATGAAATGAACCCTAAAGAAACCAGAAACTGACCTAAACAAACCATTTGTATGTGCGTTTGGCACTGTGCACATGCAAGCAGCATGGACCCCTGCAGGATGACACGCACAACTATGTGCTCTGACACTTTTTCATGGCTCAAGAAATAGGAGCTTTCGTCATTGGCCAGGTGTCTTGGGGACCTAAAGGGTTGCTCTAGCATTAAGACCCATACCCGAAGCCCCCGTTCGTAACCGCAGTATGAAACTTTAAATGGCATCCTAAAGAGACCCGAGACGACACTGCACTGCCAACTGCCACCCTGCTCGTGTCCTCCTGGAGCCGGCTTTCGTTCTGCACCGCTTCGGTCCAAGCTGGAGTCCAAGGACCGTGTCGCAGGGCTAAAACACCATGGCAGTGAAGGACGGATTGGGCCCGCGGCCCGTATCCCAGACTGCCAAACGTCACTTTCTGAACCGACTAGAAACTAGCTCCAAACCTTGACTTTTCCTGCGTTTCTGCACTGCCAACTGCCACCCTGCTCGTGTCCTCCTGGAGCCGGCTTTCGTTCTGCACCGCTTCGGTCCAAGCTGGAGTCCAAGGACCGTGTCGCAGGGCTAAAACACCATGGCAGTGAAGGACGGATTGGGCCCGCGGCCCGTATCCCAGACTGCCAAACGTCACTTTCTGAACCGACTAGAAACTAGCTCCAAACCTTGACTTTTCCTGCGTTTCTGCACTGCCAACTGCCACCCTGTCGTGTCCTCCTGGAGCCGGCTTTCGTTCTGCACCGCTTCGGTCCAAGCTGGAGTCCAAGGACCGTGTCGCATGGCTAAAACACCACGGCAGTGAAGGATGGATTGGGCCCGCGGCCCGTATCCCAGACTGCCGTCACTTTCTGAACCGACTAGAAACTAGCTCCAAACCTTGACTTTTCCTGCGTTTCTGCACTGCCAACTGCCACCCTGCTCGTGTCCTCCTGGAGCCGGCTTTCGTTCTGCACCGCTTCGGTCAAGCTGGAGTCCAAGGACCGTGTCGCAGGGCTAAAACACCATGGCAGTGAAGGACGGATTGGGCCCGCGGCCCGTATCCCAGACTGCCAAACGTCACTTTCTGAACCGACTAGAAACTAGCTCCAAACCTTGACTTTACCTGCGTTTCTGCACTGCCAACTGCCACCCTGCTCGTGTCCTCCTGGAGCCGGCTTTCGTTCTGCACCGCTTCGGTCCAAGCTGGAGTCCAAGGACCGTGTCGCAGGGCTAAAACACCATGGCAGTGAAGGACGGATTGGGCCCGTGGCCCGTATCCCAGACTGCCAAACGTCACTTTCTGAACCGACTAGAAACTAGCTCCAAACCTTGACTTTTCCTGCGTTTCTGCACTGCCAACTGCCACCCTGCTCGTGTCCTCCTGGAGCAAACGTCACTTTCTGAACCGACTAGAAACTAGCTCCAAACCTTGACTTTTCCTGCGTTTCTGCACTGCCAACTGCCACCCTGCTCGTGTCCTCCTGGAGCCGGCTTTCGTTCTGCACCGCTTCGGTCCAAGCTGGAGTCCAAGGACCGTGTCGCAGGGCTAAAACACCATGGCAGTGAAGGACGGATTAGGGCCCGCGGCCCGTATCCCAGACTGCCAAACGTCACTTTCTGAACCGACTAGAAACTAGCTCCAAACCTTGACTTTTCCTGCGTTTCTGCACTGCCAACTGCCACCCTGCTCGTGTCCTCCTGGAGCCGGCTTTCGTTCTGCACCGCTTCGGTCCAAGCTGGAGTCCAAGGACCGTGTCGCAGGGCTAAAACACCATGGCAGTGAAGGACCCCAGACTGCCAAACGTCACTTTCTGAACCGACTAGAAACTAGCTCCAAACCTTGACTTTTCCTGCGTTTCTGCACTGCCAACTGCCACCCTGCTCGTGTCCTCCTGGAGCCGGCTTTCGTTCTGCACCGCTTCGGTCCAAGCTGGAGTCCAAGGACCGTGTCGCAGGGCTTTAAAACACCATGGCAGTGAAGGACGGATTGGGCCCGCGGCCCGTATCCCAGACTGCCAAACGTCACTTTCTGAACCGACTAGAAACTAGCTCCAAACCTTGACTTTTCCTGCGTTTCTGCATTGCCAACTGCCACCCTGCTCGTGTCCTCCTGGAGCCGGCTTTCGTTCTGCGGCCCGTAGCCCAGAGTGCCAAACGTTACTTTCTGAACCGACTAGAAACTAGCTCCAAACCTTGACTTTACCTGCGTTTCTGCACTGCCAACTGCCACCCTGCTCGTGTCCTCCTGGCGCCGGCTTTCGTTCTGCACCGCTTCGGTCCAAGCTGGAGTCCAAGGACCGTGTCGCAGGGCTAAACCACCATGGCAGTGAAGGACGGATTGGGCCCGCGGCCCGTATCCCAGACTGCCAAACGTCACTTTCTGAACCGACTAGAAACTAGCTCCAAACCTTGACTTTTCCTGCGTTTCTGCACTGCCAACTGCCACCCTGCTCGTGTCCTCCTGGAGCCGGCCTTCGTTCTGCACCGCTTCGGTCCAAGCTGGAGTCCAAGGACCGTGTCGCAGGGCTAAAACACCATGGCAGAGAAGGACGGATTGGGCCCGCGGCCCGTATCCCAGACTGCCAAACGTCACTTTCTGAACCGACTAGAAACTAGCTCCAAACCTTGACTTTTCCTGCTTTTCTGCATTCCCCAACTGCCACCCTGCTCGTGTCCTCCTGGAGCCGGCTTTCGTTCTGCACCGCTTCGTCCAAGCTGGAGTCCAAGGACCGTGTCGCAGGGCTAAAACACCATGGCAGTGAAGGACGGATTGGGCCCGCGGCCCGTATCCCAGACTGCCAAACGTCACTTTCTGAACCGACTAGAAACTAGCTCCAAACCTTGACTTTTCCTGCGTTTCTGCACTGCCAACTGCCACCCTGCTCGTGTCCTCCTGGAGCCGGCTTTCGTTCTGCACCGCTTCGGTCCAAGCTGGAGTCCAAGGACCGTGTCGCAGGGCTAAAACACCATGGCAGTGAAGGACGGATTGGGCCCGCGGCCCGTATCCTAGACTGCCAAACGTCACTTTCTGAACCGACTAGAAACTAGCTCCAAACCTTGACTTTTCCTGCGTTTCTGCACTGCCAACTGCCACCCTTCTCGTGTCCTCCTGTAGCCGGCTTTCGTTCTGCGGCTCCAAACCTTGACTTTACCTGCGTTTCTGCACTGCCAACTGCCACCCTGCTCGTGTCCTCCTGGCGCCGGCTTTCGTTCTGCACCGCTTCGGTCTAAGCTGGAGTCCAAGGACCGTGTCGCAGGGCTAAAACACCATGGCAGTGAAGGACGGATTAGGCCCGCGGCCCGTATCCCAGACTGCCAAACGTCACTTTCTGAACCGACTAGAAACTAGCTCCAAACCTTGACTTTTCCTGCGTTTCTGCACTGCCAACTGCCACCCTGCTCCTGTCCTCCTGGAGCCGGCGGCTTTCGTTCTGCACCGCTTCGGTGCAAGCTGGAGTCCAAGGACCGTGTCGCAGGGCTAAAACACCATGGCAGTGAAGGACGGATTGGGCCCGCGGCCCGTATCCCAGACTGCCAAACGTCACTTTCTGAACCGACTAGGAACTAGCTCCAAACCTTGACTTTTCCTGCGTTTCTGCACTGCCAACTGCCACCCTGCTCGTGTCCTCCTGGAGCCGGCTTTCGTTCTGCACCGCTTCGGTCCAAGCTGGAGTCCAAGGACCGTGTCGCAGGGCTAAAACACCATGGCAGTGAAGGACGGATTGGGCCCGCGGCCCGTATCCCAGACTGCCAAACGTCACTTTCTGAACCGACTAGAAACTAGCTCCAAACCTTGACTTTTCCTGCGTTTCTGCACTGCCAACTGCCACCCTGCTCGTGTCCTCCTGGAGCCGGCTTTCGTTCTGCACCGCTTCGGTCCAAGCTGGAGTCCAAGGACCGTGTCGCAGGGCTAAAACACCATGGCAGTGAAGGACGGATTGGGCCCGCGGCCCGTATCCCAGACTGCCAAACGTCACTTTCTGAACCGACTAGAAACTAGCTCCAAACCTTGACTTTTCCTGCGTTTCTGCACTGCCAACTGCCACCCTGCTCGTGTCCTCCTGGAGCCGGCTTTCGTTCTGCACCGCTTCGGTCCAAGCTGGAGTCCAAGGACCGTGTTGCAGGGCTAAAACACCATGGCAGTGAAGGACGGATTGGGCCTGCGGCCCGTATCCTAGACTGCCAAACGTCACTTTCCGAACCGACTAGAAACTAGCTCCAAACCTTGACTTTTCCTGCGTTTCTGCACTGCCAACTGCCACCCTGCTCGTGTCCTCCTGGAGCCGGCTTTCGTTCTGCGGCTCCAAACCTTGACTTTACCTGCGTTTCTGCACTGCCAACTGCCACCCTGCTCGTGTCCTCCTGGAGCCGGCTTTCGTTCTGCACCGCTTCGGTCTAAGCTGGAGTCCAAGGACCGTGTCGCAGGGCTAAAACACCATGGCAGTGAAGGACGGATTAGGCCCGCGGCCCGTATCCCAGACTGCCAAACGTCACTTTCTGAACCGACTAGAAACTAGCTCCAAACCTTGACTTTTCCTGCGTTTCTGCACTGCCAACTGCCACCCTGCTCGTGTCCTCCTGGAGCCGGCTTTCGTTCTGCACCGCTTCGGTCCAAGCTGGAGTCCAAGGACCGTGTCGCAGGGCTAAAACACCATGGCAGTGAAGGACGGATTGGGCCCGCGGCCCGTATCCCAGACTGCCAAACGTCACTTTCTGAACCGACTAGAAACTAGCTCCAAACCTTGACTTTTCCTGCGTTTCTGCACTGCCAACTGCCACCCTGCTCGTGTCCTCCTGGAGCCGGCTTTCGTTCTGCACCGCTTCGGTCCAAGCTGGAGTCCAAGGACCGTGTCGCAGGGCTAAAACACCATGGCAGTGAAGGACGGATTGGGCCCGCGGCCGTATCCCAGACTGCCAAACGTCACTTTCTGAACCGACTAGAAACTAGCTCCAAACCTTGACTTTTCCTGCGTTTCTGCACTGCCAACTGCCACCCTGCTCGTGTCCTCCTGGAGCCGGCTTTCGTTCTGCACCGCTTCGGTCCAAGCTGGAGTCCAAGGACCGTGTCGCAGGGCTAAAACACCATGGCAGTGAAGGACGGATTGGGCCCGCGGCCCGTATCCCAGACTGCCAAACGTCACTTTCTGAACCGACTAGAAACTAGCTCCAAACCTTGACTTTTCCTGCGTTTCTGCACTGCCAACTGCCACCCTGCTCGTGTCCTCCTGGAGCCGGCCTTCGTTCTGCCACCGCTTCGGTCCAAGCTGGAGTCCAAGGACCGTGTCGCAGGGCTAAAACACCATGGCAGTGAAGGACGGATTGGGCCCGCGGCCCGTATCCCAGACTGCCAAACGTCACTTTCTGAACCGACTAGAAACTAGCTCCAAACCTTGACTTTTCCTGCGTTTCTGCATTGCCAACTGCCACCCTGCTCGTGTCCTCCTGGAGCCGGCTTTCGTTCTGCACCGCTTCGGTCCAAGCTGGAGTCCAAGGACCGTGTCGCAGGGCTAAAACACCATGGCAGTGAAGGACGGATTGGGCCCGCGGCCCGTATCCCAGACTGCCAAACGTCACTTTCTGAACCGACTAGAAACTAGCTCCAAACCTTGACTTTTCCCGCGTTTCTACATTGCCAACTGCCACCCTGCTCGTGTCCTTCTGGAGCCGGCTTTCGTTCTGCACAAACTCTTCGCCCCTTCTGGCATCTTGTTGCTAGTAAGGCCTCCTCTGACGCGCTCCCCCTGCTGACGGCAGGGGTCGGCGGATATATACACATATGTATCCCTTACCCAAGATGTTGTACCATCCCATTTTTTCATGGCCAAGTAGTGGTGGCTGTGGATCAGTATCCCCAAAAAGAGAATTGTTGGGTCACTTTCTTGATGTGAAGGGAAGGGGTACAGTACAGGTTTTTAACTTCCCATATTCCAATTTCATGGCTAAGTGATGGCAAAGAAATGGTTGGCAAATGTGAGAAATGATGGTTACTCAACCATGGTTATACAATCGCTTATATAACAAATCTGCAGGGGAAACATTGAAACATGAGGACCATTATGACATAAATGGGATATAAGCTGAACTATAACTGGGAGATTGTTGATAATCCGCAAATATTGGAAATAAGGATATTATATAAGCCTGGATGAATTATGTTGAGACCTCACGTCACGACGTCTCTGGATAGAGAGTTGTTAGGATTATGGGCATCATCCCCAAATGGCCGAAGTGTTCATGCGGGCAGGGTCCGATAACTGAAGAGAGTGGCCGAAGTTTTCATGCTCATGAAGTATTTTATTGCGAAAGACATGGGCAACATATTTATCTGACTATGGGGATGTGAATCATGCATGTCATGGATGTATCATGGGGATATAATGAGGATATAATGGATGTATATATATATATAATGGGATGTAATCGGATGTTACCAATAATATGGGGCATTTTGCAGGATGCCCGTCAAATTGGCAAATTTGATGGAGCATATGAATCAAGCAAGAAGCGTGTCTACCAATAGCGTAACACACTACTAATAGCGTATAAAGTGACCCAGTTTTATACGCTAAGCAAGTATTTTTAGGGTAACACATATTTTCAGACAAACCCAAGTCTAGTGGTTGAAACCTCCCATATTTCGAGGGGGTTCGGGGCCCAAGTCGTGCATCCTGGGTTTTCCAGGTCAAAAACTGTGGAGGACCGCACGACCATTTCTCCAACGTCTGCTTGCTGCAATGGGAGGCTGAGGTCTGTATTTCACCGGGAATGGGTGGTGTAAGCCCTCCCGCACTTGGAGGTTTATGATGGGTTTCTCACATTCCAAAATCATCTCTGAGGAACCTGGTGTCCATGTTTCAAGAATGGGTTTCATTTAGCAGACCAATTCTCTGGAACTATCTGCATCTTTTTTGGTGATTTCAAAGATGTTTTATTTTCAACCCTATTTTTGGGGCATCCCAAATTGCAACTTCCATGACTTTGCAGCCAAGGTCAGCCTTGACTTGTCGCCGGACCCCATCTCCAGGGCAACTCCATTCACCTTCACCCTCACGGGCTCTATGGACGAGGAATACCTTGCAGTTGCATTGGGTCCTATCACTATTTCACCAGAAACCTGTGCTGAAAACCCCCTGGATCAACTGGTGGATCAAAATTATTGAAATGGACCCCCCCAATCTTGGCATGCTATACAAAAAATAGCAAAAATTGATGATACTTTGTGGGTACCCCCCGGGTCACCTCCTCCCAGTCACAACAAACCAACGCCACAGACGGCCGCAGGACCACGTGGGCGGGACGGTGGATGTGGATTTGGAGATCAAGGCGCTTCGCGTCGTAGACAAGGCGCGAGGTCGTCAGGGGAAAACAGTGGAAAACACCTTTCAGGTGTTGATAAATTTGGGGTACTCCACGGCTCCTTTTGGTAATCCATGGCACTGGAAAATCCCACCATTTGTAGATGATCTTTTCATATCTTTTCTACAAACCTCCATTGATCTGAATTGTCCTAGATTTGGCGGATTTAACTAAGCTATAAGCAATCTGGGGTCCAAATTTGCGGAACTATTCAGTACTTTGCCCAGATAGATGGGCCGCTACCAATTTGGGTTTGTCTGAAAATATGATAAGTAGATTCCAGATAACAAGGTTTTGGAGCCGATAAGGGGCCTTTGGAATTTGATTCTAGGGTCCTTGGTGATTTATATCTATCCCTGTTTGTGTGATATATGTTTTCCAACATTTATTTGTTTATCTATCTTATCTATCAAAGGTAGGTGGCCTTGGTATATATATATATATACTAGTGAAATTTACCCCAAGGAAAAAGCGCATTGGGTTCGTGTCCCTTGGATGTTTCAATATTATTAATTCTTATCCGCCATTCGGTAGTCATGCCAAGAACGGGATTGATAATTTGCCTCTCCATCCATTTACCCTTCTACTCGTGGAAGTACCAGTCAGAACAAACGACCACCAATTCAATCGTAGTTAAGATATGTTTTTTTTGGTTGTGTACTTAGATAAAATATAAAATAAAATGTTGTTATGCGACGGATTCGGGGTTGCGATGGATTTGCCCCCCCCCCGAGCCAAAAAATCGTTTTTTTTTTTTTGTGCCTAAATCTCAACATGAAGGACCCCGAATCCATTGCGGGAAAATCATGGTAGAATATACGGTACCGTAATAATAAGGCTGCTTCCTAAGTCCACATGCAAATTTCTGCACCCTGACGTCGGAAAAAAACAAAAACAAAATCCCAGGGTACAACCTCTGTATTCCCTAAGTCTGAGTGCAGAAATCTGCACCTTGACTTAGGCAATACCCCACCAAGCACCTGGGATATCGTCAAAAAAAAGTAAAATGCCTAAGTCAAGGTGCAGATTTCTGCACCCTGAGTTCGGCAAAAAAAATGTACATTGCATTTAAAGGATATATGATGCAGACGTAGAAATAATGGGAAAATTGAATACTTCAATAAAAGAGTGATCATCATGGATAATATTGGTGGTTTTATACCAAAGGTATATGGGGGCACCACCCTAGAAGAAATATGAGCGTGGTTGAAACACATAGATATAGTACATACCCTATAGAGGGATGATACCCATTCCATTTTAATCCAGCAATTGGTTGGGTACCCTATAAGGGAAATGGTAGTGGACCCCTGTTTATCCAAATAATATGATAGAAAAAATAATCGTAATCGATAGTGGGATGATACCAATTTAATCAACCAATTGGTTGCCTAAGAGTGAAAATAATAACGCACATATGATTATCCATGAACATGGTAGAAAACAAATAGATACATGAAATAACCAATTGGTTACCTCATGGGGGAAATAATAAGGTATCTATAATACAATTCAATTCCACCATATACCCTCTGGTAAATTAACATAGCTATGGAAAATCACCATTTTTAATGGGAAAATCCACTATTAATGGCCATTTTCAATAGCTACGTCAAATTACCAGAGGGTATATATATAATATTTGGAAAGACCCAAGAATCCAATTTCCAGAGTCCCTAGATCAATTGCAACACCTTTAACATAGTTGAGAACATCATTTTCCCATCAAAACATCTTATTGAGCTGGAAAGGATCCATCATCCTTGGCATGGCATGGAAGCACCAGCACCTTGCTGCAAGTGGCTTCAAAATTGGGATACCCAAACTGTTTGCATCGCCTATCTCCCTAATACTACATACTGCCAAGAAGGGCCCCAAATTGAATAGATCCAATACAAAACTAGCGGTTTCAGGGGAGGTATTTGATATTGCGAAGGGATTACCATGAATCGTTCATCATTAATCCATTCTCGTCATTTACCATGCATGGTTATTCCATCTTATTCCCCTTGCATAGAGCGATTATGGTTGGACCCTGCCAGAGCGTGAAGACTCAATCCTCCTACACCATATCTCCTGGCCTTGTGGGGAGATGTGACCCAGCCACAGTTGACATTTGAAAACTGGAATCAAAAATCCGAGGCGTGCGTTGCATAGTTGGCAACTGTGAAGAGGTTTGATTCCACTGCCAGGGTTGAGGCTATCTCCAACATTGAAAACCAACTCCATGGTATTCCTCCCAGAATTGGATGATGGGAAAATGTTCGGGAAACCTCCATACTTCATTTGGTGCTTAAAAAACCATGGTTTCCTTTGGATTGACATTCCTGGATTCCGTGGCTCATAAGGTCAAGGGTCCACAGAAACTCGTGTCCGGCATCTCAGAGTCGAAGCCGAATCTCACCAGGTCACTGAGACCATCGTTTTTCTTACTGGTGCTATTCGCAGGGAATGGATGGGTTGCTGGGGGTTGCTGGGATGATGAAATTACTAGTGATATCTAGTGATGACTGGGATCATTCCCGAAAATTCCCTGCGTAAAACGCAAGGCTAAGCACCAGTAAGTTTTGGAGTTCACCTTCCCAAACCTCCAAAAATTCCCAGCTGATCATTTCATCGGCTCCGAGGATTGGCCCGGTGACGTTGCCCCAGGACCCCGGCGAGGCGTCGCTGAAGGGCACCGTCTCCGTGAAAAACGTCCAGGGCGAGCCGGTGGCCTGTGTGGCGCTGGACATTGAGGCGCGGCAGGGGCTTCACCGGTCAAGTGGCGAGATGGCCCAGAAAATCATGGGGGAAGCGATTTTTCAACCATGGGATGGAATGGTATCACGTTCCATAGAACGAGGACGATGATGTTGATGATGGTTATTACTATTATCATTATGAGTCTTATGAGTATAATTTCGCGCAAACACCCCGTATCGCCCACACCCCTTCTATGCTGTACACTTGGGGATATCAAACGTTAGACTTTACATTCAATTGGGAAGATCAACAAGGGTATTTAGGGAATATAAATTTCCCACCCCCGTGAAACTTCTACATTCATTGAAGATCTTCAATAAGGGTTTAATTCTCCCACCCCCGTGAAACTTCTACATTCATTGAAGATCTTCAATAAGGGTTTAATTCTCCCACCCCCGTGAAACTTCTACATTCATTGAAGATCTTCAATAAGGGTTTAATTCTCCCACCCCCGTTAAACTTCTACATTCATTGAAGATCTTCAGTAAGGGTTTGATGATGATGATGATGATGATGATGTGTAAGAGACTCGCACAGGTCCCTATGCTGTGCGTGCCGATATACAACATGAAGTTAGCCATGATGCAAACAACTCCCATTTTTACCACGATTTCAGCACATACGAAGATGGCCGCCGACAAGCGCGGGCAAAACGCGGTGCTTGCCCGTATAATTTCACTAATATCATTACGATATTCTTCATTCTTATTCTCATCATTAGTATTGTTCTTGATGGTAGTTGTTGTTACAATTTGGTTGCGTCAATGGTTCTTGACCTGCACGCTGAAGGTGCCGCTGTTTGAGGAGGAGGTGGGTCCTGAAGTCCAAATCAGGAAATGAGTTACTGCAACCCCCAAAAGAATATATATATATGTAAGTTCCTACAAGGTGGTACACCCCCAGTTATAAGATTTTATATTTGTTGGTTTATAACAACCATTAACTATATAAGATGTTATAAGTTAGTGAATAAGAGCCATGAATACCATATAGTTATAGATCAACTCAACTAACGAACTGGGGCACCACCTGCCTGGCACTAGGCTAAAAGAGACGAAGATTATGGCGGAGTGAAGTCTTGCGGTTCTGCCACGGATCATTTGAAAGATGTGACTCAGAGCAACGCCTGGAAGCGAAGCTGGATCCATTGGGAAAATCCCATAGATCTTTGAGATTCTTTGAGTAAAAATCTATATACTGAATAGAAACTACATATTTAAATTGATATCCAAAGTTTGGGGTTGAACTTGGATCAAGTAACAAGGGTTGAAGGATGTTGCTGCTTTATGACTTCTCACTAGGGACACAGAATCTCGTTTTTTCCCAGGACGCAGTAGCTGGATGTGTAGGAAGAGCCATCGCCAATTCCCCCTTTTTTGGCAGGTGCACCATGGTTGACCGCTCAATTTTCGGTTGGGGGAAAAAACCTAAGCCCAGTTGGACTCCGCATTCCCAGAGGTTTCGGAAACCACCTCCGGTGGTGTCACCACTGTCACTGGAACCTTGGATGAGGAGAGGTCTGACTAGGGAAAGTCTCTGGTTTTTTTTTCATGGTTCATCAACCTTTAGCGGAGTTCCCAATGGTGAAATTCAGTAAATCTATTTCTGTCAGAGAATTAAAGTCGTTGAGTCTTGAGCACTCAACGACTTGAAGTCTCCTGAAGTCTCCACTTGCGCTGACGGTCCTGGAAGTTCGGAGTGCATTCCTACATAACCATCCAATGATGACTAGAAATGATGCTTGGGATTGGGCGGAAGTGTCCCAAATGGCCGCAAGTTTCAGATAGTGAATATACCTTATTGACATTATCTAGAATGATCATCCTGTTGATAACCCCGAACACATTGGACATATATGGTACCATATATACATTGGCTTGCCGCCATGGGGAGATCACAGCAGGACCTCGCATCCATCACAGCCAATGTGGACGTCACAGTCCATGCGCTCTTCGTGAAAGTCCATGCGCTCTTCGTGAAGGTCCCTTTGAAGTTGCTGGGAATCTCAGTGGCTCCAGTGGCTCCAGTGGCACCAAAAACCTCTGCCGCAGAGCCAAGGCAAATTCCCATGTCCTTCTCGCCGGCGATTTCAAAGGGTGATTGGAAGTCCACGGGCCCAGCACGGAGTCTGGCTACAAAAAGGGTACATGAACATTTCGGCTTTTACTGGTAGCTTCCCATACTGGCCATGGTTTTGCCATTCTCAAAACTTGGGATCTTGAGGGCATTTTGAGGCAACCAGAGGTACTCGCAAGATTCTTCTCCATGCATCTAAGGACCATTTATGTAACAGGAAAAGACGGATTGAGATCTCGTTTGGGAATGAAAGACAGCGGCTTCCCATAGGCTTTGCATCTGCACACAATGACCCCCCGATCATTGGAGGATTTGCTCAGCGTTTTCCCGACAGTTTGATCGGGCCTCAACTGGTCGTTCGCATGTGCGAACGATTTTTGCCAGCCTAAGGAAGCAGATGTTCGACATTGTTCAATACACTTTGTCATTCAGCAACTTTAGGAATTCTCTTCCAGTCTTTGAAGACATCTTCCCGCAGAGATATTTTTAGAATGTGCTTCGGAGCAAAACGCCCGTCACAGTCCTCTACGGCCATTCGGTCGCGACCAGTTCGTCACAAAAACAGCCAGCCCATGGCGGCAGAAGATCGGCACCATGGCAGGCGGATGTCATGGGATAAAAAACGTGGAACCTTCACCAACAAACAATATGGCAATATGGATTGAGTCAAGAAACCATATATACTGTATATAATATGCAATATATGCCGGAATGTTTAACCAACACCACGGGGTATAGAAAGATAGAAAGGGGTGTCTGATATTGTTTTTTCTGCAGTGGCCCCCCCAATTTCAGTCAAATCCTAATGAGACGACGCATTGTTCTTGCGGATTTTTTCGAAGACTGCCGATCCAACAGGCCATCATTAAGTGTTGATGTTATGCTGTCTTTGAGTCTTTGAGGATGCGTTTGATATTGACCATTCTAAAGTCACATTTCCAAAGTCACATTTCTATCCCGCATCTCACGCGCTGGATTTCCGTCATCTACCAGGTTCCACCATGAAGCATTTGCAGGCCATGGGTTCCGGCTATGGACATCTGGGGGTTTCCTAAAATGGGGTATCCCTAAATCATCCATTTTTACAGGATTTCTTCATTATAAACCATTCATTTTGGGGTACCCATTTGTGGAAACCTCCAAAAAGCCATCTATGGTGAAATCCGCGGGTGAGTCCCAGTCATGGATGAGCTGTAGCGACCTCTACTTGCATTCCCATTGGTATCGTCTCTCGGTCTATCTATGACATATAATACTATATGAATTTTTATGATATCCATAACATATGTAGACTTTGAAAACTTGGAACAGTTCACCTACATCCCCCTTGTTCTTGCGGACATGGCAATGGTAGATCAAGGCGCTCCAAGCATTGCGGCCATTGGAACCCCCCAGCGCGATGCTGGGAGCAGCTCAAATTGGAGAACCAAAGGACAGCGTTTGGGGAAATCAAGGGGCTAGACTGGGGATGTGGGAAACTCAACAATAAACCTATCATTTGGGGATAGTTTATAGCACTAGCACCCATCATTTGATGGTGATGACTGGGGGATGGTTCAGCTGGCATTGGGTTTACCACATTACAATACATGGGAATATGTTTGGGATTTTATACATGCACATGGAATTGTGATATCATAATTGGACATATCATTTCGACATGAATGGTGGCTTCATCAGCAGCTGGGAGTGGACCATGAAGTGACCATCGTCATTTTGGATGCCGAAAAAACTGATGAGTTCTCCATTGACTATGGAACATCTCATTATAACCAAGCCCTGGGTGATTTTTTTCAACGTGCACGTGGGTTGAAAAACCAACATATTTTTCGAGCATGGCTTCAAGATGTGGTTGCCAGTTGTGACCTCTTTTCTTGTTGCTGTTTTGTCCCCACCCATTTTTACAGGAGCTTTTTGGTTCGACCCTGGCATCTTGGTTGTGAAGGGGTGCGAAATGGGTCAAGATTGAGGTACTCCGCCATCCGTTTTCTCCATTGGAAATCGAGTGTTGGATGTTGGATGGCCCCCGAGAGGCCTTGCCTCCTCTTCTGGTGTTTGGATTTATATGATTTATATGGAAGAGGCAAGAGACATCATGGATTCGTTTTTTCCCGAATGCGTAGCAAGGGTTCCCGTTTCACTCTGGGGGTCTGGGGGTTGAGGGTGTGTTCGCTCGACGTTGCGTTCGCGAGCGCAACCGTTCGCAACCGTCCGCAACCGTTCGCGCGATCCCCGTATGGCCGTGCCTATGGGAAGTTCTGCAGAGGTGGTTCTTTTTGGAGGTTTCAGACGTCTGGTTGCTTCGTTTCGCGTGGCAGGCGTGGCACTTCGTGACATTCAGACGTGTTCTGCAACGTGTCGAAAGTCGTTTTGCGTGGCAGGCGCAATACTTTTGCGACGTTTTCAGAAGATGTGTTGCAGTTTTCGTGGCAGGCGCAGCACTTTGGGCGTGTCCATCGTCATTTTTCGTGGCAGGCGCAGCACTTTAGACGTGTCCTTTTGCGTGTTTTTTGTAAATCGCATTGGCAGGGCTGCGTCAAGTGGCGACAAGGTGCAAATTCCGTGGCAGGCGTGGCATTTTCTCACATGTGTTGAAAATTGACGGAAGCCTCGCGCGAAGCATCGATTTTGAGGTTACAAATTTTCAGGTTCTAAGGAAAACTCGTAGGAAAACGTCGATTTTGGAGCTGCAAAGTATGAAAATTGGAGGAAGTCTCGCACGAAATGGTCGTTTTGGTGCTCCCACCTGTCTCGTCTCGAGTCTCTGGTTTTCCTGTGGCCTCGCCGTGTCTATGGGGGAAGCTGCAAAACTTCTCCTTTTGACATGTTTCCAAGCAGGTTGTCATGTCGTTTTGCGTGGCAGGCGTGGCACTTTGTGACATTCCAACCTGTTTGATAACGTGTCGAAAATGTCAAACTTGGAGAAAGTCTCGTACGAAATGCTCGTTTTTCTGCATCCACGTGTCTCGTCTCGGGTCGCTCGTTTTCCTGGGGCATCGCCGTGTCTATGGGGGAAGCTGCAAAACCTCTCCTTAGCGAAGGTTTCCAAGCATGTTGTCATGTCGTTTTGCGTGGCAGGCGTGGCACTTTGTGACATTCCAACCTGTTTGATAACGTGTCGAAAGTGTCTCTGGTTTTCTAGACACGTCGCCGTGTCTATAGGGGAAGCTGCAAAACATCTCCTGTTCGAAGGTTTCTAAGCAGGTTGTCATGTCGTTTTGCGTGGCAGGCGTGGCACTTTGTGACATTCCAACTTTACACTCTACACTCTGCACCCCACACTCCACGCTCTAGACTTTACCCTCCTCACTCCACACTCTACACTCCACTCTCCACACTTTACACTCCACACTCCTCACTTTACACTCCACACTCCACACTCTACACTCCACACTCCTCACTTTACACTCCACACTTTACACTCCACACTCCTCACTTTACACTCCACACTCCACACTCTACACTCCACACTCCTCACTTTACACTCCACACTCCACACTCTACACTCCACACTCCACACTCTACACTCTACACTTTGCACTCCAAACTCTACACTCCACACTCCACACTCTACACTTTGCACTCGACACTCGACACTCTACACTTTACACTTTACACTCCTCACTCCACACTCTGCACTCCACACTCCTCACTTCCCACTCCACACTCCACACTCTACACCCCTCACTCCACACTCGACACTCTACACTTTACACTCCACACTCCACACTCTACACTCCACACTCCTCACTTGACACTCCACACTCCACACTCCACACTCCTACACTCCTACACTCCACACTCCACACTCTACACTCTACACTTTGCACTCCAAACTCTACACTCCACACTCTACACTTTGCACTCGACACTCTACACTCTACACTTTACACTTTACACTCCTCACTCCACACTCCACACTCTACACTCCACACTCCTCACTTTACACTCCACACTCCTCATTCCACACTCCACACTTTACACTCCACACTCTACACTTTACACTCCTCACTCCACACTCCACACTTTACACTCCACACTCCTCACTTTACACGCCTCACTTTACACTCCTCACTTTACACTCCTCACTTTACACTCCACACTTCCCACTTCCCACTCCACACTCCACACTCTACACCCCTCACTCCACACTCGACACTCTACACTTTACACTCCACACTCCACACTCTACACTTTCCACTCTACACTCCACGCTCCACACTCCACAATTTACAAACTCCACACTCCACACTCTACACTCCACACTCTACACTTTCCACTCCACACTGCAGACTGGCAACAGGGGAAATATGTACAAGACTGTTCAAATAAACCATTGCAGAAAAGCGGTGTGCGTGACTGCATATCCATGTGCTTTGACATCTGTACCATTAACATACGTGTGAGCATTCGGGTTCGTGGGCTGCATCTTGTTTTTTTTAACCAGACAATTTTTGGGGTTGAACTCTAACTTTGGATCCTCTGAAGATGAGCGTTGTGTTTGAGAAAGATTGTGGTCCAGATCATGGGATTTGGGGAAGATGCCAATCCTGAAACACGTTGAATACCCCAGCTGGACCTGCATGAAATGCCTCTAAGATGTATCAGTCTGTATCAGGTACCACCATTTGTTTCCCAGAAAGCCCCGAGGTTGGAGATAGCGGTGACAACCTCTACCAGAAGACTGCGGAGGTAGGGAAGTCGCCATTGAACAGCTGTGCTGGGTCCCAGCCCTGGGGATTCCTAGACTGAGACCGTGCCAAGGACCTACGAGAAGTAGTTCGGACAGCCGAATTCTGGATCTCGTTGTTGGAAGGCGCCAATGGGGCCCCTTAAGCTTGGAAGTTGAAAGAATTGGGGGTCGAGCTTGGAATCTAACTTTAATCTGATGGCTGCAACCCTATTGGATTCAAAGACGCGGGCTGTATAAGATCTATGTTAGAAACAGCATTTTTAAAAAACATTACATTATAGACAATCTGGCCACAACCGCCTCTTGGACGTGAGGCCAGGCACTTAAGATTACGTTTTGAAAGAAGAGTTAGGGAAGGTTGGTCCAAATCCGGGAATGTCTGGGATGACAAACAGGGGGTGCGACCTAAGCTCGACATGGAACATTCCAGTCATTCCAGTTGCAAAATGAGATCTTTTGATTAGTGATCATGGCAACCGTTTAGAGGTTGTGGTGACGTGATGATATGTGATGATGAAGCCTTGACATGAAGGGTGCTTGGGAACGGAAAAAGGCCATGAACATCATTTGTTCATCAGGTTGGCCAGGTACCCTCTGGTAAACTAACATAGCTATTGAAAATTGCCATTTATAGTGAGTTTTCCCATTAAACATGGTGATTTTCCATAGTTGTGTTAGTTTACCAGAGGGTAAGAACGAAGACAACAGGACCTTCCAGATCTGCAGGACCCATCTCTATCGGATCCCCAAGCAAGACATACGTCACTTTGTGTGGCAGGTGAGCAGAGCGACTTACACGAAGAGATCACAAAGCACAAAAAGAGTCTTGGAGCAAATTCACTAACAACCACCAACAAAATCCAACAAACACCAATAAGATCTAATAAGTATCCAGTTGGGGGGTCACCTTTGGGAGTGTTGTTGAATCGGTTACCAAGTTGCTGCTCGCTTCAAACATCTAACAGTCGTGTAGTGGATGTGAGCATCAACGCGGGAAGCATTGCCAACTGTCTGATTTTGCCTGTTCATGAAACCCCATTGTGTTTTTATGAAAGCCCATTGGTTGACAACGTTGAGACACGTTTCAGTTTGATGAACTTTGGTTCTAGACAGGGTTAGAACCCCTGGAATCTAATAGGATGATTACCATCAATTCTTGAGTGAAGAAAAGGCTACGATGGTTTTGACCTGTAGCCACATGGAGGTTTTCTAAAGTAGGGATACCCCAAATCATCCAACGTCAAACATCTTCTTGTAATTCTAGTATTGAAGCCACGGTTTTGGGGATCCGACATTTCAGTAAACCACCATATACATCATCTTCATCCATCTTCGATATATTTGCTTAATTTGAAATATATCATAATGGATCCTGCGGGCCCTTGCCGCATTTTGCCAAGACCCTTGCCTCCAAGGAGACACCAGTTAACCATTCGCCAGTCGGAGGCGAAGGTTGGCCCCGAAACCTGGAAATTCATTGGTGGTTTCAAAGGATTTTGACATATCATATTTTCCATCCTGAATTGATGATCCTAACTTTCCAATATCATACCTGGGATATCCTGGGATGATGGAAAGCAATTGACTTTCCATCATCTTTCGGGTTGAAACCACCCCTGGGATATGAGACACTTCCATTTTTGTGTCGTGATGATATGATACATCCCCATGATCTTTGATGACGCCCACCATTTTTTGTTGGTTAAACAACACTTTTTCTTGACTATTCAAATGCCTATTTTGTTGGTGAGATCCCAATTTCTGTTGGCCAACTCCCAAGTCTTGTGGCTGAAATCCTAATTTCTCTTGGTTAAATCAGAAGTTTTGTTTGTGAAATCTGCATTTTTCTTCTTGTTCGTTCACATCCAAGGTTTGGTGGGTGACATAATCCATTTAATCCATTTTCCTAGCTGACATAGTTCCAATTTTTCAAGGTGAATCCCAATCTTTTGGTGAACTCCACCATTTTTTCATGGGGGATTTGGATGGATTTGGCACGTTGCCATCCCCCTGATCCCCTCCACGGCACGGCTTCCAGGCCAGCGCGCTCCGCGAGGCGGAAGTGGAACGCCGACGTTTGCTGTCGGAGCTGAAATGGCTCCAGGAATCCAGGGATAAGGCGCAGCGGGATGGCAACGTGCACCGATTATTATATGATACATAAATATACGTAATATATATATATGTTATATTAGAATTGAATATAGTAAGATAACATAAAATATGATATGATATAATAAGACAGAATATAGCATCACATAACATAATGTAATGGAATGTAAGGTAATGTAATACAATATAGTATAGCATATATTATGTTTTATTGTATTGTACTATTTGAATTATATATTACGTTGTTTTATATCATTCATATCATATTATACAATGTTCGTTGTATTGTATGGTCTTGTATTCTATTCCATTCCATTTTATTGTATTGTATTGGGAGTCCAATCGACAGCGGTTAGGCAGGAGCAAGGGGACTTTGGGTATATACATACATGTATATATCCATATTTCCTATTTTTCCATGGGGAGCCCGTTGGAGCCACGAATAGAGTTTCCGAACAAAGAGAGTTTTTTTGTTTCCACAACAAGTCAGTTGTTTTTCTTCAAATAGATGCGCAAGTTGTTTTTACTTGGAAAATCTTGGAAACTTGGGATTTGAGTGGAAAAGAAGTCTTTCACTTTAAACAAACATGTACTATTTTTTTGTGGAAGCAAGAACGGCAATTTTCCCAACAAGAGTTCGTTTGACCCAACGGATTGGGCAAGTCATCCCAGTTGCCACATCGGATCTCAGCATTCCCGTTGGCTATCTTCGTTTATAGCCCCAAATAACTATTTTAATGGGAAAACATGGCAAAACGATGATAACCCCCAGTGGATCTAGGTGCCTATCTTAAGACAAACCCATATATAAATATGTATATCAATACATAGATAAAAATACATAAATAGATCAAATAATTAAATACTAAACAAATTAATTACATAAACAATTAAAATTAATTAGATAAATAATCAAATAAATAACAATATAAATAAATAAACAAAGAAAGGAATAAATGCATCAATGCACCGTGGTTTCCAAGTTTTTCCCCTTAAAAAAAAACAAACATCCATCCATGAGCTTCCCATTTTTGAGGCGATCTGCGAGCGCCACATGTTGCGCGAGGATAGCGTTCGGCTCGCGAGTCGCCGTCAGGAAGATGTTCCTTGGCCAGACCCGGGGAACTTTCGACATCCCAATGGATCCCAATGGATCCCAATGGATCCCGTTTTGAGATGTTGAAAAACCCCACTCTCCAGACTCTCCATGGTATGGTCAAAGGGAAAGACCTCCATTGAGGTACAATCTCTGGCTGCAAGGACTGGGAAATGGGACTTACCAGAAGGGTTGGGTCAAGACTTAAGACTCGCAAAAGAAGACAAACAATTGTGGTCAATCTGACAACGTGTTTTTTCTACGAAATAATGAACCTTTGTAAACAGTATCAACCACTCCCAGAATGCCATGATTTTGTGTAATTTTTGGGTACCCAAGTTTAACAGTTTGACCCAGGGCCACATAGAATCAGTCAACACTGGAGACTCTAGCTGCGATCTTTGGTTGATGGTTGCAGACATGGGGATGTATCATTACTTGTAAAAAACCGCATTTGGCGAGATGAAGACAAGGAACTACCAGCTACATCTCTTATTTGCTTCAGTAGGTGTCTGGTTTCAACCGATGGTTGGCACATCAAGGGGCCGATGATGGGAGAAACTGTACATAGTACACATGGCCGTGGAATGCTGTGGATGAAAAGTCTGGTAGGCTGCGTATGGCTGCGTATGGCTGCGTTTTGGGTTATCCTGAATATACCCTGCAATTTCTGGTTGGTTCGAGGACAGAAGCCCTGGAGCATGAGTTGCAGCGCGAGCGAAATGAGAAAGCTGAACTGGAGAAGCCCTTGGGACCTAACGACAACGGATGGGTCGTGGGTCGACTTGGTGGAAACCAGTCATCCGGGACAATCGGTTGAACTGAGGCAACTGGTACGAACCAAGGTGCGCTTTGCGGAATCTTTGCAGAGCCAAGGCCAGTGATCCCTTCTGAGGGGATGTTTATCGGGATCCCAAAGGTATCCTCATCAAAAAATGGCGATACAAGTAATCAACATGCGGATATAAGCAGCAAGATTCAAGCACATGGCAACAAACCAGACAAGAAATAATAAGTGATGAAGAGCCCTTGATTCCCTTGCAGATACATTGGAAGCGATCTTGGACTACTACGAGGTGCCTCTGGTATTCAAAGATTGCAAGCTGGGGGATTTTCCAGCTTTGTTGAGCTGCCCCCAGACATCCCGTTGGAGAAGCAGCACGGCAGGGCCAGCTAAAGTTGTTGAGCCCTGGCTTCGAACCGCAAGATCGCGATTCGCCTGGGGGCCAATGCTTGGAGCATGGGAATCTAACCAGGAAGAATGGTGATATCATGGGTATATAACCAAAGATGATTGTTGGTGGGTGATTAAAGCACTATTTTATCAATTTTTACTTTCCATCCAACTTAAATCGGAAGATGACACCCATTGACACCCATTGACACCCATTGGCACCCATTGACTACCATTCTACCATTCTACCATTCTACCTATCTACCTATCTACCTATCTACTTATCTAATCTAACAATCAATCAATCAATCAATCAACCAATCAATCAACCAACCAATCAATCAATCAATCAATCTATCTATCTATCTATCTATCTACCTATCTACCTACCTATCTACCTATCTACCTATCTATCTACCTACCTATCTACCTACCTATCTACCTATCTACCTATCTACCTATCTACCTATCTACCTATCTACCTATCTACCTATCTACCTATCTACCTATCTACCTATCTACCTATCCACCTATCCACCTATCCACCTATCCACCTATCCACCTATCCACCTATCTACCTATCTACCTATCTACCTATCTACCTATCTACCTATCTACCTATCTACCTATCTACCTATCTACCTATCTACCTATCTACCTATCTACCTATCTACCTATCTACCTATCTACCTATCTACCTATCTACATATCTACCTATCTATCTACCTATCTACCTATCTACCTATCTACCTATCTACCTATCTACCTATCTACCTATCTACCTATCTACCTATCTACCTATTTACCTATCTACCTATCTACCTATCTACCTATTTACCTATCTACCTATCTACCTATCTACCTATCTACCTATCTACCTATCTACATATCTACATATCTACCTATCTATCTACCTATCTACCTATCTACCTATCTACCTATCTACCTATTTACCTATCTACCTATCTACCTATCTACCTATCTACATATCTACCTATCTACCTATCTACCTATTTACCTATCTACCTATCTACCTATCTACCTATCTACCTATCTACCTATCTACCTATCTACCTATCTACCTACCTATCTACCTATCTATCTACCTATCTACCTATCTACCTATCTACCTATCTACCTATCTACATATCTACCCGTCTACCTGTCTACCTATCTACCTTTCTTTCTTTCTTTCTTTCTTTATTTTCTGCCTCTCTCTTTCTCTATTTTTCAGGGGGGTATGGCTCAACCCGAACATCTCACATAGCCACCAAGGCTTGGTGTTTGGCTCAGACCCACCAGGCAATCCTGCGACACCTGGTGGAAGTTAGATCAAAAGTGGGTCCCAGGTCCGGCTTCAACAGGAGAATCCAAAATTTCAGTGGGAAAATCATGTGTAAATGTGGCTGATTTTTTCTTGTCACTGGAAAGTAGAAGATTTATAGCACGATTGTTTCTTACTGCAATTGGCAATGAAGCAGTGGTATACAGGACCTTTAAATCATTTCCCAGCCAGCGAAGATTTTGCATTGTCACGGTGGATGGAAGGGTTGCTCCCTGTATTGAAGGCTTCTTTGTGAGATATTTTCAGCAAAGCCACCTATGCCCGTAGCAACGTGCCTTAGCCTCCAACCCGTTCAAGAAAGTGTGTGGCTCGCATCAAGAATTCTGGTCCAACTGATCAAGTGTTTTGTGTGAACACCGTTCAGTGCATCATTTGGGTATGGCCCAAATGTAATTTGTGGGCCTGTTGGTAGCTCAACTTGGGCCACACAGACTATCAACATCCGCCAACCATCATTTTTTTTGCTGATATGTTAACAGACTCAGCCATCCACAGATTTGATAATTTTCAACTCTTGAAGTCCCACACTTCCCAAAATTGGATTGAGGACAAGCCTATATTTGGGTCCCGAAGTTCCGTGCTTTCCTGTAGATTTTCCCTTAGACCAACGCATTGATGCCAAGTTGACCGATGAGCTGAGGACAGTTCAGAGGTGGAGAGTCTTGCCTCTGGAACCACATCTGACCAGCAGACTGTTACCGATGAGAAGTTGAAAGGCGGACGATTTTCACGGATAGAGTGGGTTCCTGGTGATCAGTTGCTGGTTGAACAACAATCATTTGAATTCCGCAACGAGATGTGGATTTTGCATCTAAATTTTGGACAAGTATGATGATGATTCTAACAGACACAGATTTACTCAACTTACTGTAACTCAAATTTCTGGTGTTTGTCATGCTACTCATCCGGTTGCAAGCTGTGTGTCGTGAGAAAAAAAAAGTCCCCAGCTTTCCACATCTGGTGACAGGAGGTCGACATTTCATGAAGTTGATGGGAAGCAAGGCAGGGACCAAGTCACCTGGTCATGTTTGATGGAGGCCAACAGAGGGGAACCAAGCCATGGGAGCACTTCTGCCACTGTTGGTGGCAGTAGCTCCGTAGGTGAAACACTTCCACGATCTCCCACGATTTTTTTCCAAACCACAATCCCCGAAGCGCCTTCAAATTGCTAGGTGAAGAACATGCTGAAGTCAACAGGCCGGTTGTTGTTCCATGGGCTGCCAGGTGATGGGATGGTCATTTGCCAAGTGAACCATTGGAGTTATGACCATGTGACCAGATTAAATATATATATATATATATGTACATATATATATATATATATCTATTGTGAGTTCATCATGTGGTGTTTCGTAATCCCAGCTCTTAAGCTATTTATGGGGATATAAGGATTATTAGATTTTCTTATTTACTTTATACTATGGAAGTGGAGTTATGACGGATTCCATCATGTTTTGTTTTACAGAACATGCAACCAACAGCTTTGTTACGTGCAATTTTGACAACGAACAGCTGAACAGTGGGTCCCGTTTTTTTTTTTCTCCCTTAAATTCCCGTTTTTTTTTCCCTTAAATTCCCTTTTTTTTTCTCCTTAAATTCCCGATAATTCCTTAAATTCCACAGGCCTGTAGAATTTAAGGGTCTTATTTTCTTAATTTCTGAAAGACACAAACATTTTTTTTCAAATACTTTACTTCTTTATATTTAATTTTATTTGTGGTGTTTCTTTTTTTGGGATCAAGGCTCAAGTCAAGGCTTAAGTTTTTTTTTCCTTAATTTTTTCCTTAAATTCCCGTTTTTTTTCCCCTTAAATTCCCCTTTTTTTTCCCCCTTAAATTCCCGTTTTTTTTCCCCTTAAATTCCCGTTTTTTTTTTTCCTCCTTAAATTCCCGATAATTCCTTAAATTCCACAGGTCTGTAGAATTTAAGGGTCTTATTTTCTTAATTTCTGAAAGACAAAAACATTTTTTTCAAATATTTTACTTCTTTGTATTTAATTTTATTTGTGGTGTTTCTTTTTTTGGGCTCAAGGCTCAAGTCAAGGCTCAAGTTTTTTTTCCTTATTTTTTTTCCTTAAATTCCCCTTTTTTTTTCCCCCTTAAATTCCCGTTTTTTTTTCCCCTTAAATTCCCGTTTTTTTTTTTCCTCCTTAAATTCCCGATAATTCCTTAAATTCCACAGGTCTGTAGGTCTGTAGAATTTAAGGGTCTTATTTTCTTAATTTCTGAAAGACAAAAACATTTTTTTCAAATATTTTACTTCTTTGTATTTAATTTTATTTGTGGTGTTTCTTTTTTTGGGCTCAAGGCTCAAGTCAAGGCTCAAGTTTTTTTTCCTTATTTTTTTCCCTTAATTTCCCGTTTTTTTTTCCTTAAATTCCCGTTTTTTTTTCCCTTAAATTCCCGTTGTTTTTTCCCTTAAATTCCCATTTTTTTTCCTTAAATTCCCGTTTTTTTTTTCCTCCTTGAATTCCCGATAATTCCTTAAATTCCACAGGTCTGTAGAATTTAAGGGTCTTATTTTCTTAATTTCTGAAAGACAAAAACATTTTTTTCAAATATTTTACTTCTTTGTATTTAATTTTATTTGTGGTGTTTCTTTTTTGGGGCTCAAGGCTCAAGTTTTTTTTCCTTATTTTTTTCCCTTAATTTCCCGTTTTTTTTTCCTTAAATTCCCGTTTTTTTTTCTCCTTAAATTCCCGATAATTCATTAATTTCCACAGGTCTGTAGAATTTAAGGGTCTTCTTTTCTTAATTTCTGAAAGACATAAACATTTTTTTTCTCAATACTTTACTTCTTTATATTTAATTTTATTTGTGGTGTTTCTTTTTTTGGGCTCAAGGCTCAAGTCAAGGCTCAAGTTTTTTTTCCTTAAATTCCCGTTTTTTTCTTAAATTCCCGTTTTTTTTCTCCTTAAATTCCCGATATTTCCTTGAATTCCACATGTCTGTAGAATTTAACTATTTGACAGTTTTTTTCATTTAACAATTTTGATGATTTAAAAGAAAATTCATCTTAAAACATAAAATTCATTCAATAGACACAAAAGGAGTCTATGGAACAAATTTGATGTTTTTTTAGATATTTTTGGATTAAAATAATCAAAATCATTAAATGATAAAAACTATAAAATAATTAAATTCTACAGACCTGTGGAATTTAAGGAATTACCGGGAATTTAAGGAAAACAAAAAAACACTGGAATTTAAGGAGAAAAGGAAGTCCATGCCAGTGGAAGTGGAACTTAAGGAATTACCATGGATTTAAGATTGAAAACACAATTTATTTAAATATAAATTTTCAAAAAAAAAACTCTGAAATTGTCTGACTGAAACTGAAACTGAAATTGAAATTAATTGTTTTTGTGTTGTTTTTACATTTTTTCACAAACTCTCTAAAATCAAAAATATCAATATAATATTTCTTAGATAAAACTTAGACCTGTACCTAGACCCTGAACCTTGGCCTTGACCTAACCCTAGACTCGAGTGACTCTAGACCCTATCCCTAGCCATTGTCTGGTTTCCTGATTTTGTTGGTTCAATCAGTCGCCAGTCACTAGTCACTGTCCAGTCCATGCCATGCCAGTTCAATGGAAATTGAAATGAAAATCAGCTTTCCGACGACTGACAGCTGAACAATTCAGTGGGACCAATATACACAACATCTTGTGCTTTTCAGCTTATGCAACCAACAGGTTTCTAGTTCATCCCTCCATTCATCATAAAACAAATGAACATCGATCTTCACAAAAAAAACACGTACAGTTTTCAGCCCAGAATTCTCACTGATAAGTTTATTATAAAAAAACATCATTGTGTGCAAATTTGGAATTTTTTATTGGTTGTGCATCTGCAAAAGCTTATGATCCATAGGTATTCCTTAAATTCCACTGAACCACCTTGATTGCGAAACACAACAGTTCATCAAGTTGCCTGTCACGGAGGCTGTGCATTCTGAATGACATTGCTTGAACGGTTCAACTACCATTCTATCTGGCATTGTTTCGAGCTTATTTCAGGGGTTGGTAAATTTTCCTGAACTGGGAATGAAACTTCAAAGGAACGACTCGTAAAACCACATTTTTGAGCTGTTAAATGCCTGGTTTTGCTCCAAGAAATCCCGTATGGTTGATCATGCTCTCCCCATTTTTGTTGGATAAGACTAGCTTTTTGCTGCTTCAAACACCATTTATCATGGTTCCTTCTATCTCCAATTTTGGTGGCACAACCATCCAAATCCTTGGTGAACGGGCTGCCCAGGTCGAGGCAAGAAAGCCTTGCAGCCGGAGCCGAACGTCCCGACGGAGGATGCACAAAGAAAGCAGGGCACATGAAATTTGAATTTGAGAGGATCCATATATTGTCGACATATGGAACTATATTAATGATTATTAATGGATAATCTTCTTTGACAAGTCGTTGACTTAATATTTCCACATCCCAATTGTCATATGGCATGTTTCCCTCTCTCAGCGTCCCTAGGAGCTGAAATCTCCACGTCCGGTGCCATCACCAGCACCGACTGGTCCAGTGCTCAGGAATTCCTGGCACAATTGAAATGACGTCTGGATCTCCATGAGTTGCAGCTGGAAGCTGCACACTTTCTTCCAGAGTGTGGATGGCGCCCAATGAGCCTGCAATTTTGGAATATTTTGGATGGTCTGTACAGTTTATACAGTTTCTACCACCAACAATCCTGGTGAAATGGGGATGGTTGACTATTGGGGTTTTACTACCACAGATTTTTGGGAGTAGAAACTGCCAGCTGCGCCTAGGAAGTCTGGAGCTGGCCACGCCTCGTTCTGCAAGCCCACCTCAGACGACCGGGGTACCCACCTCGGAGGAATGGGGGGGGGTTCTAAAGTCATGGGGAATCCCCCAGTCGTCACCATGGTTGTTTCAATACTAAGTCATGGTCTAATGATTCTAATGACTGCATGATTTGGGGATATCACTCCATGACTTTGGACACCTTCATATCCTTGAGGAATACTTAAGTGAATAGGAACTAAAGATCTAAGTCCTAGGTTGCTGCCTGAATATCAAGCAAGTTGTCGGATGTGCAGTGACAGCCATACTTGTCAAAGACAAGAAGGAGCTGCACAGAATTTTGCCATTCGGTGATTTGGTGATGAACATGAACCATGAGAAATGGGGTTCATTATCAGTTCACCACATGGGTTCGTACAAATATGGGGGATGTCCCAAACAATGATCATCGTCAAAAAAATGCGGAAGTATATACATATATATATATAGTATCAAAATATATAAACAAACCATTGTGTATAAACCAGTGGATTGTGGGGTATCTTATTTTCGATAAATCCACATTGGGGGTGATGATAGCAGCACTTGCAGTGACGCAGAAAGATCAAAAACTCATCTGAGGATGCGACAACTTTCGAGTCACCGAAGCGACAACTTCGCAGCATCCTGGCCGCCTGTGTTGCTTGGGGATCCCGAGCCTCTGGTCACCCTCCGGTAATCAAAAGTGGCAATGGGAAATCCCCGAACTAAATGGAGGTTTATAGCTGGGAAAATCAACGATACATGGGGGATTTTCCATTGCTATGTTTGATTAGCGGAGGGTACATTTAATGATATTTAATGATTATATGTGTAAATATGTATAGAACATGTCCTCCATGTTGGCGTCGTCAATTTGATCAAGCTTTGGATCGGGGCTATCGGGGCAACATGTCCTCACCCATCCCTTGATTCGATGCCTCTGAGAGCGTTCGAAAAACTTGTGGGATGGCGCTCTGAAAAAGTGAAGCCTGGGCATCCATCTGAATCCATCTGAATCCATCTGAATCCATCTGAATCCATCTGAATCCATCTGAATCCATCTATTCCCAGCTTCAAGTTTTAGCTCATTCTGAGTCTCCTATCAGGGATGGTCCCATCGCATATTCTATTTGCTACAGGATGGGTATGTAATATCAAGCTGCAAGTTGGCAAGCTAAATGCCCAGCCTTGCCGCATTGCACCCCCCACACTATTTGTTCATGATAAAATGCCCATAGTACCAATTATGATTCTTCAATTTAGGCTCTTTTTCCATATTCATGGACTATCGCCAAATTCGGTTATACAATACATCCATATATCTTTCGTTGACCCACGAATTCGAAGTCTCTCCAAGCTGTTGGAAGTACCGTGCAGATGACAAGGGCCGACAGCCAAGGATGGGAGCTGCGCCAAGAGTGAGGGAGCTCGCGGAGCCCACGGAGCCCGCGGAGCCCGCAGGGCCGTGGCGGCAAATGCCGAAAACGGCCACCCCATCAGGACACTTCACCCGAACATGGGGTAAACATATGTAAAATCCTATCCCCCTAATATGAAATGGCCCTTTTCTATGGTCCCATATATATATATATATATACACACGTATATATACATATATATATATATGTAAATTCCCCACTAAACCATGGTTTCTATGAGGACAAACCACAAGAAGAGGTGGCCGGAGGCGGGGTCGGTTTGGGTAGGTCGGGTTGGGTCGGTCGCCGTCGGGAGGTTTGTCCAGGTTTGTCGATTCCCCGCAACCGTCAGGACGGAAGGACCAGGAACCGGTGGTGCATCCCAAAGGTCGCCCCGACCCGTGGGGTGCACCGGCTCTACGTGACCGAGCCGCCACCGGAGGTCGGGATTGGATGGGATGGGATGGGGTCCTGTGGGAGGTAGTCCGTGGTATCTTCTGTCTTTCGTCATTGTCTTCCCATCTGTTCAGGTTGGGCCTCTTCCTGCGCTCCCTTCCCGGCCACGTGGCCACGTCGCCCCAAGCAAAGGTCTGCTCCTTAGCAAGCAACCGCCCCTCCCCTTCCCTACCCAGCCCCAGCAGCTCTCGTCTTTTGAGGCCTCAGCCAAAAAATCCTGCGAGAAAGGCGCGGCATAAGGTGTCCCAGGTACCGGCATTAAACTAAGATCCTATCCCCTCTTGCCGCCAGGTGAAAAAGGCTGCCCAACAGCCGCAAACCCCCCTGCCTCCCCCGCCGCCCCTGCCACCCCCGGGCCCAGTTTGCTCCTCAGCTAGCTGCTGCAGTAACTGCACCCCGCCCCTGCCTTTCATCGCCTTGCACCCCGTCCAGGTACCTTTGAAGGGTTGCTTCAAAGTGCCCGGGGCGGACCTCCACCAGAAGCGCCGGGTGACCTTCGTTGCAGAGGTAAGGTGTCGGGTTAGGGGTCCTTGTCCCGGAGCTAGACATAGCGGGAAAAACAATTAAACATCATGAGTCTATAAGGGTCATCCCCAAAGATACTAAGATAGAACAACTATGTAGTCCCGACAATTTTTATATTACCCATATGATAACCTTGACTCACTCTTCCATCATTGTTCCGGGGATCACTATATTTCTCTTTGCATAAGTTGAGGTGAAACGTGCAGGATCTTGGGCGCGCTATCCCCAGTAAGGCCTCCCTGAAACTGTCTCACAGTGTCTCAGAAGTGTGATGCGAAGTGAAAAGGTTGCTGAAGCTGATTGGTGGATGTAAATTATCGTGATTTCCTGCAGCACATCTTGCCAATGTACACAAAAAACTGCTAGATGACGTGGCCGTGATGATGCGTAGTAGGCGCTGACATTGCTGAATATGCTGCATTGTGATCTAAGGAATCCTGGTGAAAGCTCTCTGTTTTTGAAAGAGTTGAGATGTGTGGAAGACTGTAGGGTGTAGAGCATTCTACAAGTGCAGGGATTTCGTGATTTTTCACCTCTTTGGGGACAACTATCTACAGCAAAATGTGCGCAATCCATTTCTGCAACTGAGGTTGACCACAAGTGAGGAGAAAGCAGCGGAGGTGCCGTCCCTGGTGGTAGATAGATGATTCAGGGGGTAAAAAAAACCACCATGGAGAGATTGGGCAGATACAGTTGGCACAAGGAGCTTATGGTTACCCTATCCATGATGGTTTCTCGATCCCGGAATGCCCACGTGGAAAATCCCAAGTTTGGTTTGTAGCTAGAATATATCACCTCCCTGTTATATTATTCTATGAGGAAATGATCCATTCAAATAGCCTCTCAGAAACACTATGGGATAAAACAAAGGACCATGAACCGGAAACATGGGTACTGTAAATGGGTTACCGTTCACATGCCCACAGCATCTATGAATCGAAACATGTACAGGTCACAATTCGAGGATAATACAACCCGCAGATTTAGTGTGATTCCTGGTATCAGACTTTGACCATCCAAATTGTGGGTAGTGTCGTTAGACCCCTTGATAAATCATCCGCAAATTTGTCAAAATACGATAACATAGGTATATCATAATATATTATAGTACAGTATATTATAGTATAAACCATCCTCAATTACATCCGCATGGTATAAACATGTATAAACCATCCTCAATTGAAGGTCTATTCAAGTTATTCTTCAGAGTTCCTCATGTTACCACATTGGACAGCGCTTGGCAGGTCAGTCTTAGCCCCGTGAAGGTTGAAGGACAGGTGGCTGGGAGCTCGGCCGGGGGGAAGTGGAGAGTATCCAGCAGCAAATGTACCCGGCCTGGTAAACAAACATAGCTATTGAAAATGGCCATTTATAGTTGATTTACCCATTAAACATGGTGATTTTCCATAGTTATGTTAGTTTACCAGAGGGTAGATCTTGTATGAAAATCCATTGCGTTCCCTTGGAAAATGACCTAGAAATGGGTAGAAATCTACCACATCGTTGATTTATTGATTTACTGGGGGGCAATAATGATGATAAAGAACAGAACAAAGCTTGCTGCTCAAACACACAGAATTGTTGGGATGAAACAAACAATCGGAGACTAAACACACAATAACTGAGGTTGAAACAAGCGAAAACTGGGGAGAAGTGAACATAAAGTTTGGGAGGGAACATACCCTTCCTGACAAGAGACCTTGACAGCTACCCCTTGATCCTGCCACATCACATGGGATATCCCTACCGTACGATGGGGATGTTTGGTGGTGCTTTGTTTTATTATCAAATAGTCCCTGGTAACCAAACATGGCTTGCTGGAAAATCCCCCCAACTATAGTTTTATACTTTTCCCAGTAAAACCATGTAAAACCTCCATTTTTGTTGGAGGGATTTCCCAGCCAGCCATGTTTGATGACACCATTGCGGGTAAGCATGCCGTACAGTCCTTTCCTGCCACCCAGGTGATTGACGATGCAAAGAAGGAGCAGGCAGCAGGGATACCTGAAATACGCACCATTTCGGTAATCTGGTTGGTGGTTTGGAACACGGCTTTTATTTTTCCATATACTGGGAATAATAATCCCAACTGACTTTCAGGGTTGAATCCACCAACCAGTAATGTTTAGAGTGAGGAAGTATGTAGAAGCCTGTTGATGGGCCGAACTGAGAACGCATCTGTAAGATCATCAACATGGTTTCTCCAAAAATAAGGGGATGCCACCAGCAGTGTACTCCAATCCATCAAAGGGTCGATTTCGAAGTGTTACTTCAATGGCCATTTCAGGCACCTAAACTGGAGGTACTGTACCATATAAAGCCATATTTTGGGGAGATTTCTCCTTACATAGGCCTTACATAGACCTTCTGTATGGCAGGTATCTCCAATTTGGGTTCTTGAAATGGCCACTGATGTTTTGGACGCATCCATGTCTTATAATTACCCCAACACTGAGGGTCAGGTCCGCGCAATTTTGCAGGTGACCTGCCTGTCAATCTCCAGTGACACATCTCAGATCATGGTATGATCAGCTGAGATGTGCAGATATGCAAGAAATCCTGGAGATTTGCCACATCCTCCCTTTGATGCGTGGATGTTGTCCATGAATGAGTAGCTAGTCAACGGTTTTAGATGATCTTAGAGTCTACTTAGAGTCTTAGATGCGTACAAGCCAGCGTGGTACAGAGTGGCTTGCGGGAAAACGACCGTCGCAAGACGGAATTGAAGCTTTGAGCATTTTGGCTTCACATGCCCAAAGCCCTGACAAGTGGAAAAAACAATATTTTTTTTTCTCAGAGATTTTGCCAATCCCAGCTGGACATTCCCAACCTTCGGGTTAAAGATGGGTTATGACTTTATGACCTTCGAATTGGACGCATACTCAGAGAGTTTTTCCAAACTCTTCAAGCAATTTGGTGAGTCTCAATCTGACAAAAGACATGGCGCTTTCCCACTCTGTCAATCTAGATACATATCCTATAACATACATACATCAATCATTTATCTACACATATCTAATTTTGTACATCATATTGCTAAGTTACTCAGGTATATATGCAAATATAAAATATATATATATAGATCTATATCACTCTTGAGTTGGTGCTATCTCGCCATTACGTTGTTCCACTGACCCATCTCAGGACTCAGCACGTTGGCCTTCACGAAGCTCCGTGAAGGAAAACCGCAGTAAAGTCAAAGGCGGTGTCAGATCTGGGCACATTCCTTAAACAGTTTGGCATCCAAAGATTATCACCAGGAGTTTATCAGAGTTTAGCCAATCTTCGTGGACTTCTTGGTTTCATCCCAATTTTTGGTGAAGTCCAACCTAGTCGGTGTAGTTCTTCGAAAAGATCGAAACGGGCCCGCCTTCCAGATATTCCAGGCTGCACAGTGCGTGTGGCAGGGCAAGTGCGGTCCACGGATGCAGGTCGAGGGCCTGGCGATAGCTACAAGCGACTGATGAAAGGTTTCATGGCTTTATCACCAGACATGGAGTTTTTTAGGGATTTGATTGCGTTTATTTTCACAATTTTTCCAAATTTCAGTGGTGAACATGATGATGAACCATTGAATTTGGGATACCACTATTTTCAGGCAAACCCATCTATTATTGCAGTAAAATTGCAGGATGTTCACTGACTTTTGCATCTTTGGAAGTGGTCCATTATAACAGCTGGCTGTGACGTGCCTGGCATTTGGCTATGGAGTAACGCCCAATTTGCGAAGGTCCAGTGATCCAGTTGGGGTTTGTACAAAGATGGGGTGTCCATTCTACTGCCTTTTTTCATTGGGCAAATGTTGATTTAAAAGCAATTTTTTGCTTCCCAAACAAATCCATTAGGAAACTTCCCCCGTTTTTTTCAGAGAAAAGCCATTGGTCGCGTCGCACGACAGGTTTTGGAGCTCACCCTGAGTTGCGAATTCTGGCTCTGCAGGGGAAGTTTGAGGCATGTGGCCAGGTGATGCTTTGGCTTTGGGTCACACGTGTTTTTTGACCCACCAGACCCACCAATAGTTAAACTGGACATTTTCTAAATGTTATCCGTTGTGAAACCATGGCTAATAAGTTTGACCCGCATATCGTACTTCGGGGCTTGCGGCAACAACTGACTATGGCCTCACGGGGAGCTTGGATCACCTCCCCAACGGCAGCCATGTCTTCCAAGGGACATCCATAGGTTGATACAGGGTTGGCAGGTTCGAAGGTGGAAGAAGAGAACATTTCCCGGAAAAGCCTATGTAGCCTACGTCTCACGGTAAAAACACATGCTTTCCTGTAGAGTTTCCTTGAGTTCCAGTGAATGAAATAGTATAATCCCATCCCCCTATTATGAAACACCCCCATTCTTAGGTCCCAAATACATATAAATCCCCTACTAGACCATGTTTTTTTCCCCAACAGCGTAAGCTAATGGGGTCTTCAGCCCAGAATAGCTCCGGTGTGCACTGGTGCAGAGCCAGGTCAGGTTCAACAGGGTTCCGGAGAAGGTTCCGGAGAAGGTTCCAGGAAGCCTTGGTGCAAAGCCAAGTCAGGTTCAACGGGTTCCGGAGAAGGTTGCAGAGAAGGTCCCGGAGAAGGTTTTGGGAATCTTTGGTGCAGGGCCAGGTCAGGTTCAACAGGTTGAACAGGGTTTCCAGCGCTTGGCTTCGCAGCACGCTTGAGAAAGATTTGTAAAAATAAAATGTTGCGGCGTTGGGGATGCCACCGAAGCTTATTCTTTTTTGTGTTTTAGTATTGGTGGAAAGGGATTATTACACTCATACATATATAATTACATATAAATGAGAGCTAAATAAGTATCCATTTTCCATATCAAATTAGGAGCCAAGGAGCTACAAAAAGTTTCCTAATCAGATGATAGTCAACCGAATAAAAAAATATAGTCATCCTGAAGTCCTGAAATATAGTGGATAGAACATGGAAATTTCGAAATCTCCTCATTCAAATGGGAATGATATTAACATGTTCATATTCATCAATGGCCTGACTATTGACTATAATAACTAATAATAAATAAATAAATAAACAAATAAGTAGATAATTAAATAAATAAAAACAATAAATAAATAAATAAATGAATAAATGAATGAATCAATAAATAAATACATAAATAAATATATATATTCATCAATGGCTCACTGGTTGGTGGTTTGGAACAATTTTTATTTTCCATATATTGGGAATAATGATCCCACCTGACTTTCATATTTTTCAGAGGGGTAGGTCACCACCAACCAGCGATGTTGTGCAAACGCATCCTGCTCATCCTGCTTCAGGATGCTCATGGTTCACTGTCAGCTGCCTTTGCAGCGATGGATCTGGAATCGCGTGGGCCAGACCCTGAGAAGCTGCAACACAAAAAATCAAGATATGATGAGTAATGTGGGTAAAATAATGCCATAAACCATCCCCCACATCAGCATTTTTATAGGTGGTATAAACTGCATTGTTTTACCCACATTACACTTAGTAAAAACTATTGATATGACTTTGACGCAATTAGAAACTATATACTGAGGGAATTGAAATTATGATTTACACAGTAATTAATAAGTAATGATTCGTAGTTAATCATCAATACTTAATAATTATGAATGATTATGAATGAATGATCAAGAATCATCCACAATCCCTTGAGGATCCCAACTCAGATTACTGATGATTATTGAGAAGTTGCCCCTAAAACTCTCAGGACTTGTGAGAAACGTGGGAATGACGCCTGACCAACGTGAGAGCACAACCAAACAATGGGTCATATGTGGATGTGTCTGAAAATATGGTATGCTCGCCCCAAATGGCAATTTTAGCAAGGAAACTTATGGTGGATGAATGGAACACAGAAATACTTTCATTCAAACCCATCTCTGATCACAACTTGTGGGAATTGGTCTCCACTGATGCCCTCAACTCACCGTGAAAAATCATGGGATCATCATGCTTTGGAAAGTGCTGCTTTTCCAGCTTAGACGAGTGAACAATACACCCATCGTAACTTGCCTTGTTGATTTCGATTTTTCTTATCAACTGCTGACTGCTCATGGTTACGAAGACAAAGAGAAGTCGATGAGGTATGTCTCCTTTGGGGACTTTCACTCTCATCTCGCATGGGGCTCAGGGGGGCTCAGGGATGCTCCCTATGATCTAGAACTTGGGTTTTGCTGGGATAGCCCTAAGTCATGACAAAGATGTATCATGACTTTCATGATGTATCCATCCCCCCATTTTCGGACAAACCCTGTGGAACTTGAGACCGGTGCAGCTTTTCGGGACTAAGATGCAACCCGTGGGATCCCCAACTGCTCTGCAAGCCTTTTGGATCAACATGGAGCAACATGTGCAGAGGGTAGCTTTGAGGACACCAGAGATCCCAGAGAAATGGGGGTTCATGTATTTACTTACTTATTCTTATTTCTAAATATAGACGAACAATCTGTGTATGTATATATATATGTGTATGTGTATATATATATAATATACATACACACACACATACAAACATATTATGAGCCAATATACGCACCCCCGTCCACAAGGGGATGAGTCAGGGTCACAATGGCGAAGCCGTCAGGAACTTGCTTCCACCACAGCCCACGGTGAACGACCATGACTTTCGAGAATCCACTGGAGAATTTTCCTTTCAATTAGCTTAGAACTTGAAGGGAAAATCTGCAGGAATCCCCGATAATTCATGGGAAAAAGCATGGTTTCATAATATAGATTTTCCCTTAAACAAACCTGTTGAATTTAGCTTTCTGTTCTGCTTCGTTGGAAGCGCTAACCGCTGAACGTCTCCAAAGCTGGTAAGATCATGGAACATTCCTGATAGCACCATTTTCCACTCCCAACGCCCGGGTGCCCGCAATGGCCATCAATGGGGCCAATGGAGCCAAAAAGCCTGGATCTGTGCTGGATCACAGTGGCTATCTCTTCAATGAATACAGCAAGGGCCCGGAGCTGAGAATGGCCAGGTTGAAAAACATGTCGTTTTTGCTGGGACTTGGATCATGTAGGAGCCAAGAACATACTGCAACTGATGTCATCGGAAACTGAGGCAAAGAGTACATGGTGCTCAGAGCCGGCGTCTTACGAATTCGAACCGGCCCCAAGGGTTCAGATCTGGCTGTGCTGTACATCTTTGCAGTGGGTACTGAAGTCCGACAGCTGCCCAATTGCAAGCTGCAGAGACCTGGCTAGGTTGGATGAGTTTGAGACATGCTGGAACCTTTTGGAACCTTTACCAACAAACTGTGACAGGATGTGGCAATGGCAATGGCCATGTTTCAGGGTTTACCCCAGGGCACCTGTTGAACACCTCAGGATCCGATGTCGAGTGCCACACGCGCAAGAGCACCTTGGTTCTTTTTGGCACTGCCCAGAGAATTTGGTCACAGGATCGGTTCCTTTTCGTGGTAGCCACACTATTTGTTTGTCAAGTTTCAACACACATCCAATTTCCATTTTGTTGGTGAATTTTGCTACAACTTAAAAAGGGGACTTGTCCCCTTTAAGTTGGGGGATGAGGAGATTCAGGAGGGGAATCTGAATGGCTAGATTCAATGTTTCAACGATTCTGCATAGCGACCTCATAGCTGACGTCATAACATGTGATGTTTACTCTGGGAACCCCGGGAACCCCCACAAAGAGTCTTGAATCCATATATGTGGCAGTGTTGAAAAATGGCGGTATATGGTATACAACACAAATGGCTATTTTAAGAGGGATGGTCAACCTGTGGATTTACCCGTTGCAGGTACCTGTTCACTGCCGAGTCAGAAGCAGAGGCTGAAGTGTGGCACGAGATGCTGCGTGTCACTCGGCGATTTGGGATCTCAAAGAGACCAGCGATTCATGGCTGATACTTGGGGGAAACCAGCAAACATGGAGTGTGGTTTGGTATACACACATATAATCGCATAATATCACATAGTAGTGTATATATATATAATATAATTTAATATATATATATATATGTATATATATATATATTTATCCGCACATATCAGCCATATTGTTCTTAAACCAGACCTCAGAGGACCAGCCAATATATACTTACCCCATTTAAGTCCAAACATGGCTTCAAATCTCTAGGAATGTGTAGGACTGATTCTAAACTATCGATGCTGCGGGGTGGACCGTGACCTCATGGCTTGCTTTTTTTGCTCTGCATACGAAGGAACATGGTTCTCGCCATTTGGCCATGACAAGCAGGATCGACAACTCCAAGTCCATCTCTGGGATCACGATTCCCAATTTACACGGCCTGTGCTATGATGTGCTATGCCCCAATGTCGGGATGTCGGACACTTCATTTTTGGTGACCCTTACAGTACTTTGTGGCCTTCCACTGGGGATGTAATTACTTCATGGCTCTGGGTTTGCCAACGATGTCGTTGATGACCCTCTGCGGTGATTCTGCTGTCCCCAAAACTGCTAAAACCCTGAAGCCTAAAGAAACCCTCAAGAAACCCTGAAAAATCCATATGAAAGTGTATATAGTGAAGTACCTGTGGGGCGTAGCGCACTTGCTGTGGGTACTGTACTAGTAGTGACTATTGGTGATCAATAGATATCTTTTTTCAGCGCAACCGCCTGAACCGCAACCCAATGTAGCCAGCTTACGATCTGAGACAAGGCGCACGTGTTCTAAGGCTTCTATCAAATCTGCGGAGAACAAGACACGAGCCCTGCTGGAACATATCTACAGTGGCTCCACCATGCACAAGTACAACTACAGCATCTCAGTTCCAGGAACAATGAAGAAAACAGGGGGTAATCCACCCAAGTTTCATCAGGTAGAAGTGATGAAGTGATGGTAGAGGTAACGTCATGGAAAAAAAATGGGAGGACAATCTGGTGCTTTTGGGGTTTGGATTGCCCATGATTTTTCAAAAAAGGACAGTGCCGGTTTGTCTTTTTCGGGTGCAGGAGGAGTCATTTTCCTGTCAAGACTATCATGGCTTCCAAGATGTTTTCTTGATGCATTGTTTTGGCGTCAAGCTTCAGCATCTGTAGTTTCTGTACATGTTGAATTGGTATTGGCCAATTGGATGCATCCCAAGTTGGCGCAAAACAGCCGAGGCAACTCAAAACGATCACGGCGCTTCTTCTGGGTGCAGAAGGATGAACTTTGCTGGGGCCGCGCCAAGACCGACTCGGAAGTTCAGAATGTGAACCTCAAAGAATGCCTTGGAATCGTCTATGGTAACTTGGCTCATGGTCTCACCGTTCATTGACGTTTCCGATAGCCAGATGTAAAGCCGAGAATTTTCAAGGGTATGGGCAAAGTCATCTCTCTTGAGTCTTGATCCAGGGGTATATGTATTATGAATATATATATACATACACACACACACATCATTATCATGAGACAAAGACACATCAAGTTTAGCAGGTTTCATCCCAAGCTTCATGACTTCAACCCCGTCGCATGTCTTGGACCTCCCTTGTGGGCTTTGCCAGGTCCGATGACTACCACGTTTCAACGCTGCGATCATCGGGAGGATCCGGACTGGGCCTGTTTCAGTCTGCTCTTCACGGGGCGCACCTTGGATCTGGCCGTGGCCGGCGACCTGCAAATTCACGCCTGGTTGTGATCCGGAGGACTATTTTGGCATTTTTGTTTTGTTTTGTTTTAGATAGAACTCACCAAATGTCGCAGGGGATGATGACTTTGTATGTATATATATATATGTATATATATATAGATATGATATGTATATAATATGTATATAATACACTATATTATGTTTTGTTAATATTATATTCCATTATATTCTATTATATTCTATTCTATTCTATTATACTATACTATATTATTGTAGGATCTCTTCAGTGAATGGGTGATTCCATGTGTCTTCCTCTACCCGGTGCATGTTGTGTATCAGCTGGTAGCCCTTAAGGCCAGCGCGTCATTCCACTAGAGGCGGTTCTTTATAACCGTGCTCAGTGGTATGGGTGGGCACAATGTTCATGCCAAAAGGTGGTGAACGTGCGTAACTACAGGTTATCAGCCGCATGGCTCTGAGACCATGCTGGTAGGTGGTTAAAAAGCATCCAAAAGGTGCAATACAAACGTGGCAGCCTGCCCTGCTCCAAAAAAAAAGGGGTAAACGGAGGAGGCCGCGCCACCTAGGGCATTCCTTGCAAAAGCAGGGGGGCCAGCTGCTGCATGGCGCCTAACACGAGGGTCAGGTGGCTCACACCCTCGGGCCATGCTGTTGCGCTCCAGGTTTCGGAAGAGGGGGGTGTAGGATCTCTTCAGTGAATGGGTGATTCCATGTGTCTTCCTCTACCCGGTGCATGTTGTGTATCAGCTGGTAGCCCTTAAGGCCAGCGCGTCATTCCACTAGAGGCGGTTCTTTATAACCGTGCTCAGTGGTATGGGTGGGCACAATGTTCATGCCAAAAGGTGGTGAACGCGCGTAACTACAATTATATTGTATTATATTATATTATATTATATTATATATTATGTGTACACATATATATATATATGTATGTATACAGTACATGTTCATTTATTTATGTGTGTATATATATATACATACATAATTATATATATATATACACATAATTATACATATATACATAATTATATATATATACACATAATTATATATATATATACATATGTATATGTATAGTCCCATATAGTTTGATGCTTTCTGATGGCTTGAACCTGCCCAGGTTGGGATTGCAGCATCTCATCTCTCAACATGGCGTGGGTTCCATGCCCATTATGTCTGAAGGCGAGTTTTATCGGCGCAAGGTGCAGTACAAGCTGATGTCTGTGGCGCACCAAAACGGTTTCTGGTCAACTTTGACGACTTTCCGACCCCTAAAACTTGATAAACATATCTCTCAGATTTTATAGCCGGGATGACTCAACCACCACCAGCTCCCCCCAAAAGTCGCCTTTTTTCCCCCAGTGGAATGGGTTATAACGGTTAAACATCCCAGGCTTGGTGCTGAGTCGCTTCCTTTTGATGAAAGTCAAGGAGGCCGGACGACCCGGCGCCGCGAAAGCCGTGGCGAGTACTGGTGGCCTGGGCGGCCTGGGCGCCGGTGCCTTGGTGAGTGGTGGTCCTTTGGCTCAACCCATGCAGGTCTTTTCTCCAAAAAAGGAGAAGAAGAAGAGGGACAAGGACGGATGAAAGTGATGTTATTGTGGGGTGAAAGTGGGATGAAAGTGGGATGGGGAAACTTTGAGTTGGGTGATAGTCCCCTGGTGCTTCGGCTATCTCAAGTTTTCACTTGCTTTAATGGTCATTCCAACCTTCATTTGGACATCCCAGGAGCCGCTCGACCCAGAAGCGCAAGTGCGCATCGAGGGCCTCAAGGAGCAGGTGCTCAAACTTCAGGCAATGCTGCGGCGGAGATGTGCCGAAGCCGATGGTCAGGCCATTGGGTGCAGATGGCAGGTGATATTTGTGAGAAGGATCCATGTAATCCACTGACTCATATCTTTAACTGGGGGCTCAAATAGATGTTCTTTTTCCACTGGTTGGCTGTTCGAACACTAGAGGGCTAACTCTTGCAACTCCATCCTTTTTCATCGTTTTTTGAAGGCCTCTAAATCGGAACACAATCAAAATCCTTCTGGTGAAAGATCCGCCAGTCGACTTTTCCCACCCAGGACATCACCCCATGGCTGCCGCAGGAAGAGCTGTTGAGACGGGCGAAGGAGGGGAAGATCTCCGCCTCCCAGGACGGTTTGGAAGGCTGCAAACAATATAACAAAAAACAGTGATTGTTGATATTTTTTTCCCTTCTATCTTTCTGGGGAATCTATCTATCTATCTATCTATCTATCTAATCTAATCTAATCGAATCTAATCGAATCTAATCGAATCGAATCTAATCGAATCTAATCGAATCGAATCGAATCGAATCTAATCTAATCCAATCTAATCCTATCTATCTATCTATCTATTTATCTATCTATTTATCTATCTATTTATCTATCTATCTATCCTATCTATCCTATCTATCCTATCTATCCTATCTATCCTATCTATCCTATCTATCCTATCTATCCTATCTATGCTATCTATCCTATCTATCCTATCTATCCTATCTATCCTATCTATCCTATCTATCCTATCTATCCTATCTATCCTATCTATCCTATCGATCCTATCTATCCTATCTATCCTATCTATCCTATCCTATCTATCCTATCTATCCTATCTATCCTATCTATCCTATCTATCCTATCTATCCTATCTATCCTATCTATCCTATCTATCCTATCTATCCTATCTATCCTATCTATCCTACCTATCCTACCTATCCTATCTATCCTATCTATCCTATCTATCCTATCTATCCTATCTATCCTATCTATCCTATCTATCCTATCTATCCTATCTATCCTATCTATCCTATCTATCCTATCTATCTATCTATCCTATCCTATCTATCCTATCTATCCTATCTATCCTATCTATCCTATCTATCCTATCTATCTCTCCTATCTCTCCTATCTATCCTATCTATCCTATCTATCCTATCTATCCTATCTATCCTATCTATCCTATCTATCCTATCTATCCATCTATCCTATCTATCCTATCTATCCTATCTATCCTATCTATCCTATCTATCCTATCTATCCTATCTATCCTATCTATCCTATCTATCCTATCTATCCTATCTATCCTATCTATCCTATCTATCCTATCTATCCTATCTATCCTATCTATCCTCTGAATCCTCTCTATCCTATCTATCCTATCTATCCTATCTATCCTATCTATCCTATCTATCCTATCTATCCTATCTATCCTATCTATCCTATCTATCCTGTCTATCCTATCTATCCTATCTATCCTATCTATCCTATCTATCCTATCTATCCTATCTATCCTATCTATCCTATCTATCCTATCTATCCTATCTATCCTATCTATCCTATCTATCCTATCTATCCTATCTATCATATCTATCCTATCTATCCTATCTATCATATCTATCATATCTATCATATCTATCATATCTATCATATCTATCATATCTATCATATCTATCATATCTATCCTATCTATCCTATCTATCCTATCTATCCTATCTATCCTATCTATCCTATCTATCCTATCTATCTATCTATCTATCTATCTATCTATCTATCTATCTAATCTATCTAATCTATCTAATCTATCTAATCTATCTAATCTATCTATCCTATCTAATCTATCTAATCTATCTAATCTATCTAATCTATCTAATCTATCTAATCTATCTAATCTATCTAATCTATCTTATCTATCTATCAATCTATCAATCTATCAATCTATCAATCTATCAATCTATCAATCTATCAATCTATCAATCATCTATCTATCTAGCTAGCTAGCGCATACATGCATACATGCTGCATACATGTATCATTTCGTTCATTTTGGATCTATGTGGATGTCCAAGATCCCTGAATATCGACAATCGAATCCGACATCAAAGTCTTTGAACTTCCCATCCCCATGACTTCAATTGTATGTGCGCCCCATGTATTCGACTTGAACCCCCCAACCAGTCATCTTTCTTTCTTCTCCAAGATGTCACTGACTATCAGTGAAAGAGAAGAACTCGTTTAAAAGTGACATTTTAATCCTCAGAACAACCTCATCTCTCTTGGAAAACTCATAGTTTCCAGGTGGAGCCGCCCTATGTACCGGAATCTCCATCTGTCGCGACTGTACAAGACATTGTTTCCACCATACATCATCCCCATAGTGGATGTATCCGCCAGTGGTTGACATTGCCTGATCCTCACTTCCCTCACTAGATTCTAGATCTTACCATTTAGCGGGGTATACACCTTATTGGTTGTGTCTCAAACATGTGGTGATTTTTGAAAAACCGGCCGCAGGAGCTGAGCAAAGAACTCCAGGAGATCACCTTGGATGTGCTTTCAAAGCGCTGTAAGGCTTTGGAGGCCTTGGTGAAGTGCTGCGAAACGCAGCGAAACTGGGCAAACTGGACAAGTATGGAGAAGTCGCTTCAAAGTTTTTGGAGATTCTGTCGATTTTCGGCGCGCGATTGAGGTGAACCAAGAATTTTTCATGGGAAAAGAAATAGGATCTAGATCTAGACTCTAGACATGACGTGACAAACATGAAAATATGAGGCAATGAAATCTGAGGACCAGCATTCGGAATGGCTTGACATTTGAATTGCTGGCTTTAAGATCGTTGATTTGCACTTGTATTAGTGCACTCTTTTGGACTGCATCCCGGGGTGGAATCACGTTCTGTGAATCAATCCATTGTTGTCTTCAAAAGAAGGGTGCCCAGGCATGAAACCAGACACCTTGGCTTTTGTCCGGTGTCCACACGAGTGCGACAAGACCAATTTTCATTGGGTTACAATGGATTCAGGTCACATTTTTTCTGAGATCCATTGGGTAAACAATGCCAGGACTGTCCCGACGACAGCCCGCCACCTCCTGTCAGAGCTCGAAGTGAATGAACTGTTTGATACCCTCTGACTATCTCTGACTACTCTATGCCCTCTGCTAAGCACTGGCATGGCACTGGAAAAACCATGGATCTAACCAAGTGCCATGGAGTTTTTCTAGTAGGAGCTAGAGGAACGAATCTAGAATTGGTGGATGTTCCATTGCCATGTTAGATTTCTAGAGGTTATTGCTGGATTTTTTCCAGTTGAACTCACTTGGAGGCACAAGCCCAGCAGCTGACTGAAAGCAATGAGCAGATGGCGCCACAAGCCAAAGATGCTGGGAAATCTGAAAGGTCCTGGGTCAGCAGCGGGGGCTTTGCCACTGGGAGATTGGATGCTATTGGATGCTAGTGAAAACCCTTCTTCAAGCTGAAAAAAGTTGAGACCTCCAGTTTTTTGACTTGGCCAGTTTGTTTCGGAGCCTGTCTGCGACAAGAAGACTTAAATAGTGATTGCTTGGCCTGGCCCGAATCAACTTCCAGTTGATCCTTCTAATCGCATCAAAGTCTGGACCAATATCACAATTCTTGCCGAGTCAAGACGTCAATATTTTCCAACATACATTACATTACATTAGGTCACATTACATTGCATTGCACTCCACTCCATTCCATTCCATCCACTCATACATATACACCTATACACATATACCAAGTATTTGCTGGTGACTTGCCAGTTGCAAGTCTTACAGTGTTTCATACCAGTCACAACCTCGCACTCGAGGCCCGCCGCCGGTGCAGGTCGTTGAAGAAATTGCAGTCGAAGCTTGAAGAAAGTGATGCCCGCAAGCGATCTCTGGAACAGGTCAGCAGAACAAAAATACATGAATTCTGAATTGTATGTTAAGGAAAAACCAGGGAGGTATAGGGAGAAATTTAGCCAACTTTTTTTTTACTGTGGAGTGTATTTTTTGTGACCAAATTTTGGGGTGAAGTTTGGGGTCTGTACCGATCTGGATGCGCATCCCAGTGGGCGACTAATCACGGTTTGTTCACCCAGTTGTAGATGGGATGTTTACCTTAGTTACCTATACAACATATTTAAGATATCTCATATGGAATCTAATCTCATATATTCATTTATATATATATACATATATATACTATATCTTTTTTGCCCTCTCTTGTATACCTTGCAGGCAAGCATCTCGACGCCGATGACCATGACGAACTCTAAGAGACATGCATTGGATGGCCGAACATATCACAGGCTTTCAAACCAGATTCCAATCAGGGACCCAATGGGATCTACATATATCTACCCTCTGGTTATTTAACATAGCCATGGAAAATGGCCCATTTGTAGATCGTTTACCTATTAAAAATGGTGATTTTCCATGGCTACATCGATATCTTTTCCTATGGCTTCACCACCGGTCACATCGCTGCGAAGGAGCTGGGCATCGCTGCGAGCACCACGGCAAAGGAGAGCGGCGCCTTGAACGCCTCCTCCAAAGCAAAGAAGGTCGCGCAAAGTCGCAGCCAGGTGCCGGGCAGTTCAGATACCGTTGGAAATGGGCAGTTCACCAACAAAATTGGGATATATATATAATATTATATATAGGGGATTTCCTAAACTGGTGGATCTTTAAAATAGCTGGATGCGAGGATAACTTGGGCTAAAACGGTGCCATAAAACACCCATGACTGGGAATGGTAAGTTTATACCACCTATAAAAATGGTGATGACTGGGGGATGTCCTAACCTGGGATCTGCAAAATGGATGCTTCAGAATGGAAGTTGGTGAAGGTGATGTCCGACACTTCCAAGTGATGGGGGATACGGGACCGTTTTTCACCATGTTTGTTGGTAGTTTAAGTCTTTTCCATGGTTGGAAGTTGAACAACGGGGAGTTCACCAAGATGGTTTATGATGGAACGTCCGAGGAAGCCTCCATATATTGAGAGATATAGCTAACCATATGGGAATTAAGGTGTGTGTCTGAAAATGGTGTATACTAATAACACCAGGGAAGTTCATGCGGTTCTTGCTGCTTGGGGATTGGGGCTAGGGAGGGTGACCATTGGTTAACCCATCGATGGGAATTTGTCCAGTGAATGGAACGGAAAGATGGCGAAGGGCAGATCTCTGGTGTAACATGGCTGGAAAGTTCCCCAACTAGATGGAGGTATATAGCAAGTTTAGTTCGCTGGGAAAGATCATCTCCACAACCTCCCCAAACTTTAATATTTGATTTTAATTTAGTTGACAATCTTTATTAATCTTCCATTAATCTACCACCCGGTAACCAAACGTGGCAACGGAGAATCCACTACAATTGGAGGTTTATAGTTGGGAAAATCAACTTAAACTAAATTGGGGATTTTCCAGCAAGCCATGTTTGATGACACCCGAGGCTAATCATCATTGGATCCTGGTAATCCCATTAAATCACCATTAACTCGCTATTCTTGTTGGTTAAAGTTAAATCCCATAGTGTTGGTGAAACACTGGATTTCAATGATGAGTTAATGGTGAGTTACATCCCTATGTTGAATCCCATGTTAATACCATGAACCTCAAATCACCCTTAACAATCTCAATGTTTCTTGGTTTCCATCCCATATGTTGGTTTCATCCCTGCTATGTTTCATGACACCTACCATTGGACCATCGCCCCAAGGAGCTCCAGCAACGCGTCCACGACTTGGAGCAGCAGCTGAAGACTCCGCAGCAGGCAGCCCCGGCGGCGCGGCAGGCGGCGTTGGACAACAAACGCCACGACGAGGCGATTGTCGCTGGGACGCGGTGAAGTGATGCCGCCTGGTGGGTCCCGTTCGGTCCCGTTGGGTCCCGTTGGGGGGTTGGAGATATCCATGGGGTGGAATATTCATGATATTGGTGACCCTCCAGTTAAACATGGAAAATCCCCCATTGAGTTAAAGTGGATTTTCCATGACTTTTCCCATCCAAAGCTCCATTTAGAGGGGATTCTCAATTGCCATGTTTGATCACTGGAGGGTTATTTTGGGAGTTGAGCAAGAAACAAGGGGACTTCAGTTTTCTGTAAACCCAAAGCAGCCAGAAAGAGGGTGGAAGTAACAGAAACATTCTCAATTTGGACAATGAAAATCCAGTTTTGCTGTGGGAATCCAGCATGATTGCAGCATGATCTACCCTCTCAAATGAGCTTCGCATCCTGTTTGGGTGATTTGTCAGCACCAAAAAATGATCAGTGAGGGGAACCAACCAAAATCACATCATTTCAGATTGGTGCCTTCCCACACTTCAGCCAGATCCCATGCTCCCCGTCCCGGCATTGCACTTTCAGCGAAAATTTACCCGAAACCCCGAAACTTAGTAATTCTTTGGATAAACTTGGTGGTATAAAAGTACAAAAACCATGGTGTCCTTTCAGAAAAAATCCATGGTTTCACCATTTGGTCGGATCATTTTCATTGGGAAATCATGGGATTCTCCGGAGGGTTTTTACCGGCTAAGGCCAAAGGGGAACAGGAGAAGCTGCACCTGGCGCAGCGACTGGAGGTGCCCCATAACAAGCAACAATTTGGATGGGAATTGAACCAAGAAACTTGGGGATGTATACTTGATACATCTTGATACTTCCGCTACTTGATCAGATGATCTAGTTAGCTAAGTTGGTTTAGGGCTCAGCTCGGTAGATAAAGCAACGAACATCACTGGGGGCACCACCTTGTAAATGCTAGGACAATGGCTGGAGAATCTAAGATCCAGTTGCTGAGATGGGACTTCTTACAAGTACAGTTCTCTGAATTCTCGCGCCATTCGCCATTGATATCTTTCCTAGACTTGGATAGAGTTGATATGAGTTGATGATAGGAAAATTTCGAGGAAACCTCATGAAACTTCGATATTTGAGGGTCAAAATCCAACTAGTTTCAACGGTAGATCTTCCCTTCAATTGACTGATACCACGCCCCACTGGTTCCGTCCTGCCAGAGGCGCTGGAGCAGGAGCAGAAGCGCGTGCTGGAAACGGAGAAGAAACTCTTGGAGCGCCTGACCAAAAGTCAGAAGGCGCGGCTGTGGGTAATCCTCCAATTTCTTGGGATTTATGGGTACCTGTTGAGATTTAATGGGGGTGATGGGATCTATCATCGGACTTAATGGGGATTTGGGTGAAGATGATCAGCCGTGGAAGACACTGGGTGGCAGCCGGTGGTCATTTGGTTATGGCTCGAAGTTGTGTACATATTGCATAATTCAGTTGATGCCACATAGTCTTATTTGACAGTTCATAATAAGCACCATATCATGCCAGATCATCATACTTCAAGAGGATTACCGTATTTTTTCCCTCGTTTTCCCGTTGACGTCGACCACAACATGACGTCTCTCAAAGCGGCAGAGTTATGATGTTGAAGGCCATTTCATGTGGGCCTGGGTGGCGGTAAAGCATGCAGTGTAGTGATCGAGCATATAAAACACATACCAGAACCCTCTATGCCGTTATATACAGCTAACCTCATGGATTATCATGTTTATATAAATATACACAATGTTTATATATATATATATTCACATAATATACATGTGTGTATAATATATATATATATATGTACACACTATATTTGCGTATTATGTATATATATATATATCTATATACCAATCCTTTTTATATTTCGACATTTGAGGCCAACCAGTCGCTGGACGCCCGCTGTGCGCCGCTGAAAGTGGCGGCCCAGGCCATGCGGACGCAGCAGCAACGCCTGCGTACGGAGGCGCCATACGGAGGGCTAACATGGCCATGGGGCGTTCGTTGATTCACCTTTTAAAATGTGGGAAAACCTATGGTTTTCATAGGAAAATGATCAATAAATGGTGGGTTTTCCATACTATAGATGGTTTATCCCACTATTTATAGGTTTTCAACCATCCTTTTGGTGGTGCAGGATTTCGCAACCATCCACAGTAGGTTAGTTGACCAGAGGGTAATGTATTACTATAGTAATAGTTATTGAAAATACTACGATGATAGTAATAGGTATACCATATGTATATAGTATAATAGTGATAGTGATAGTACTACAATGATTACCAATATTATACTATAACCACAATGTAATGATATGATAATATCATCTATAATGTATCTATACCATCTATAATTAGATATAATTATATAAAATTATATATAATTATATATAATTATATATAATTATATATAATTATATATATATGGTAATTTATATTATTGTGGTAATATACTGTATTACTACAATGGTTACCTATATTAATACTATAACTACTATAATACCTATAATGATTTACTAGAATGTATCTATAATGGTCTGAATTCTATCATGTTGAGTTTGCTTAGTAACCGCCCAACAGATTCAGATTGTAGTAAATCCTATCCGCAAATGATATTTCTTTTACGAAAGTCTATATGTTTTGGGCTTACCATAACTATAATTGAGACTTCGCAAAGACACATTGGGGGAGTTCAGTGACCAAAGATTGAGGACTTACAAACACCAACAAATTGAGATTTTGCCAATGACTTAACCACCGCCAGGGGATTTCAGCAAACATGGCAAGGTGCAGCAACAAGAGTTGGGGATTTTTCAGCAAGCAAAACCTGGGAAGATGACCAAAAAGTAAAGGACGTTTCAACCAACACATGAGAACAAATATTTTGATGTGGGTAAAACAATGCCATAAACCACCCATGACTGGGAATGATAAGTTTATACCACCTATAAAATGGTGATTTGGGGAATGGTTTGTGATGGTTTTACCCGCATTATATAATTTGTCAGAGTTTCTGACCTTGAGTCACTGCAAAACGCCTCCTGTGCAACTCAAAATGTCGACGTATAGAATTATAGAATTCTATGAAATCAAACACCAACCGGTGCCCCTGCAAGGAAGAGTGCCAAACCAACATAGTCAAGAAGCACCCGGATTTCACCACGAAAACCAACAATTTCAGGGTGAATTCACAAAGAAACTCTGGGAATATCACAAAGGTGAGGATGTCGTCAGAGTTTCAAATATCAACCGACGTACAGTGTAACCGACAGTAGTGGGGAAATATCCAAATCTGCTGGAAGTATGTTTCGCTGGTTTTGAGACTTTTTTTGATTTTCCATCTAAAAACTGAGATATATCGATGTTCCCAGATGACTCTCGTATTCATGCGTTTTTTTTTGAGTCAGCTTTCATGGTCCCAGAATATCCCAGATGACTCGTTTGGAGCTGAGGTGACTGAAATTGGAACGACTTTCAATGGTGAGGTGAAGAAAATGCTCGAAGCCACAACAAAGGTAAGAGACACTTGGCCGCTGGTAAACTTAAAAAGGCACCTGAAAGTTGAGAACCCCCGACAGAATGGCTTTTGGACGACCATATTTTTTTTTTAGATGGAACATAAACAACTTCTAGATTCGATTGTTTGTCCTCTATCTTAAAGATCGAGGAAGTATTACCCTCAGGCAATCTCACATGGCTTGCTGGAAAATGCCACCCAGAAAAGAATCATTAGAACTCCCATCTATGAGGAATTTCCAATGGCCATGTTGGATGACCGGAGGGTAAACTGACCAAATTCATCTGGCCTTGGGTCCCGAGGATCGGACGAAAGCCTTGGAGCAGAAGCACAACTTGGCCATCGAGGATCGGGCGTAAAAAAAGGAGATGGCTAGCTGGGTAGACCGTCTAGAAGAACGGCCGTGTTTTGGTTGCTAGAGATCATATATAAGGCATATCTGTATACATATATACGGTTGGATATGCAGGAATTTAAATATGTTATGTGTGTGTACATAAATACGCATATATTTGATCCATGTAATATCAGATGACTATTGTTCTCACCATTATGATGTAATCGCAATCTTCTTTATGTTGAATGACGTTTGCACGTTTGTCATGAGGATTCCAGATCTTACTGGATGCTTCGTCCAGCCCTGTTTCTTCAGAAAACAACAGATGATACCCAAACGGATTGAAAAGACAAGCAATTCAAAGGTGGTTGGCGAGAAATCTACTATGAGTTATGTACGTAGATGACTGCCTGTAGAAGTCCCCCTGGCACCGTAAAATATGGCTACAAATACATTCAAATCCCCTTGTATTCACATCAGGTACGGCTTAAGTTTCCAGAGATTTTGATCGATCCCCACATCCTCATGTTTGATGGTCAAATTCCCATGTTTGGTGGTTGAATTCCAATATTGGATGATTACATAACTCCTATTTTGTTTTGGGGGGTTCCATGGTTGTTGACCCATCCCCATATCATGATATTGAATTCCGATCAAAGGAATAGGGAACCTCTCATAAAGTGTCGTTAAAACCATGTTTTCCTGCAATTCACTCTGAAATGACTCCATTGACTCCATTGATCAAATCACTAGGCAACAATAACTCTCTGTTTCTTGCACCCCGTGACCACGCAGGACCGGGACAAACTCCAGACCCTGGTGGCGGAGCTTGAGGCCGCGTGCGCGGGCAGCCCGTCGGCCACAAAGAAAAGCCGCGCGAAAGCGAAGGTCTGCGGGAGCACTTTTTGGGTTGATCTTTGGGGGCACAGATGCCCAGTCCAGTCGCAAGGTGGGGTATAACGGTAGAACCCCATCCACCTGATTTTTGACCAAAATGACTTTGACTAATCAGGTTTCACATCATTTTCCCTGCTGTGGACCTGGTCACCCTTGTTGCTACTGTCCTCTGACGGGATTTTCTCCACACATATTGACAGAAATGGAAGCAACCTGTCTATTTCTCTTCGCAGTGACTCGCAAAACGAAGCCTTTCCATTTCAGGCGAAATGAAATGTCGCCAGCTGAGTACCGTGAACTTCTGAATTCCTCTTGTTTTTTTGCAAGTGAGTCTCACACCCTTGAGTGGGAATGCAACCGCTTGGCCCTGGATCAAGCTGGTTTGCTTACCTGCCAAAGCAAGGGACAAATCCGTGATATGCATAGCTTAGCGCTACAGAGTGCAACCAAGCATTGGTGCCGCATTGCTTGGAGGTCTCCGATGATTTCTCATCAAAAAGCGAGTGCTTCTCATCGATTGCACCTGTCTTTGACTGGGTTGCCATGGTTTGATTTCTTTTGACTCTGTTCGAACAGGGTATGAGCAAGGCATACTAAGCATCCCTTTTAAGATTTTCAATATTCTTCAATCAGAAGTTCTGGTGCAAAATGGTTTCCCCTGCCTCCTTTTCAACCTTCAAAAGGGCGATATTCAAATCGAGGGCCTCAAAACTCAAAACGCATTTCATTGGAGGGTACATGGCAGTAGGAACTTACCAGGTAGAAATTTACCAGCCAGATGCGAAGTGGGTACAAGGGTTTCAGAGATTGCCCAGAACATCCTTTGCCAAAAGACCATGACATGGTGCATGTCTTGGTCCTCTAGTGGGACATATTTTGCTTGGTCACATCTCTCATGTTTCGGGTCTATACATTGACTTCACCAATGCAAGACTCATTTTCCAACCATCAAATGCAGGATTTTGGAGGTCTTCCCGGTTTTTTCCCATGATTTTAGAACCATAATTTCCAACCAGATTGCAGGTTTTTTCCAGTTTTCAGCTATATTTTCCCCTTGGAAAGCCCATGCCAGGCCAGGCCCTAGCCCCCCCAGGTTCGGCTACACCTCAGCAGTGTGGATGCGGAAGGCTCCTCTCGGGCGATGGAGCTCTTCAAGTTGCCCCTCGGCAGCCCCCCATGCTGGGCGTGGCTGGGAAGGTTGGGATGTCCAATTTTTCTTCCATTTTTTTCTAGACTTTGGGGAATTTGGGAGATGGTTTTTCTACACATTTTGGGAAATTGGAAAAAATAGATCGACTTGTGAAGATCGAACAAAAGGTTCGAAAGCTTTAGAGGAGCCGACATCAGCCGATGCGGATTGAGAGAAATCGTCCAGTTGAACCTGAAGACAATGGGCCATATATTTTGATGCTCTCCATAGACAAAGGATAAAAGATGATAAAAAACTAAGTAACTCATTTGATTGATCATTACTACAATAATCATTGCTAGTGTTTTTTTTATCAGATGATGCTCACTTGAAGATATTGAAGCAGCAAGGCTTCCACCATTTCCACCGGCACGCCTGAAAAATGCTGCAGGTTGGACAGCGACGCTGATGACCTCTTGAGTCCGCGCGATTGTCTCAAGGTGACGGTTTTTGAGCACTGAAACTGCAGCTCACATCCTGAAAAACAAGCATCTATGTACAGTATATATATATTTATAATACACATATATATATATGTATTATATATAGATGCATACTGTATATGCAATGATCCTGGAGTAGAAGATGGAAAATCAAAAAAAAACCTCACTCATATGAAAACATGTTTGAACATCCCATATTCTATCTATGCTTCAGAAGGACGCTATATATATATACATACATATAGCCACATACACATAAACAACTTTTGCAGGTTGGATCTGCACGGATCCCAACACAGTATGTCTCCATTTTTGGTGGTGATATCTCCTTTTGGGGCTTAGAATCACCATTGCTTGAGTTTCCTGTTGGTTCTATCATGATAGTCCGTCCCATTTTTCCCTGGGGAGGTTCAAGTTCAATTTTTGCATTCCGAAATCAGAACCTGAGCACGTCGGACAGCCACTACTTTGCGTGAATTATCTTACAAAATGTAGAATCTAGAAATGCTTCCAGAAGCCTTGTGGAGGTATGCAGACTTGGGAGGACTCCTTTTTACTTCTACAGGGTTGTCTACAGGGTTTTCACCTGTTTTCTACAAACCACAAGGGGTTTAAACCTCCATTGCAGGCCTTCAGGGGCGCCGCAGCGCTGGTCAAGGACTGGGTCTGAGCGTTTGACCAAAGATATTGAAGTTTGAGCCCCCAAAACAGTTGTTACAACTCAAAGAAAGATCAAACAAATCAAACTTCTAATAACTGATGAGAATGATAGTTGACTATAGTTGGGATCCACATATTCAAGCCAATGATTTTCAAGGAAGAAGAAATGGATTTTGACCCAGGAACCTTAGGATTAGACCACGCCCAAAATGGGATATGCAACGGCTCAAGGTGTGATGGTTGCCTAGAAATGGAGAACAAAAATCGCAGAATGAGTTAAGATTATTCACCATGTTTTTTTTTTTTTAAATCCAATAATACCATTCTGAATGTTTTTTTTCACACTGTTTTAATCCTTGCCATTCTTCACCCCAAGATATCCAGTGGATTCCAGTTCAGGAACGTGCGGACAATGCACTTCATCAAGAGAGACTCAAAGCCTTCCTTCGAGAACGCGGCCACTCGAATTTGACGTCTGAGTTACTTCGGAGAACGCAAGTCCTGAAGAGAGGAGTTTTCATAGGGGTTATACATGGTTATACTGCTTAATATATTATAGGGTGATGATCATAATTCATGAGCCGGGAATCCTCATACCAATAATTGTTTGGAAATTGTTCAATAGGTCTTTGATGCCGCTCATGTAGAGTTTCACATATTCATGATTCAGCTGGAGAAGAATCGGCTCAGTCAAACCCACCTAGTAGCCACACCGACAAGCGGTCGTTTGCCTTCTGGTATGGAACATTTCAAAACCAAAAGCCAGCACCGACTTGCCTGTACTTATCAAACACGGCAATGTAGCATACTCATTTTTGATGGGTGATTTGCATTACCATGCTTACCTACCCGAGGGGACATACCAAATTTTGGCTTACATAAGTCTCTTTTTTTGCCTTTTAGATCCCCCTTTTGATGTGAAACCTTTTACACCTGCTTTTTGGCCCAAGTGAGGTCTTCCTTTGGATATGCAGATCCCTCGTCACAAAGCACTGGGTGGTGATCAGTACAGTCGCGCGATGTCACTGCAGAGGCTGGTGGATCTGGTGGTGCCGGGGGGTTGACTTCGTGTTGCAGATGGCCTGGGCACGGGCTTTGTTGATTTCAATTTGCTTCTGAAGTCGAAGGTAGCCGAATATAATTGGGGGTTTACAATGGTTTATATGCGTTTATCACTAATTGAATTTGGATGTTTATCAAATTTGGCTCCCAATCATCCAATAATTTGGATGTGCAGCACCATAGCGCAGGTACTTGGTGCTGAAGTACGGATCCTTGTACGAGGCTATCCACTCCATGGATTCCTCCGGCATAGGCGGCCAGCGTGGGATTCCTCGAAAAATTCTCCCATGGGATTTCCACGGCGCACGGATGTTTTTCTGCATCTTTTTGTACCGACAATCCATTTAAACATTTTAAACCAGTCATTCTCGAGTCATTCTTGTTTGATTCTGGGGTGCTCCGGCACAGAAACTGAGTCGATCTAAAGTCCATTTTTGAGTGTATCATCCCAATATTTCCTCAGAATCTGTAGGATTTTGGTGGATCTTGGATATTTTGGGATGTGCTAGAAAGACAAGGACCTTGTAGTCACGGAAATAGCCAAAGAGGGGAACCTGAATACGGAACCCACACATTCCAGGCTTCGTCAGCAAAGATGACTTCGTTCAGCGTTTGCTGTCGGATCGCTATTGCCTCTCTGAATATGAGGCGGGAGGTCGTGAAACACGGAAGTTGTGGTTGAACAGTCCAACACCTGTGCAACTTTTGCATCAAGTCCTGCTGTAGGTGTGGGTCCTGTAGGTACACAGCTAGGTCAACCCCAAATCTGGGTCCAATTGTTGACTCATCTGATTGGACGTCCCAGCCTGCACCAGGATAGCCAGGATACCAGCGAGTTTCTTAACCCACACCCATAGTAGACAATGCTGCTAGAGGCAGAGGGCCTCTCTTTGAAATGGATGTACAGGAAGACATGTCGATTTTGGTCTCAAAATCAAGATGCCTCTTATCATCCATTGGTTCCCCCATTCAAAATTAACATTTTCGGATGTTGGGTTCCCATGGGTTCCCCCGTTTTCGGCGAAACGCCGAGGCGGAGGAACTCTTTCAATCCTTTGACCCTTGGGGTCCGGAGCCAAAGAGTGGGATGGTTGGGTTGGGCTGCTGATAATTGCTGATAGCTGGGATGAATGGAACGAACATACCCACAAACTCCCCTCCTTCTGGGGGTATTTTTTTTGGTATGTTTCAATCCTCCAATTTCTTTCGGGGCCAACATGGGAACATGATCTTGTTGATCATTGGTAAGGTGGGTTGGGGGGCAATCACGGGTAATTCAGAGATAGATAACAATAACAATGGTAAAACATGGTAAAACCCATTACTCTTTTAAGATGGTGATTGAATCCCGGCGAGTATTAAATACCCCTTGAAGAAACCCTGATGAAATGTTCTGGATCTATTTGGGGGGATTTATATAATATGATCTGAGGATGGAATCGTAAATCCCAGTGAACACTAGTTGACCCCAGTTAACCTCAGTAAATTGATGTAAACGGGCAGTTTTAATATGTTTTAATCCTGTTGACTTATTTGCTGCTGATCAGTGGTATTTATTCCTTTGGGAACAATGTTTCGGGGTCCGCGACTTCTTTTACTGTAATTAGTCGCCTTCACCTGTGCTGGATGTGAAAAAAGGATAAACAAGGATAAACAAGGAAGACACCAATCTCTCGCCCAAATGGTGGGTGCTGTGGACATCTATGGTCGGGAGCATGACTTCATTTGCTTGTTCCTTCCATGAACATAGTGAATGTCTCCGCGGCCAGATCATCATTTCTGCCTTGAACATCTGGGATGACGAGATGAAATGACACTGATATTTGAGTTATTTTTTGGTACGGGGATGGTTTGAAACACCAACTCATAACCAATTTCCCCAGGATCTCAATGACACTTGCCATCTCCAGGAAAGGGCTGGTTGCCTCTTCAACGAATGCTGGAATACGAGGCTACCCCGCGGCAGGGTGGTGATGGTTTCATGGTGAACAGATGAACACCTTGGTGATGCTGACTTGTTGCCTGGTTTTGTGAGCGAATCTTGAGCCGTTTTGAGACCCTCCGGTGTCATGAAACATGGCTGGCTGGGTTCCCCTATCAATGGCTGGTATTTAGCTAGGTAAAACATGGGACATGACACTGGGGGGATTTTGATCATCAGAGTCATGTTTGATGACTCTCTGGGGAACCTCTTCAGGTCTCTGGAATGGAATGGCTGCGACCATGGGTAAATGCTGCTGGGGTGCCCGAGATGAGAAATGAATGTCTGGTGGGTTGCAGCTACTCGTTTGCTGATGATGAACTTTGGCAGATGAGGTAACAACAAGGAAATAGTCATAAACGTGCACCCTCAAGCATGGTGACCCAGGAAAGATTGGTAAAGGCACTCTCAAACATCGATGCAACAAACACAATGTGAATGTTGAAGCCTGATACTCGACGTGGCGAATTGCTGAAAACTGCTGAAACATCGACACACATGTAGATACACGTGTCTGCAAATTGAACAATACATTTTTCAATTCTGCCAGCTCTCGCACACTTTTTTCCCTCTGTGTCTCGCTCTAATATGAACATAAGCTATATACATATGTGCAGAGATTAAACATGCACATATAAACAACGCGCAAGAACATGTACAAATAATGTGTATATATGACATGCATTGACATGCTATATACGTATATGAATGATATTTTGATATAACTGAACACTAGATGTATACATAGATGATGCTTACAGATGTAAATGGTATGTAGATATAATTATTGACATAAACATATATAATTGTATAATATAATACATAACTATGTATATAGATGACACATATAGTAATAAATATACACATGTATATCACTTTCATGCACATTGCGTATATATATATACACAAATCATCACACAACATATTTACACAATATACCAATATGTTTACATCCTAACTACACACACACACATATATATACATATGAACAATACATACATACATATAAGACATACATAAATAAATAAGGAAAAACACATGCACACACACATAAACGTATAATAGGGTGTACATATACACATTATAATCATTTTCCAATGCCCGAGGCGTCACCACGGAGCGTTTCCCCACGTGGCTCTCCTTCGCCGCGCGGCACCTCTCCGCGCTCCGCGTCGCCGCGGTCTGCATCGCCGCGGAGTACGGCGCGAAGGCATTGGTTGTGCTGTGGGGTTGTCCAAAAAATGGGGGGAATGTTGACCAAGATGTGGATGAACTGGGATACAACATGATAGAACCAGCACTATCATAGTATCCAGTGACATTTATGGGACGATAGGAGGCTTCACGTTCTTTTTGTGATTTCTTTCCATCCCAGGGATGATCCTTACCAGGTCTGGCACCAGATCGCCCGCGCTGGCCTGAGATAGGATGATCCCTGAAGTGGTTCATAGCTGCGGCTATAGCCATAGCCACTTTGCGCGAAATCACCGAAGTTTCGGAGTTTGGGCACCATCCCAACATATCCCAACCAGACCTGGGAGAGTTTAGGATCTGGAGCAGTTGGAGGTGCTATCCACACTGCCAACCCCCCTGTGGATGGTCGTGGTACCGAGGATCGTTTTTTTGCCTCACCACGGAGTGCTCAAGGTGGGACGGGGTCTCCCAAAATGCAGAGAAGTTGTTTCTGTTTCACCTCGGGTTTAGTTCTTTGAATTCGGATCATCAATTTTGGAGGATTGAGGAGACATCAGCGATGCAGGCGATGCATTATGTTTTGGTTTATTGATTTCAGAACCTGAATCCCCCAATTCGTCCTGTTTCAAGGTCCTCTGACTTGTCGGATGGTCTAGTGACTAGTGGGCTTCTCGCATAGGACTGCAAAAATGAGCAACGACATGGTGTATACAGGGATATGGGGACTCACCCGTAGATGGGGATCCCTTCTCACCATTGGTTTCCCCATTGAAAATGGCCAATTTGTTTATAATTTTGGGGTCTCCCATTTCAAGGTATTTTAAGAATCCCCATTTTGCTGCTGTGGCAGGAAGTGGTTGGATGGAAGAGGAAGTGCCTTGGATGTGACGGTGGATTATTTTATTTATTATTATTCATGGTTGAGAGGACTGAATTTGTCTTTGCAGCCACTATGCAATTTGTGGACTTTCCTCAGCAAAAACAGGTGTTCTTTTGCAGAGTCCAAACGATGTCCTGACGGATTCTGGTCATTGCCGCCTGGAATCCACCCATCGTATTCACCATTGGCATGTGACTGTTGTCTTGATGAGCTGGGATTGAGTTCTGAGTTCGCCCAGCTCATGGGCCTCTAAAGGTACTTGTTGGGATGATCATCCCAATCACTTCTTAGTTAGCCTCAGAGTTCTTGCTTCTGCCCTTTTTTTACTGGGCAACCCTTTTGATTTTGCAAAAGTCATGGCTTGATTCTTCGCCACAAACCGAGAAATAGGACATATAATGGCTGCCACTTTTTTTTTTTTAAAACATATATCACATCTCTCGATCTCTCTCTCTCTCTCTCTTTCTCTCTCTCCCTCTCTCTCTCTCTATATATATATAATTATATAATTATATATATATATATTGTGTAGCCTATCCAAAACATAGCCACAAGCAGGGCCCCCATCATGACGCTTCCCGGCGCTCTCAGCTGGCGGAAGATCGCTCCGACTTTCTCTTCTCAGACCCTGGGCGGTTGGATGGACCACCTCCCTCGAGTCCTAGGTGCCGGTTGGGGATGATGGGTATTTTCCATAGCCATGGGGGTATCCCAATAGCTGGATGCTTTATTTCATGGATCCTATGAACATGGATGATTACCACCAATTTTAGGAAACCTCCATGTGGATGTGTTATAAAGATGGTGATCTAAATAAAAAGGTCTTACTGCGGTTGAACACTGGTACCCATACCCAGTCGTTTTCATGGATAGTATGCATGATGCAGACATTTAGTCATAGTGAGCCATTATTATTGTAGAATGATCATGATCATATCAGAGGATCTTGAGACTTTATCACAATTTCAATGATGATAATAACAACAACGCAAAATAGTTGATAACAATATTACATGATATTAATGTCCACACTAATCATTAACATGGGCATTGAACTTCTAGAATATCAGAAATACCCTCTGGTAAACTAACATAGCTATGGAAAATCACCATTTTTAATGGGTAAATCCACTATAAATCACCATTTTCAATAGCTTTTTGTATGTTTACCAGGCCGGGTAATATAGGTATGATATCAATATCTCAGTATGCCATCCCCTTAAGAAAGTTTCAATGCCAGGCGTCAACCAACCAAGCGCTCTCCACGGTCGTCTGCGCGACCTGAACGCAGAGGGTTGACCTGAAAAAACTAGGGGACTTTAAGGCAGGAGTTTTGTCATATCGCACAACGAATTTATTTTTTGATGTTGTGTATTTGTTTAGTGATTTATTTTTTTTATTGATTCGATTATGATTAATTTGAATGATGTTTGAAACAATCCAGGAAATACCAAGCTGAAACGGCTGTTCTTTTCAAGAAATGACCATGACATTTGCAGGAAAAAGTTGGATTTTAGTCTACGCTAGATGAGATGTATTTCTTTTTATCTTGTCATTTGCAGGGAACATGTGCAGGAAAGGCTATAATTTTGTGAACATCACCCTGTATCGATCGGCAACTTGAAACTGGGGATGTCCCTGGCTGAACACTTGTGCAACTGTTCTGTCTTTGACGAAATCATGGCAGCATTGCTGCTTCCCCTCTCAAACTGAATGCCACATGTCATTGAAACCTCATATCAGGTTGTCAGAAGTATAATTTTCAACTGCTTGGTTGACTCTTGTAATGGGATTACCTCCAATGAAAACAAGCAATAGGCAACTGATGAGTGCTATCCCATAACAGCCCCAAGGCATGAGAGGCTTCACATTGCTGGGATCGGACATAAAAGGCACACCGGGGGGTTGGGCTGCTGGGGGTACCAAGCACCACCGGGCTAGGTCACTTCTAGGTACCTTAAGAAAGAAACAACTATACATTGTGCACTGGAACATCAGTTGGTGGATGCCGATAATTGATAGTCCATCTTAGAAAAACCGAACAACTTGTACCCTGGGTTGATTTGACATAGCTATGGAACAGCACCATTTTATAGAGGTGAATCATCAATAAATGGGCCATTTTCCATAGCTTTGTGAATTTGGTGGAGGGTATCTTCCATTTATAGATGATCTGGTTGGTGGAACATTTTTTTATTTTCCCCAATAGTTGGGATGATGATCCAATCTGACTACTATTTTTCAGGGGGGTTGAAACCACCAATTAGTGATTATATAACCATTTCTAGAGGTACATCATCACCATTTCTTCCAGCCACTCTGGTTCCCCAGTGATTCGTCGCTGCCAGGGCCTTACCTGGTGATGATGCCCTCCGAAGCGCCTATCAGAATCTGGAGGAGGTGCGATGGTGCCAGTTGACCCAGATCCTCCCCCAGTCGATGGAAAACAGCCACAAAAAATCGGTACATCTGGATTTCATGAGGAGAAGAGTGGGATATTTAATGGGATATATAACCAACTATGGTAACAAGGGTATGATTATGGCCATGTAAATTTTCACTTGAAAAGGGTTCCCGTAATAATCTTTTAGGGCACAACTAGGTCGCTTTCTTTTCAAATGAAGATCCGGAGATCACAAAAAAAACCGGCGAAAAAATGGGGGGTGTTTGATGTCGGGAAGGGATGACCATATTGGATCCGCCGAGCTTGGTCATCTGTTCTGGTGGGAATCCAATGACTGGGGAAAAGGTCTGTGATGAAAAGAAATGGACAAAGTGTTTTATAGTGTTTTATACAGTAGTTGGAAGAAACTCTTTATACCTTCGACCCGAAAGGATCATGTTTGATTCTTTCGGACTCAGAAGAAAGGGTGCAACGCAAGATCCGCAACTTGCAAGAATGGGGTAGGGATATGTAGGGATAGCAGGAAATGATATTTCAATCCCATAAAGGCTTGCTGTTCATTTTTTGTTGCCACATTTGGCCTTAACATCTGTATTTTATCTCGTGTCATGAACAATCTACTGTAGTTGTGCCCAACAGTACAAGACAACCCAACCATTGGTTTCTCCCAACAGAAGACACCATCAGCTGTGCGGTCCCAAAGTTCTGGACTCATCCATTCTTATTCATTTTATTTCATTTTCATCAATTCATGATCAATCAGTTAGTCCGTTCTTATTGACTTTCATCACAATTGATTCCTGATTTCCGACCATTATTCCCCCAAGCACTTTTTCGAAGCATTTCCCCAGACTTTTGCAGGCCAAAAACCTGATGGATGAGATGAAGCAGAAGGTGCGGCATGCTTTGCCATCCCGGGAAGGTTTCATCCGGAAACCCATGGGATTCTTGACAGGATTGGAGATGTTTGAAACCACGCGAAAAAAGTGTCAACATGAAATGCATTTTCATCAAGCACAAATGGGGATATCATCCACTGAAACGAGTTTTGATGCAAAATGGGGTTTAAACGGACGCACATAGGGATTGAACCAACAAAAATGAGTGCAACATGGTATAGAAACGGGTATAGAGTAGCTATCCCCGCTATCCCCACATAGATGATTCGCAGGCCAAGGAGCGAGCGGCTGCGGCCATGGTCGGCCCCTGAGGGGGTCGTAGTGTTTTTGGAGACAAAAAAAGGTCGCTTTGAGTCACATCAAAACACCAATTTTAAATGCCGAAGATTGCCGAAGTTGGTAAAGTTTCACAAAATTGTTGTGATCATTTAGTTTTCTAGCTTTTTGGAGGGTACTATAAATAAAAGCTAATTATTATATTATTGCCATCGCCGAACACACCAAATAGCTGGGGAACTTAATAGCCCCCAATCCCCCTCCCAACCGCAGACCCGCCTGCCAGAAAGCTGTGGACGAAGCTCGAGATCGTGCACAGGCTGCGAAGGCTGGGTGCTCCACTGATGTCTGGTTGGTCGGTTGGTGGTTGGTGGTTTTCGCTGTTGGTGACATTCCAATGATTCCAATCTTAAACGTCTCAAACCCTACTTGCGAAGATGATAAGACAGAGGTAGCGGCCTTCCTTGTGAAAGCAGATAGAGCATGTCAAAGAAATTGCGAACATTTGGATATTATGTAGCTTCGTAGGGAACACAATGAATGGCTGGGGAAATCACAACTTTTTGGGAAACTGATACAGAAACACATAATTTCTGGATACCGACCTGCCGCTGCTATGACGGGAACATTGCGAAGGCTGAAGACATTTCGATATACATCTTGTGATCAAATGCGGCTGGTGCTTTCATTTTTTTTTTTGCCACTTGTCCATTGTCAATTGTCCATCCCTACCTTTCATGGATTGTAATTGACGAAGACCTTCAAGATGAATGGCTGTACCAGCTCTGCCCTGGAGGCAGCAGCAGACGCTCGACTGCATTTTTTATATTGGCACTCGTTTTTTTGGGCCCAAAAAACCCAACATGAATATATGTAGCTTTCCTAAAATGGGGGATCCCCCAGTCACCATGGGTTTCAATACCAAAATGGTCAATTTCTGGATGATTTGGGGTACCATTTGAGGCCGCACCTGGGTTTCTGGGCGAATGTCGAACCACTGAGGCATCCGGGTCTGTGCCGCCATCCCTGCAGGCAAATGGGATGATGATTTTGAATGACCAATGAAAGTGGGGGTTTGAAACCACCAAGAGGGATTTCAAACTTCTGCTATATCCCACTTTCAAAAAAATAAATCCAGATGACTCACACTCATACTAGGTTAGGTGGAAGTGCCAACCAGGCAACAGTTGGGTGACTATTTTTTGTTGTCTTTGGGGTCCTGAAGTTTCTGGGACACGACATACCCACCCTGCCAATGCTTTTTATTTGAATTTTACTATTAGCTACTGTAGTACTTTCCTGCGTTGGCTTTTGCTGACCTATGCCAATCTTTGAAACTTTGTTGCCACTCCATCATTCTTTTCCCTTTTGCATTCGGACCTCAATAACCACTGTAATGTTTGTTTTCAGTCAGCATCTGGGGATTGGTCAATAATTATACGAGAATCCACGGTGTTTGTCAGTGAACAGTAAAGCCCCGACTTTGACCCAAATGAGTTGAAGGCACATCTCAAGAGTCTACGATACCTCCCAAAAAAAATATACAGTGAAGGACACGGAGAGGTTGACAAATCTTACGAAAGAGTCGCAATGGGCGAAGGAATGAACAAAATTGGGACAGTGATCAGACAACAGAGGAGGGAAGGAACTATGAACCTCAACCAGACTCGGAACATTGACAAGAGACAACTATGGAACACCCAAGAATGAACGAATTAATGACGTGGATGACATCATATTTGATGAACAGATCGCTGGAAACACCTTTTTTTTTCCCTGGCAAGAGGAGGATCACAAACATCGCCATGCGAAGGCCCCTGGTCCTGTGGAGCGCTTCCGTGCCAGCAGGTGGGGGTGGATCGCTTTAGAAACGTCTGAAACCCTTTCGAACCCCCATGCGAAAGCCATCGGCATCTGTTTTCCTGATCCAAAAATGATTCAAAGCCTGCAGATGTGTTTTTGGGAATGTGTGTGTCTTAAAATGGGGGAATAACCCCATCAAATAGCTAGTTTGATGGGACATATATGGACATACGATGAATGATATTGATTTTACATAAGCATCACATTTGGGAGTGTCTTATTTTCAAAGAACCCCAAGCCTGCCGCAGCAGTGACTCATCCAGTCAGCTGGAGGCCACAACGTCCTGAAGTGCCAGCCATCAATCTGCAGCCGGTGAAGGCCAGTTATTCGTTGTAATCTGTTTTATATTATGTTTATATAATTATATATGTTTATATTATGTTATTTGGGTTTGGTGATAACTTAACTAGTTCTATCTAGTTCTTATGTTAGATATACATTAGATATACCATGATATATCTACAATGGATTTTCTAATTCAACTGATATTTGAATTCAGGTGCTGCGATTCACCCCCAAACATGATACCGGGCTGGTCCTCCCTGGAGAAAACTTGTGATTGGATGCTTCAGTGATGATAGAATATGATATGGCTATATATGGCTGAGATGAGTATCATCACCAGACTCTGGGATCATCGGCTCTGTTACAGAGCTGTTTTCCTTTAAGTTCAATTTGAAGCGCCATAGTATCCATAGTGTTTATCGATAGTATCCATATGTATCCATGGATATTGCCAGACCAGGATGACGAGTCCTTAGTCTTGCCCCCAGTGCGGTCACTGCCTGGAGTGCTCGGAGGAAACTCGGGGGTATCTCCGGCGCAATGGGAAAGCTCCGTTATTTCTGCAGATATGGATTTTATGTGAATTTCATCAGATTTCATCATTTGGTTTTTCACCATTTTTCAATCGGGATTTTCGATTGCCATCTTTTGATGTCTTTCATCGTGACCAAAGTCGACCATCGCTCTTGCGTCAATACAGGACGTAAAACTCTCAGGTTGATCCATTTCAGGTGTCAAAGTTTTGAGATTTTCTAGATCTTTTGGATCAATAGCCTCAAATGATCAAAGAAATACCTCAATTTCTAGATCTTTTCCCCACTTTTTGGGTATTTCTTGGATCATTTTGATAGCCCAGGGGCCGTTGACTCCAGCAACAACTCCCCGCGAAGCCGCAGAGGCCACCAGTGGCTGGTGCTTTTGTTAGAGGAACTCAACCGTCAATCACACATTTTATGATCTGATATGGTATTTTGTTGGATTTTCCATGATATATATATATATACGTGTGTATATATATATATGACTGTCTAGTGTTTGGCAGGCCTGGGTGGACAGTGGTCATTCCTTGGTGGTTGGTTAAATAAGGTAAAATCAATGCCAATTTTGGCTCAAGTAAGTATTGATCCAAAATAGCAGCATTGTTTTCCTTGGACGGGAGGTAGTTGGTCTAAGTGGTGGTGTCCACTGAATGGCCAACCTAATCCCTGGGGTACATGTTGCTTTGCACACGCGTGCAGAGATACTGCACACCGCGGCATGGATGGACTTCTCCAACTACGTGCGCCTTCTTCTTCGTGCGGGGCGAGCGGCAGAGGCGCGCATCCTTTGGGACTCTGTTGTGGAAGTCATCCATAATGGAACGGACCCAAATGTGGATGTTTTGGGGATCCCAGAGTTGCCTGGGGTGTGCAGAGTGCCTTGCATGGAGTCACCATGTGTGCGATGTGACACCAGAAGGGGAGGTTTTCGTTTTCCCTTTGTGGGCATCTGGACCAGGACGGCCGTTTTGGCCCAAGCAGGTGACACAGCCCAGTCCTTGTGGGAGCGATACCATGCTGGGGAGGAAACTTTTGAACTTCTGGCGCTGCAAAGAGTTGCCTCGGGCGTTACCCGTGTGCAGCTCATTCCGGACCACGCCCATGGAGCCCTCGTCAGGCTGGCCCTGTGTCGTGACGGCATCACGATGCAGGAGTTCTTCGAGCTATGGAGGGAGTGGCAATGGGGCAGCTGTACCTGGGTGGAACCCTGGACAGGCTGCGGAGGAGTCGTGCGGGCCAACGACGATCGCCGGCGAGCAGGAGCCTCTGTGCGGTGCATCCTGGGTGCCGTGGAGGCTGAGGTGGAATGGATCCCGGGACCATGTCGGCTTTGTTGGATCCCTGCATTCACCTCTTGTCCAACCTGCGGCGGAGCAGTCTGTGAGGAGTGCCGACGAGGATGCGATTTTTGCCCCTTCTGCGGCTCTTCCGACGACGAGCAATGAGTCAGTCTTGTCTGGGGATGTCGAGGGGGTGGTCCAGGGAGGGTATAAAGCACGGGAGAGTGCTGAACCCAGATCATCTCCATCTACATTCTCAGCCCTGGCTCAACTAGGACTCGCTGTTGCTGCCGGTGCCATGGCGAGCGGCAAGGGACGGTATGCTCTTGAGGCTGCAGGTGAAGCAAGCACCTGGGACCCAGAGCAAGCCGTGGAAGTGGCCACTATGGAGAGGGCTCTGGAAGTGAGGCAACACTTCGGGTTAGCTGATGATAGTGACCTCGCCTATGCCTTCGAGAACTACCAGGACGCCATGTCGGCAGGAGGGCATGCTCTGGCGGCGCAATGGGCCTCAGCCCGGTCCAAAGCTGATGAGGGGCTGCTGGCGGCTGGAGCGAGGGCGGTCGAAGACAGTGGCGCTGGATCAGCAAGAGACCGAGTCCCTAAACCGACCGTGAAGCCGATGATCCAGAGGAACCCTGTCTACCAACCGGTACGGGCCTGATGCAGTGGTGCAGAGGGTGGAGTCCCTTGCGCAGTGTTTCGAAGAAATGTCTGTGCAGAGGCCGGCCCATAAGGTGACTGAGGCACGGCTGGAAGAGTGGAGGAAGCAGTTGCGGCGGTTGTCACAACAGAAAGTCACTCAGGCCGACAGTCAGACGATCATCAATGCCATCCGCACCTGGAAGGAGTTGGCGCATTACCAGGAGGACAGGGGCCTTGAAGTGGTCGAGGATTTGGACCTGGCATCGTTTGTTCAGGAGGGCACAGACGGCCCAGCGAGGGCCCTGGCATCGTTGAAGTGGCTCAACAAAGCAGGCACTATGGGATGGAACCTCACCAACATCCAGCTTCCGGTAGCACCCAATGTGAGGACTCGGAAGCGGCAGCAGGCAGTGGTGGCTGAACCGGGCATGATCCCTTTCTTGGAGGCGGGCATCATCACTGCGGCCGAGCACAACAATCCAGAATGGATGGCCCTGCTAGCCAACTGGTTGTGCGCTGTCGGATGTTTGCGGCACCGACACATCACCAAGAGTTCCCCCCAGCGGCTGTCTGCCTCGACTATTCATGCCTGGTGCTCGCAGGGAAAGCAGGCACACTCCAGGAATGGGTTTTCCTGGTCAGCTCCGGCCGAGTTCACCAATGGGTTCCCGTGGGCTCAGAGAGTGATCGATGCCATCAAAGAGCTACCGGAGGAGAAGCAACAGACCTGTGGCATGGCTTTTGACGGGGAAGGGATCCCCTATCCTATTTCAGAGGTGCAGAAGAAGGCCCAGCTCCTCTTCGAGAACCACGTCGATGATGCCAGGAATATCACAACATACACATGGAGACGGGTAGCACCTACGGTGGGGCTGCTAGCGACCTTCACGGACTTGGAGCTGAATGCATTAGGGGACTGGACAGATGAAGTCAAATCATCCGCCAAGATGCCAGCACACTATGCCGGCTCCAAGGAGGCGATGTCAACACGGATGAAACATATGGCCTACGCCATCATGGCCAACTTGACCAAGTTTGAGTCTTGGGAAGTGATCCCGCTGGACGATCTGCATGCCGCAGCGGTGAAGGCGGAGGCAGCGGTTGCCAAGAAGATCAACCAGGATGTGGTCACTAAATGGCAGGCGAAGGCATCGCCAACCTCAGTAAAGAGGTCGTTCAACTTCGTTCAGCAAGCCCTCGAGCAGAGGGACAAGGCCAAAGAGAAGGCCGCCAAGGCGGGCCGACCGGCAATGCCCCCTTCCATCGGGGGGAAGCTGCTCACCAAGTTTCTGAGGAACGGGACCCCATTGTGTGCCCTCTTTCAGTCAGGGGAGTGTGAGGAGGATCCGTGCCCGGAAGCCCATGTTTGCGCTGTTGTATCCAGAACTGGACGGGCATGCGGCGTGTCTGCTGGATGAAGAAGGCGCGATTGGCGGAGAGTACCGTCACATCGCCGGTGCTGCCGCATCCTTCCACTCAGGAGGAGGCAACGGTACAGGCAGTATACCAGGCTTCACCTCATCGAGCTCCTCGGAAAGCATAGTTCCATTGGCCAAAAGGGCAAGGAGGCAAGAGGCGCCGGTTACCCCACCAAAGGCCGGGGCGCCGGTGACGCCGCCGAAAGCGCCTGCGGTGGCTCCTGCCCAGGCTAAAGCGGCACCGAAGTTGCAGCCGCAACCAAAAGCCAAGAGGACAGCAGCAGCCAGTGGAGCCTCTACCCCCAAGCAGCCGCCGGTGGCAAAGGCATCGTCATCCAGGCCTGCGCTTGAGGTCCATGAGTCAGAAATGGTGATTGAGCGGCCAGCGCACATCCCAGCGGATGAGGACTTTGTGCTGCCTCCTATGCCGGCAACCCTGAATCCACCCCAAGAGGAAGTCATTTGGGATCGCCTTGCAACGATCAAGGGGAAGTACGCTCAGGCCCCAACCAAGATCCTGGAGATGCCAGTTGTGGTTGGCAGGGCTCCCAACGGCAGCCAACAAACATAGGTTCCCACCAGCCACCCTGCAGATCGCATGCTTCACTGAGAGGCCCGAGGAGCGGAACGGGGTGGTGCTGCCCAATGCGCTGCTGAGGCGATTCCCTGTGGCTGTGGCAGCAGAGCGTGCAGAAGCTTGGAAGGAACTATGGCCGCTGGTTCTACAGTCCTTATACTGTGGCGAAGTCATCGTCACACACTGCATTGCGGGCCGCCACCGAGCCGGAGGAGCATCAGCATTGATCAGGGCTGTGATGATGGGTGAAACATTTGAGGACGCCTCGGACTGGATCGCCCAGAGAAGAGACACCGACGTGCCAGGCTTCTGCAGAGATAAAGAAGCTGCCAAGTGGCTGCAGGAAACAGTGAAGAACACAAAGCGGAGGGACCGCTGGCCACGCCCATCGGGATACCTGGCAACTCCGAGGAGTGCACTCCACTTGCAGGGCTTCAAGCTGGTGCCACTATGCATGCACCACCAGAAGACGGACAAGGCTCAGCGCTTGACGGACCCGATGTTCACCGAGGATGGCGATGAGGCCGTGGCGTGGGATCGACCGTGGTGCAGAGCTTGCTTGGCCCGCGCCCCAGCATCATGGATGCCACGAGATGCAGGATCCGAGTGAGTGTAGCAGAGCAGGGCAAGTGAAGCCACCTGAAAGCAGGGAGGCATCACAGGTAACCTTTTTCTGCAGGCTAAGAGCTTGGAGAGGTATGCATTTTTGGGGGCCAGCGGAGCTCTCCGATCCTCTCTTTTATTTAATTCATTCATAAGATGTCCGTTCGTTTGGTTCAAGCCACCTTGACAGGATCAGAACCTCGGATAACAGCTCACTTTTGGTGAAAATGTGAGGAAAGTCATCCGGGGGGGGGGATTCTTATCAAGGAAAGACTTACAGTTGTTTTTCGAGGTACTCAGCTAGGGAGACAGTGGTTAGGGAGATCGCTAGTTCAGCCGTATCCTAACCTTCCCTTGAGGCTTCTTAGGTTTTTCCCTGGTCGGCATGTCAGAACTGAGAGAAGTCTGTGGATGCCGGGGAGGGGAGTCTTGTCCAGGGGGTCCTGGGAATGTTTTGATTGAGCGGAGTAACCGCGTGCAGGTCCATGTCTTCAGCTTTTGCTCAAGACAGCCTAGGACTGCTCGGGGGACCGAGGAGGGCCGGTGCGGGAGTAACCCGTATGAGCTCATCAGGGTTGGTACCTAGAGAGGGGGGGACCCCAGAAGTTTCCCTAGCGGCACTAGGGGTTAACTTCAGCCTTGATGATGTGATCGTCAAAGGGCTAATCAAGGAGAAGATAGCCAACCTTGAGGAATTTCGGTTTTTCTTTCATGATGGGGCCCAAGTGGAAACTTGGGTAACCAAGCTCGGAGTGACCGACGATAAGATGGTGCAGATTGCCAGGCTGAGGAGAGCATGGGCGGCAGTCTCACTGTTTTATCAAACGGCCGAGCAGGACCGGTCTAAGGTGCAGACCACCGACTTGGACAGCATGCTCAATGAGAGTGAGCTGCGGGATTCCAAGACAGCCTTCTGGCGGCGGTACCGCTTGAAGTTCCCTACTGAAGTGCATCCGGCGGATACAACCGTCTCAAGGGTGAGTCGGGAATTATCCAAGAGGATGTTATGTGTGTTCAACCTGTGGAAGGTGAAGACACTGCAATTCCAGTTGACAACCAACCAGAAGAAGCGCAAGCTGGGTGAGAACCTATACACTGAGGAGGTGGACGAAGACGAACCGTGCCAGCACAATGTGGAGTCGTACCTGGACCGCCTCTACACCCTCATGTTGGCCTACGCAATTGCTGGAGTCGCTGCCCCGCCTGGGACATCACCCGACGCTACCAAGGAGGCCACCTTGGGAGCTGATTCTACAGAGTTTGCAGCGGTACCTTTGGACGTGTGCATGACCTACTGGTTTCGAGCCAAGAGAACATGCTACCAGGTGCACCCTTCCAAGAGGATGGTATGGTTGCAAGCGCGAGACCAAGAGGAACGAGCTGAATGGACGTCTCGATTCAGGGAGAGCACCCTGACTCTTGGGGTCATCATCAAGGAGGTCTTCCAGGCACGAGATGCTCACTGGATACCCCCTGTGGGTAGTGAACCCTCAGGGGCATCTACTGCGATGGCACCAGTACCGAATAGCAAGGTGATGCCCGCTTCTACATCTCCGAGCAAGCTCATCCTTGGCAAGGCCATCAACGGCAAGCGGGTCGCAAAGGTGATGGGGGACGGTACAACCCTCTGCCAGGGCTTTCAACGGGGAGACTGCAAGCAGAAGGGCAAATGTACTTCTGGAGCCCACCGATGTGGAGTCATCACAAAGGGGGACAGAGTTTGCGGTGCGCCTGGGCATGGGGCTCACACGTGCCGGGCTAACATCAAGGAGTGAAGGGGCCCCGGGGAGGAGGCGGCAGCCTCTTCTGGGGTTGATTTCCCACCTATGCCGCCTTGGAGCGGACATCATGAGTGGACCAGGGGCACCGGTCAGCAAGGCGTTGTTATGGTGCGGATGGAGGGTGTTGCCCATTGACATCCTGCTGGACCCTACTCATGACCTCAGTGATGCAACCCGCCAGGCACTCCTACATGAGCAACTACTTGAGGCTGACTGCATCATGGCTGCATTGGACTGCTCCACCAAATCCAGGGCTCGTGAAATACCACTGCACTTCAGTGATGGCAGGCCCAGCCCTAAGCCACTGCGTTCCAATGAACACCCAGAAGGCCTCCCAGGGCTGAATCCCCGAGATGAAGCCAGGGTGGCGCGTGACAACGAGGCAGCTGGGTTTGTCCTGGAAGAGATCCAGGCCATGGTGCGGCGTGGAGGCGCCACCGTCAGGGAGAACCCTGGCCGAAGCCTTCATTGGGAGTTACCCGAGGAGAAGAGGCTGATGGACTCGGGGCAATATTGGGAGACAGAGTACTCTGCCTGTGTCTTCCAATCAGCACGGTGCAAGTACCAGAAACTGCGGCACAACGTCCTGGAGATCGCTCAGTGGCCCAAAGCACTATGCGCTCATACTCACGCCAGTGACGAGTGGAAGCCATGGACCGAGCACGGTCAGCGGGTCTACCCTTCAAAAGAGGAGGCTGAATACTCCGCAGGCTTGGCTTTCGCGATTGCCGTTGCGCTCTCCTGGTGGGCGGTACGAGTTGGGCGAGCGGTGCTTCACGTACCCCGGATGCCACCTATGGAAACGGTGGGTCGCCGGGAGCATTGGCTGGAGCTGCACCCGCAATCAATGCGAAGTTGGGCGATGGCACCATTGGCAATCCTGTTGGGTCTGGAGCCACCACACCCACAGGAGCGTGCGAGGATCCCCAGACGGGGTCGGGTGAAAGAGTTGATCCACGACGGGCAATTGCCAGCAGGGGCCATCTATGTGGGACAAGGTCATCACTCACACAGGTTACCCACTACATGCTGGAAGTGTCCGTTTGTAGCAGGCCATGATTGTGCCCCAGATGAAGTGATGCCATTGTATATCGACCACATCAAACGCAACTTCGGCCAAGAGCTCCATTCCCTGTTGGGGAAGACATTAGTTTGTGACTGTGCCGAGGAGGAACTCTGTGAGGCTGACGTTCTGGCAGGCTTAGTGTTTGAAGCCACAAGTCCTAATGCATCAGCCCCACACCCACGGGCGGCGGGCATACCGCCCCGGAGAGTTGTGCGGGGGCCCAAGCGAGGGAGCTTGGCCCTGGCCGCCTTGCAGGCACCGACACTGGCCGGCTCTTCGGTGGTAAGGTGGACGCAAGAAGCGGTGGTCACAACTTTTCGCAAGCTCTTCCCGGCAGAATGGTTCTCGGGTTTCAAGTTCCCCATGATCGAAGACCTGGTGAACCAGCACCCCTTCTGCAGCTATGTGCAATGGCGTGAGGCGCAAGGATTGGAGTGGGACGGCCCCCTTAACCCTGCAGGAGGGTCTGGCGTTACCAGACTCCGGCAGAGGCACGCCGACGGCAAACAAGCAGGGAGCTTGAATCATCGAGCAGCACTTCCTCCTCTTCTACCCTTTGGATTGGACCCGGACGAGCACTTCGAGGCCGCCTGCACGGTGGGGCAATACCCTTTGCCTACGGAGAGATCGCCGGTTGTGGACACCGACCTCCAATTTGCAGCGTATCTGCATGCTCAGGAGAAGGACTCCCTGGGGTCCTGGAGGAGGCGAGCTCTGGGCATGTTGAGAGAGTTGAAGAGGCGATGGGCCCCAGTAACAGACCAGTTGCGCGCTCTCCAAACAGATGCAATCGCAAGAGTCACCACCAAGAGGGACTTGGGGTTGACGGCGCTGCTGGTTGTGATGGCCCAGTGGGGGGATACTTGTTATCCCTATGGCCTTGTCACGGGACTACCGGCAGTTGGTACGGCACCTTGCTACAACATCTTTCCAGCACAACAGGGGAGCATCATCCATCTGTCCGATGTGGTCGAGGACACCGATGAACACAACCGGGCCATTATCGCGAAGCTGCGACCTGGTCTTCATGATGATTTTCTGTTGTCACAGAGTGTGGTGGACGCCGACAAGGGGTTTGGCACGCAACCTATGACTTGGTCAGAACTCTTGCGAGCCACAAAAGGGCGCCCGTTCCGGCTCATCCCACGATGTGTTATTGTACAGCCCAGTGGCAAGAAACGGATCATCGATGATGCAGCAGTGGGTGGCCAATCGGCACTTTCATCAGATTTCAACAAGCTGGTACTGTGCAGTGCACTTCGACCAGCCCAACACGTTGCAGCAGTCGCAAGCTGGATGTCCCAGAGTGACTGGGATCATCACATGGTTCATGACCATTTCGAGAGCGGAGGCGAGGACTGGCCAGATGCTTATCGACACAGTCCAATCTCCAGGGAGGAGAGTCTTGGCTGTGTCGTCACATGGTGGCATGCTGAGTGGCAGCAACCGGCCTTTCAGCTCTATAACTCCCTGCTCTTCGGACTCCCACTGGCAGTGACAAGCTTCAATCGCTACTCCAAGTTCGTAGAAGCACTGGGGCGCCGCCTTCTTGCATGTTTGGTTTCCATGTACTTTGATGACGCAAACGTGGTTGATTGGGCCAGCTCCAAAGGAGCCTCGCAGATGGCATTCATACACCTCAATGAGATCCTTGGCACGCCCTTCGCGGTGGAGAAGCATCAGCCCATGTCCAGCCAGGGGCTTTTCCTCGGCTTGGATCATGATATGTCCCATTTGAGCACTACTGGCTCCATCAGTTTTTGGCCCCGGCAACGGCTCATTGACAAGATCAAAACCTTGGTGCGCGATTGTCGATCCTCAGCTCGGCTACATTCAGGCACAGCCTCCAAGATCTACGGCATGATGAACTTCCTCGAGCAAGGTACCTATGGTCGTATTGGAGCTCAAGGTCTTGCACCCATTAAGGAGAGGCAGTATGAGAAGGGTGTTGTCCTGACAACTCGAATTTTAAAGAGTTTGGAAGTTATCGAGGCGATACTTCGGGACAAACCGAAACGTCAGTTTTTCATTTTTCCTCCCCCATGCCTACGGTTTGTAGGCGCGTCGGATGCAGCCCTGGAGTGTCCAGGGCAGGGCACCGGGGGTTTCTGTATAGTCTGGATGAATCAGCCTGGGGTCACCAGGGAGGCTTTCATCGCAGACTTGCCACAGGAGGTATATACCCTGTGGGAGCCAGGCGACCGCAAGATTGCACAACTGGAGATGGTTGTCATCTTGCAGGCATTAGTCTACAGACCACACCGATTTCGCGAGCGGCGCGGAGTGTGGTTCATTGACAATGTGGCGGTCCTTATGACGTTGATCAAGGGGCGAAGTGACTCCCCAGATCTTGAGGTCATGAGCGGCATAATCCACGCGTTGCTTTTTGCCTATAAGACCTGGATATTTTGGGAATGGGTACCTTCCAAAAGTAACTGGACTGATTCGATCAGCCGGCTTGGATGGAATGACCCATGGTTCAAAACCAATGGTTTCACAGCGCAGTTAGCACCTTTTCCAGCCATTCTCTGGCATCTTCCTACAGCGGCCATAATTCGGACGGCCGAGTTTCTTTAAATGCATTGGGACTTAGTGCGTTGGGTGTGAATTGATACCTGGAAGGATCCAGTATCTGAGCCTGACTGGAACAGAATGCCACCATCAGCAGGGCTGATCGATCTATAGGCATACCCAATGCATTATCCTGTAGGAATACAGGTTGGAAGAATATAGAGAATGTGGATTGAGAAAAAGGTGTGTCTACCTGATGCTGCGAGGGTTAGTGGCTAACCTGTCGACTTATTCCCCAACCTTTAAGGAATGTATGACTGTCTAGTGTTTGGCAGGCCTGGGTGGACAGTGGTCATTCCTTGGTGGTTGGTTAAATAAGGTAAAATCAATGCCAATTTTGGCTCAAGTAAGTATTGATCCAAAATAGCAGCATTGTTTTCCTTGCCCTCCCTAAATCGGAGATTTTGACCCACCCTGTTATTAGGACCTCTGTGAGGTATCCTCATAACTTGTAGTCTGCGCTGCAGACGGGGTCTAATTTTTGCGCAGAGATCTGCGAATACCTATAGATTGGAGGTGGTACTGTCCCAGCGGGTGTGAATTGATACCTGGAAGGATCCAGTATCTGAGCCTGACTGGAACAGAATGCCACCATCAGCAGGGCTGATCGATCTATAGGCATACCCAATGCATTATCCTGTAGGAATACAGGTTGGAAGAATATAGAGAATGTGGATTGAGAAAAAGGTGTGTCTACCTGATGCTGCGAGGGTTAGTGGCTAACCTGTCGACTTATTCCCCAACCTTTAAGGAATGTATATATATATAATATAATATATATATATATTATATACTATACATATATATATATATATAATATCTACATATGTATGTGTACATGAATATATCCAGGGCACTCCCTGCCACGCCTCTCCCAGGGCAGCGATGCTTCGCCCGGCCGCATCAGCGCGGTGAAGGCCATGGCGTCGGCCGCTTCGGCGGCGTCGGTGCAGGTGGGGGCAGCAGCTGCCAGCGGCCAAGGGGACGAAAAATGGGAAGTTCCCCTAGGGAAAACATAGAAAAAGATGTGGAAAGGCTATGGTTTTCATGGTTTTTGTAGAATTTTGGACATATTTGGAAGATGATCTACAGAAACCATGGCATTTTTCCAGATCTTTTTGTATGTTTAGAGGAGGGTGGCCAATGAACAATGGATATGATTGGGGATTTTTGGGCAACAAACAATGGTGATATCACTGGGATACTGCAAGCACCATTGGACAATTTTGGGGATTAATTAGAGATTGAACTTCAACGCACTATAGGGTATTATACTTTTTTTGTGTGTGGAATTTTCGAGGGCATCTTCATCTAGAGGCAGGTGATTTTCGATAGTTCCGCAGGGCAATTTGGAGTGTACAATGGATGAAGTTGCGTATCAAGTGCCAGATGAGAATGGCGGTCAGGAAAGCGAGGATAAAAATGGTGATGGTGATTCTCAGAGATGAAAACCTCTCCACTCAGTTTCAGGTTTTCCATGGTTTTCCCCAATTTTTCAAGGGTTCAATCTCAATTTTTCACGGTTTTCCGCTCCCATTTCGTTCAACTCGCTGCCCAGTCTGGAGAAAGCCGTTCGGCCCTGCAGCAGCGGCGCAAAGCCCGTGAGCAGCGACGCAAGGTGCGCCCGCGCAAAAGCGGAAGCCTCGAGTGTCATCAAGCGTGGCTATTTGGGAACCCCCTATATATCTGTAATATATTGTATATATTTTTGTAATTCTGATTCTCTCTCCCTCTCTCTCTCTCTATATATATATATATGTATGATTATACATACATGATTGGGGTTGTTCAGCAGTTTGCCCCCTTGATATGTGGGAACGTACCTTTGAATTCATCCCAAACATAAACGTGGTGAACATCTTCTTCCATGGTGGGAATTTTAGGTGGATTTTTTTGACCAGCATTATTTAATAGGGAGATACCCTTGGTGATCAACAGTCGCGTCGTTTAGAGGATCACTCTTAATTGAGATTCTGTCAACAATTGGGCGGCGAAAAGGTGCGTGCACAGGATATATCCGCTTTAGCCCACTTCGCATATCTGTGGGTGCAGAAATTTCCTACCCAACTCACCAACTCAATTTGACACCTTACAAATCTTCCAAGCAGCTTCTCAGTGTGCAAAGCAACTGTCCAACCAACCACTTAACCCTGTTGGGTGATTGAATCTCTGTTTTGGGTGGCTTTCCGCATTTTTTTGCGGTGGTAGAATCCTTTTTTTGGTGGTTTCGGCTTAATCACGTGAAATCTCCATTTTTCAGTGATATATATGCATATATATATATGATATTATATCTATCCAGATGTTTTTCCCGATCCTGAAAGATGAATTCATTCTCTGGGGATGGCTCCAAGCCTTGTAGTTTCCTGTGGTAAACATCAAAAAAAAATGGCCTAAATGGATGTTGATCCCCCAGAAGATGGTACTTATTGCCATTGATATATAGCCTTGCATGAGCCTTTGGGGATGGCTCGACATCCCAACATCATCCAACATCCCCATTTTCAACACGGAGCAGGCCGGTTGGGTAATTGGATATAGGTAATATAGTGGCTACCCACTGGTAAACTAACATAACGATGGAAAAATCACCATTTTCAATGGGTAAATCCACTATAAATCACCATTTTCAATAGCTATGTTTGTTTACAAGAGGGTAATATGCTATTACAACATTCGTTGGTAGTTAGCGAGAGAAATTTCGTTGGACATGCTTGGTTTTTTTATCCCATGATCCCATGGTAGTCAGGAGATCATGAAGATCATGGACGCTGATGGCGATGGCGTCATCACTGAGTCGGAGCTGGATCAACTGAAGGTGCCTAAAATCCCGTTGTCCCATGGACGCGCGGGAGAAGGGATGGCAAGAAGATGAGGAAATGCTGAGTTTATGGTATATAATTATGTAAATATAATATATATATATACATATATATATATATATTTATACACATCGTAATGGGGGTTGTATCACTTTTTTTTTGAATCCTCCCTTAACCAGCAAAAGTGATCAGAACTGTGGGGCCTTGCGGGCTATTCATCAACAAAACTGACCAAAACGGGGGGAGCCCGAATGGATTTCCATTACTCCATAAAGATGGGGAAATCACAAAAGGTGCATTTGTGGCGTATGGCTTCGGCGCTTGAACTAGTTCCATGAGTAGATATGTGGTTATATATATATACACGCACTTATGTAGTATGTGTATATATATATACACACATAAGCATGCACAGGCACATTCACATGCACGTGCACATGAGTATGTGTATGTATACAGTATATATATACACATATATATATATGTATACACATAATTGATTGAGTAGGGTTATAAAGAGGCTTGAGGTTTGGGAACCCTTTTGCTGGCATGGCGAAAGGACCCACAAATTGGATCAGATTGGGATAATTTTGGTATTGAACTGAAGCATGACATATTGGGAATGATCTATCGAGTGCCAACGACAGAGACCGAGTGCCAACGACAGAGACAGAAGTATCTTGAGAAGTAGGGACCGAAGCATTGTGCTTTCCTGACACCTAGAGTCTATTGTTTTCCTTAAGTGTACAACAGTGAAGCACATGGCAGCTCTGGAGGGGGTGTAGTTGGGATACTTCACCCAGAGCCCGCTGATTTTCAGCCTGGGTCCCACTGGGTGACGGCACCAATAGATCACGTTTTTTTTCGCCTTTTTTTACAGTGGTTTGGTGGTTAATGAAGGGAACATTGATATACATTTACATTGATAATGGTTGTTAATAGGTGGGAATTCATAGATCAACAACCATTAACAACCATTACCATTATCATTCATCAATAGTGGTTAACAACCATTAATAGGTGGGAATTCATAGATTCCATAGATCACCAATCGCCTCCTCTAAAAAACAACCGTTGATCATCCCAGACTCCCACGAACCAATCCAGAAAAAGCCAAGCCTGGCAATTGGACATCTGACATGACATTCAGATAGGGGTTCAATGGGAAAAACCGGTAATATGAATTACTTTACTTCGTGTGATCCCCACCATGACATTTATACATTTTCTTACTGGCAAATCTTCTGGCATTCTATCTGACATATCTTCTGACAAGCTATTTGGCATTCTATCTGGCATATCTTCTGGCATATGTTCTGGCATATCTTCTGGCAAATCTTCTGGCATTCTATCTGGCATTCTATTTGGCATTCTATCTGGCATATCTTCTGGCATTCTATCTGCCATATCTTCTAGCATTCTATCTGGCATTCTATCTGGCATATCTTCTGGCATATATTCTGACATATTTTCTGGCATTCTATCTGTCATCCTATCTGGCATTCTATTTGGCATTCTATCTGGCATATCTTCTGGCATATCTATCTGGCATATCTTCTGGCATATTTTCTGGCATTCTATCTGGCAAATCTTCTGGCATTCTATCTGACATTCTATCTGGCATATCTTCTGGCATATTATCTGGCAAATCTTCTGGGATTCTATCTGGCATATTTTGTGGCATTCTATCTGACATTCTATCTGGCATTCTATTTGGCATTCTATCTGGCATACCTTCTGGCATTCTATCTGGCATATCTCATGGCATTTTATCTGGCATATCTTCTGGCATTCTCTTTGTCCCATATCTTCCTACATGAGGTCCGACAGGGAACACTTGGCATGGATACTCGCAGATGAGGTCCGGCAGGGAACACTGGGCGTGGCTGGTCGTGGTTGAGGTCCGGCAGGGAACACTGGGCGTGGCTGGTCGTGGTTGAGGTCCGGCAGGGAACACTGGGCGTGGATGGTCGTGGTTGAGGTCCGGCAGGGAACACTGGGCGGGGATGGTCGTGGTTGAGGTCCGACAGAGAACACTGTGGATCGCGGGTCGCAGTTGGACGAGGAGGACGACGAGGAGGACGACGAGGAGGACGACGAGGAGGACGACGAGGAGGACGAGGAGGACGAGGAGGAGAGGAGGAGGAGGGCGAGGAGGAGGCAGGAGGCAGGACGAGGCAGGAGGAGGCAGGAGGCAACTGACATAAAATCTAACAACCCTCACCTGGCAGGTGGGGAATGAGGGTTTTAAATGGAATTTCAATGGGCAATTTTTCAGGAAACCATGTTTTATCAGCAGAGGGTAGCCTTTTCCATCGAGGCAGCCAACCCAGAGCTGTCTCAGGCCACAAGGGGGGGAGATAGTAAACAACTACCACTTGGGTGTGATTTTTGGGACCCATTGATGGTTTCATTGGGGATGGTGTATTGTCGAGTTTACTAGGGTTTACCACATTAATTATCCTTTTTTTTCAAGCAAAAGAAACCTTGCAACTAGTCGGAAATTTGCTGAAAATGGTTGGAGATCCAACTGCATGAATGAGTGCCATGGAGGCTATATTATGTTGTATCCCCACTTCTCTTCAAACAAACTACTGCTCGTGTCAAAATCATGCGATATATATATATATATATATACATATATATATATATGATCCATGATGGCAGGTTGACATGAGCAAGCTGGATGCTGATGGAGACGGGCAAATTAGCAAGGAGGAGTTGGAGAAAGCTCTGGTGGAGCTGGCGCTGCTTGCTGGTGATGGGATATTGATACCCTGAGGTGTCGTCAAACATGGCTGAATTATTTACCCTCTGGTAAACTAACATAGCTATGGAAAATCACCATTTTTAATGGGAAAATCCACTATAAATGGCCATTTTCAATAGCTATGTTAGTTTACCAGAGGGTACTTGAGGTAGAACACAAATTGGAAACTACAGGTTCTACCATCCAAAGCTAGGGCTGCCTGTAATTTTTCCCTTCGGAGGTTCCAGTCTTGTCTGCCAGGATTTTGATGGCGAGCCCAAAACACAGGCCAGGGGCCAGGGTCTTTTGCTTCTCATTTTCTTTGCTTTTCGGTTCTTAAATGGCAGGAATGCTCCTTTGGGTTCCCACACTTATAAAACAGAAATATATAGATGTTTTTGATGGGAGCGAACCATTTTGAAGGCCAAATCCTGATTTTTTCGTTTTTAAAATCACTTTTCGGTGGCTCAAAATCCACATTTTGGGTGGATGGGCTACGTCCTATAAGACTACATTTGGAGAGGATGAACATCCAGCGATAGCATCTGTTTTGATTTTGTAACCGAAGGGTTGTGGTACACCGGCTACGGGCAAAAAATATGAACTCCCCAATGACTTACCAGAAAATGGGTGGTATATCAATGTAAAAAACATGTGGTGGTTTTTCAATGTTTTTCAACTCCAGCCAAAAACCATCCACCATCCACTTCTGATAAGGTCTGGGTGGTGAACTGAACCCCGAAGGCTGAAGAGGCAGCGAGCCTCTTTTCGGCCGTGGCCAATTTGTTCGGCGGAAGACCATCGCAGGCGGGCGATGTGAAACCGTTTTTGCTGAGGGATTTAAGGGAAACATGGAGCAAACACCATGCACATGCACAACCATTTTTGTTGGGGGGATTTGGTTGACTCCCCATGATTTTTGTGTTTTTCCCACTTTTCTTGGATTTAACCAAGAAACAAAGGGGATTCAACCAAGAATCATGGGGGTAGAATGGGAACATGATATAACAATGGGATATACGAACGATTTGACGCTTGTGACCTGAAAATGGGGGGATGGATCCCCTGGCCCTGGATAGTAGGGAAATGATGAACCAGTGGATTTAGAGATGTTAACCGTGTATGAGATAGTAAGCTTCCAAAATGGGTTGCGGTTGACCCACTACGTGCGGTTTCAGCGTGTGCTTCCCCCCCAAGTCTCGAGAAATATCCAGGAGGGTATAGGTTTGGAGAATGCATCACTCTCTCGCAGTCCAAAAGCCATTTCTGTTTCAGCAAGTGACTATTACTCTTTCACTATCCACTAGCAAGCCGGTACCTGGATGATCTGACGTATTTCGTTACGTGCAAAAACTACTCTAGTCGTGTCCATTTGTGACCCTGAAACCCACCGTTCTGACTCGTTTGAAGCAATTCAAAGTTAAGATCTTCAGACTCCAACTTTGGTTGTAAAGTTACTGTAAGATATGGGTATGGATCAATACCTATTAATACCATTTTTAGGGGGATGAACATCCATAAATCCCAGCTATTTTGATGTGAACTACAGGGGTACAAGGTTTTGACACACTGCCATTGACGACTCGCTGGCGGTAGGCATCTGTGGAGAGAGTGGAGCCAGAGGAGACGAAGGAGGACTGGGAAAAGAACCGAGCAATGTGAAGATGGGAAATGGTCGGAAAGTAGAACGTAGAAAGATGGGAACATGTTTTTTGTGTAATCTGATTTTTCTGATTTTATAAGATGTCAGAAAAGATGTTACAAGTAGAACTGGGGTTTAAAAGGTGAATCTATTGTAATATGTTGATTCAAAGGTGGTAGTTTTCCAGCACGGCAACTAGGTATGAAATTCGCAGGACTCAACCCACAGATTTCAAAGACTTTTAGACCCTTTGGGAATGATTTTAAGCCCGCATTTATGATAATTCTGTGGATTCTTTATTAGTGGCTCTACCACACTAGTAGAATTCAATTGTGGACCCACACTCCAATGGGGCAGGGGTCAGCAACCGGCGGGATTGGCCGGAAAATGGCCCGAGTTCGATGATTTTCCCATTTCAATGACCATTTAGTTTGGGGATGTTTGGGGATTCCCCCCCTGGTCCATCATGGTCCATCATGGTCCATGGTTGATGACACTGGAGGGGAACTAATCCTAGAACTTTAACTTTAACTATAGTAAATTGGGGTGATCATAAAATGACCATCAGGGCTTCACCATCAGGCTGGTTTGCAGCATCAAGATGCTGCCACCGAACGATGTTTACCATACTGCAATAAAAGGGTTCAAGGGATCAACGCTTGAGACCCCTGAGTTGAGAGAAAATGGCTGATTCCAGCAGAGGGTCACGAATTCTGACTTGAAATGACCATTTTTCGGGGAATGACATGGGTCGCCCTTGAAAATGGGGCATGGTACAAAACACTGCAAATACGCAGGGTAAAAACGTCATCAATTCTGACGCAATGAGTTCAGGGCCTTGGCCCCGTTGTCCTGCCCATCAAATTACTAGTACCGTCAATCAAACATGGCAATAGAATATCCAGATATATCCAGCATTTTTATAAATGTAATGTGTTTCCCACTAAAGCCTCCATTTGTAGATGTTCAATGGCCATGTTCGATTACCATTCTGAAGGACTCCACGCCGACTCCCAAAGCCAAAGCTTTGCCGAAGGCGCTGTTTGCGCGGGCCACAGTAACATGTCGTGTTTGCATGGAGAGATCATCGTAACCTGCACCAAAAACCAAGTTCTATAATGTTTTATAATGTTTTACATAAATCAACTTTGCCTCCATTTCAGGATTGGATTTGACATATCTTTTGGGGGTTTCCTATGAATCAACATGGGAATGTAACGCGGCATTTGAGCAGCAAACATGCTGAAAACAGTTGAATCCGAAGATTAGGACAAAATTGTCAACTATATACAGTCATATACACAGTTACATGCACAATATCACAAAAAAGGTTCCCGTTGGCAGCCGTTTCTTGACAGAACATTACACCTGAGAGTGCTAAAAAAAGTATGTGAACAAAACTCGCAATGTCCAACGTTTGGGGAGTTTCTCCAACACATTGATAAATATTGATATTCCAAAGTAGTGAATCATTCATAATTTTTGATCCACCTTAGATTTGAGGCCCTTTTTTCAAGACGTCTAAGGCAATGACTCGAGTGAACTTGGTCGCTGGCAGGACTGGACAACATGGAAATGGGGGTTTCCATGGGGGACCCCTAAAAAATCGCTGGATGGGGTTTGTAATGGAAAATCCTATCTAAATGGACTAAATGGATGATAAAAATAGGGCTACCCCCATTTTAGGAAACCTCCAAATATTCCCATAGTGTTGGCCACAACTGTTGGTCTTGCCAATCAACGCACTGTGAGATCCTGTGCACTGTTCGCAGGAAAGGCAGTTGGACTCTCAGATGGAGTCGTGTTTCAACGATTTAGGAATAGTTTGAAACACCTCAAGTACCAGCAACTTTATGCAACTTTCACATTTCTATATATGCTTTCACATTTCTATATATACTAGTAGAATCTAGTAGATACTTTCTGTATAACCCTTTACTTGCACTTCTGGCCTTGGAAATTCATTTGCTCCACGAGGCTTGGCCGTGTCTTCCGAGGATCCTCAAGGCCCGGCAGCTTCAGCACCAGGGGGGGTTTCTTAAGTCATGGGGGATCCCCAGTCGTCACCATGGTTGTTTCAATACCAAAACTTATGGTCCAACTTTAGTTTTTTTTTGGTTAAGCCGCATTTTTTAGGACACCTCCACATGGATGAAGATAGAATCCGGTACACTGTGCACAGTCCACCTATATTAGATGGATGTATGGCTGGATGATGCTGGATGTATCGAAAGGTAAAGATCCCCAAGGACTGATGGTCTCCAGTAGTCCCTGAGATCTGAAGATAACTGAACCAGATTGAAGCCGTACTTAATATGTAGCCATTTTCAAGAATGGGAAGCATGATGCTAAACCAATAGCCTATTGGATTTTGGGTTTTCTCTATAATTTTAAGGCAAACCCAATAGGCTTGGGGATCCAGCCAACATTACTTGGAAATGCCAGGTTCTTCGCAGGTGGAACTCTCAGTTTCTGAAGGGGTCGAAACTTACGGCAACCGGGTGGGTGGAAATGTGACCGGCACAGAAATGACATGTTCATCCGCTGTGGCTGCTTGAGCCAACCGAATGGGAGATTGATTGATTGTTTTGGCTCAACCACCAACCAATTATCCATGGCCAAACCCCACGAAATCCCACCAACCCCCACCAAACCCCACCACCCCCTGGTAATTTAACATAGCTATTGAAAATCGACCATAGAAATAGTCGACCCCGCCACGAACATGGCGATTTTTTTCCATATTTTTCCCAGTTATGCGGCCGCCCACCAGAGGGCAAACCCGGCAAACCCCACCAAAGGGACCCGTTTTTCCCCCCCCGGGTGGCGGGCGCCACTTCCTTCAGGCCACGTCCGCGGCGCGCAAGCGTCGCGACCTACGCAAGGCCGGGAAGTCGGCGGCCTCAGTGGGATTTCATGGGGTTTTCATGAAGATTTGATGGGATTTTATATATTTAATGCGGTTTTGATGTCACATTTGATGAACATAAAAAATATGGGACTAAAAATGGGATTGAATAGGATTTTTCCATGGGTTTTCATTTGGTGTTTATGGGATTTAACAATCAACAATGGCGATTCCAATCCATCTAGCCTCCGGTAATCTTATACGCCACAAGTTTCCCCCTGAACGCCCAAATTTGGCTCTTAGGCGTTTCTGCAGCGTGGGCGGTCCTTTCCCGGTAATCTTATACGGCAAGCTGGAAAGTCTTCTATAAATATGCTGTTACAATGGTAAAATCATCGAACCAAATAGTGGGGTTTCCATTGCCATGTTTGATTACCAGAAGGTAATATATCATTGTACCATATAGAAAGATAATTCATATGATGCTCATATTGAGAGTTTAGATAGACATAATCGATAGACATAATATTCAACATGATGTGTTTCTTGTTGAAAGGTGTGATCCAATTCTTGCTAGTGCATAAAAATTGTGATGCTTTGGAAGCAGTGGTTTTGGAAGACTTGGGGTGATTTTTGGTGTCATAAACCCATCTCTCTTTTTGGGGTACCAAATTTCAGTCCCTGAATCACTTCGGGCTCTAAGACTCTCAGAGTTGGGCCAATCGTTTTGACACATCGCCATATTCCCATTTTAGCTGACCAATTTCCAAATGTTTACTGGTTGCATTCCCACGTTTTTTTTTGTCACATATTTATATATATATATACATATATATCTATACACGTATACTTATATACATACAATTGTACATACATATATATATACATACATATACTATATACACATTATTTTTGGGTTATGATAGATCATTTGTTAAATCTCCGTTGCTATGTATTGTTTCTCCAAGTTTGCTACTTAAATGCTTATCTAATTTATATAGATATATAGCCTTACCCACATATATATATATATATGTACTGGTTTGTGGTTTGGAACAGGATTTTTTTTTCCCATAATATATGGGAATGTCATCATCCCAACTGACTTTCATATTTTTCAGAGGGGTTGGAACCACCAACCATATATATATATATGTATATATATATGTATGTATGTATGTATGTGTATATATATAGATTGATGATTCTTCAATCGCCCCATCCAGAATTGGCTGGGAAGATCTGCAGGATTTTCTGACAAGTCATGGCCAGAAATACATGGTTGCCAGAGGTTTGTTTTTTTTGGAAAAACCAAGTCATGGGAAATTGAAATCCCATTCAACATATGTCTCAATGGATTGGTTTAAGAGAAAATCTACAGGAAACCATAGATTTTCCCATTAAATATGGGGCTTTCCTGTAAATTTTCCCCTAAACCAATCCATAGAATGTCAGAATCACGACAACATTTTGCTGGGTTAGATTTTATTTTTCTTGGTCGAATTCCCAAGTTATGAAAAAAGGGCTTCCCAGCCACATTCAAAAAGCACTAAGGGCTGCTGCACTTCTGGCAGTTCCAGGGCGGCAGGAGCCGCTTAAAAAAAAAAGTTTTTTCGGAAGCAGAGGGAAAAGAGGTGGAACAATGTAGGATTTATGTTTTGTTTTCCCTTTTTTGCCAACAAAAATAGGGCCTTTCGTGGGGATGGTATTGGGATTTCGCCGAAACAGTTTTGGGACTGACCCGAAATCTGTGTTTTTTCTGAAAAGGGGAACATGAATTATCAACCAGTGGACTTAGGGATTCCATTCCATTCCATATCTTTGGACGCAACAATGCACATATGTTCCTTTTTTCTCTGGATTGTTCAAAACAACTAAACGTTACTAGACATTAACAGTTTGCAATAATATATACATACATCATATTATATATATATGTAAAAGATCCCATCATTCAGTTTAAGCAATGAATTTTGCCATATACTGTAGGTAGTGATTCAATGTTGGTAGAATGATAGACAATCATGATAAACATGATGATCCTCATCCTCATTCTCATCCTCATCGTCGCCGTCGTCGTCATCGTGAGAATCAGCATCACTATCACCATCACAGTCATCATGATCATCAACATAGTGATCATCATCATGGCTTGGGTACACCCCAATGCTGAAGGATCATGTACTTTCCCTGAAACCCAAACAGCGGTGCCAAACATCGAAAGGATGCAGATGGCAACGGCTAAAAGGCGGCAGCAAGATTGGAAGACGTGGCTGGGGAGCATGAGATTTTTAAGGGCTGCCTCTTGATTGGTATCTGTTGGTAAACATCCTGTGAGTGTATATCTGGTTGGTGGTTTGGAATATTTTTTATTTTTCCATATATTGGGAACAATCATCCCAACTGACTAATATTTTTGAGAGGGGTTGAAATCACCAACCAGATATGTATATTACAATATACTCTATACATATACCCAGTATATGGCGAATGCCTGGAATTTGCCCGCAGTCTCACTAAACCACAAACCCTGAGGCCTTAAAACCCTAAAACTTAAAGCATAAACCTAAACCCTGAATCCCACTGCATATAGCCACAGTTTTTGCAACTTCTCCGAACCATGTTGACCCCGTGCAAGAGTCTCAAATGGAATACCCGCGCAAAGCGGAGACCTTTGGGGACATGAGGATTGTAAATGACCAAAAACTACCGATGGCAGGCCGTTTGCCGATTGTAAGGTCTGAAGTTAATGCACTTTTTGGGAGATGTACAAAGATGCCGGAACACGGTAAAGGGACATGGTTTCTTGAGGTTGGTTTTGAATGGATGTGCAGGGATACATCAACGTTTGCGGATATATAACTCTTCCAGTCCGTGTTCTTCCACATTGACTCCCTTGTACACAGACACCGCCGCAACACAGAGAGCGCAAAACTGCGCGTACTCTGCAAATGTCCCGCCTGAAACTCAGTGCAAAAAAAGGCGTGGAAAATGTGGAAATGGCTCCGGCAAGTCATGTGATTGTCTATAAAGTATACTACTGTATATAGGTACTGGCAAGGGAAAGCACTGATTAGGAATGATCACGGTATACCTTATCTTTTGACGAGGTCCAATCCACCCATAAAGACGCATGCGGTTCAGTGCAGTCGCAGTCGAATTTCCGATGTGCAAAGCGGCCCTGTTTGCCACTCACTGACACAATGCATTGGTGCTGCAGAATCTCAAGCTCGTGGTCTTCATTACTCGTCACTTGTGCACATCGGTGGGGTAGAATTCAGCTCCAGGAGGTCCCATTGATCCATTTTTTTGACAGAAGAGGTTGAGCTTTCTTTGGTTGCTGGGAAACGTACTAGATTTTTCCTGCATCTTAAGCTTTAGAGATGCCACTTGCAGCTTCTGGCAACACTGCAGCAGTGGCCAAGTTGCATCCGGCCTTTTGATTCAAAGACAACCATGGCGTGGATTGTTGGCCTCGCCTGTTTGTTGCGACCTCAGCATATGCCCCAAAGCCACCATGACATGCCAAACTGCAATATGTTTGGATAGATTTGGAAGGTGGTGATGTAATTCGACATTAGTTTACATTAATTTACATTAGTTAGTTTTACCAGATGTAAAGAAATCCTCATCTCTTCCCCATATCACTTGCCCGTTTTGTGGTCTGATGGACGAGGTGTCCTGCGCTGGCGGAGTGGGTGCCCATCAGCGGGGTCTGGAGCCCTGGATCCGGTAGAAATTGGATGGATACCCGGCCTGGTAAACAGCCACATATGGAAAGATCCACCATGCTATTCATGGATAAATCATGGATAAATCATGGATAAATCATGGATAATTCATGGATAATTCATGGATAAATCAACTTTTCTATGACCATTTTCAATAGTGAACTGTAACAGTCATTACCAGAGGCTACTTTGGAGCATTGCTTGTCCTTTGAACTGTTGGGTCTCCATGGCTGCACAGGAAAGTTGGCAAGATGCGATGCCACATACCAAAGTAGCCTACCTGGTCCCATTGGTACCCCATTGGTACCCCATTGGTACCCCATTGGTACCCCATTGGTACCCCATTGGTACCCCACTTTGGGGTGCCGTTTTGGGGTGGTGAGAGCAACTCCAGACCCACTGAGGAGGGTCGCAAATATGTCCATGAGGCAAGGGTGATGTTCAGATGTCAACGGTGTAGTCATGTGGAAAAAATGAGGGGTGTGGCAAGCCATGCCAAGCCCATTGGTAAAATAGATTGAATTACTGTAGTTTGTTTTCATAGATTTGGGGAAAACATGGGAAACATATGGAGATGAGCACATGTTGGTCATTCTATTGTACTTGTTTCTGTCGCATGTTGCTCTATCTGAATGTTTCTTGGGGCACCATGCTGTCGCCATCCATTCGCAGATGGATTTGGAGCGCTCCGACAACGAAGAGTGGGTGCAGAAGCAAAGTCTGCGGACAATTTCGGAGGATGCAGTCGGTTTTTTCCAAAAGCTGCGGAAGTGTTTTGGTAACTGTTTTTCTCAACCTTTTTCTCAGGCTTCGATTGGAAAAATTGTTATTTTAGACATTGCCATCTCTACTCTCCCAAAGCTTGGCGTAGGCAGGTTTTGAGGTCGGAGTCAAAGCTGTTGATGGGGGGCTCTTGGGAAATTTGTGAAACTGTCCTGACAACAAGCATGCGAGTGGAAAATGGGGATAGGTCATTCATAACATTTCAAAACCCGTTTGGCGGAGATGAGTATCTATCTGCCAGCTGTTTTAATGTGAGCATGGTTTAGGTACGTAGAATCGGGGATCGTGTATGATTGGCTTTGCCATAATAATGGTGATGAATCATGATGAATCTCCATTGATATCCTGGATATCAATGGAGATTCATGTAATATCATGTAATGATTCAGTCTAATATTCCCATCATATCCATTGTTACATGGCTACAGTAACCTCCGAAAATTTCGAGACCGCCGCCCCGCCACAAGGTGCCCCTGGGAGGCCACACCTTGTGGCCCACACAAGGCCGCAAGACCCGCGCGTGGTGGATAGATGTGGAAAACCCATGGGTTTTCCTTGGAACATGATCTACACTCATGGTGGGGAAACCATGGGAAACCCCACATTTAGGGTTTACTGGAGGGTAAACCCTACTGTGACACATTTTTGTAGATAATCCCCACAATGGGAATCATTTAATCTAATGGTGATTTTTGAATACACATGATTCGACGGGAATCACGATGGTGGATTCAAAAACCACGAGGATGTCCGTGATCAGCCTTTTTGGACTGGTTGATACTGCTTTTTATTCCCACTTGGTGGGTCATTTTGCAGCCACAAGCTTAGAGGCACTTGCTGTTTCTTGATGTGCCGACGGGTACTGCATGAAACATGTATCCATAGTGTATACGTATGGTGGGTGCATACAGATATACAGCATGTGTAATCATGTATTGATGTGATTTGATGTGCACATACTTGAGCGTCCGCCGATCCGTGGAACAGAGGCTACAACCCAGAGGTCATCGGAAATCTTGCTGGTGTCACGGCCTCAAGTCTTTACTGTAGCGTTTGGGTCTCATCAAACTTCATCACTCTTGGGTTTACCATTCCGGGAATTTGGGGATACCCTCAACTTCATGGCATCGAAGTGCGAAGGCTTGAGATAATCGAAGCAAATTCATCATCTCTCATACATTGATAGCATCATGCTAATCGCATCCTTTATACTTTCGGCACCATTTATGACATCATTTGTCGCGATTTTTAAAATGATTTTGTGTCAGGTTTATGGATTTCATTGATTTCATGGCATCATTTCATTCTATGTTCATTCCAGTTTCATTTTCATTCCATATCTTCATTCCATTTTCCAAGTTTTCATGGCGTTTTCATCGCATTTTCATAGCATTTCTTCATGGCCCCATGGCATCTGTATGGCCATTCCCACTCCGAGGCCTCCCAGGTGCCCACGAACTTCGCCGCGCGCAACTTTGCTCTGGCGCCGTGACCGCTGGGGGAGTTCTATGGGAATTCTATGGTGATTTACCCGCTGGTAAACTAACCATAACTATGGAAAATCACCATTTTCAATGGGAAAATCCACTATTTCTATGGTCATTTTCAATAGCTATGTTAAATTACCAGAGGGTATATGGGTCAAAACCTACTAATCATGTGGTAGAAGGGATGACCATCAACCTGGAGGTTCACTGGGGGTGGGTTTTGACCCACATCCATATAATTTCTATGATATAATAGTAATCCATATAACAATTGCCATGGATTACCATGAATTAATATATGACTTCGTGAAGATAGACCATATAATTAGGCAATCTCTTTTTTTTGTGATTACCATGAATATCCATGAATGACCTAAAATATGAGTCGTAGCGGTCAACATTTAGATGTTCACATCCTAGCTGACGGCCTTTTGCCAGGTGATGCCGCTGAGTGCAGGAACTCCAAAGCAAGACTTCTCGTAAGGGGCCCTGGGGCTTCCATATTGGGTGCATCGGTGATATCACAGTGGATCCCAATGGAAAGTTTAACAGGGAAAATGATGATGAACTCATTGAAGTTGGATGATTTTCCGATATACCAATGTATATACCATCTGGTTATGACTAACATAGCCATGGAAAGATCCACCCATTTTTAAGTTCGGTAAACCATCTATTTCTATGGGACATCTATACCATGGCTATGTTAGTCATAACAGGAGGGTAATTATGCCACATTTTTGGAGCACGAGCTGGAATCTGTGACAGAAGCACTCGATGATTTTCTGGATTTATGGGGATGGGTCAAAACCTATTGATTACATATTATTACCATATTTGGGGGATTAAGCATCCATTAGTCCATTAACCAGTTATTTAACAGTTATTTTAGGGTACCTAGGGTACTAGGGTTTTGACCCAAAACCATATGTAGACAGAAGAACCAGCTGGTGGCGAGCTGATTTCCAAGCCTGGTTCTGCTGCGAGCTGCTGCAAGGCTTCTGCTGGATTCCGAGGGCAGCGACATCTGGTTGCCATCTATCCGTTGCGACAGCTGTGCAGCAGACAAGCAGGACAAGCAATCCCAAAGGCATCATGGGGATTGGTGGTTTGGAACATGGCTTTTATTTTTCCATATATTGGGAATAGTAACCCCAACTGACTTTCATATTTTTCAGAGGGGTTGAAATTACCAGCCAGTCATGATGGGGATTGGCGGACAAGAAAAGCGTGGCAAGAATTGCGAGCCGTGTGAGAGTGTTTTTTTGGAGTACCCCAGGAGAAAGAAATAGGAAGAGGATGGATTACTTCCAATATTGACCACAGCCTGACATTTGGATCCATACCCTCACACACTGGTGCCATCCCTTCCCCCTCAGGAGCAGGAGAGCTTCTACCGTGCACCAAAGAGCCATCTCCTGAGCCGCCGGATTTGCTAAACTAGGGTTGAATGATACCTCCTGTTCTGGTAATTGAAATTCATTGGCCAGACAATTTGTGGATTCTGGTCACTCTGGCTAAGGATGTGGTGACTGTACGCATCGAAGATGTTGATTCTGTCTTTTTGAACACCTGTGGCAAAAATCTCGAAGCACCAAAAAGACAACATTAAAAAAACAGCAAAAAACTTCACCATGACCTCCCAAGTCCCTTTTTTCCGACGAGTCCTTCCAGCGTAGTCGCCAACTGAGGCAATACCTTCAAGCCACATTTAGCGCCAACTCCGTGGGGGCCCCATGCCCCGGGCTCCTCGTGATGTGGTCATGCTTTTGGTGGTTAAGAATGGTTAATGATAGTTCCTGGTGTTTAATGATAGTTCCTGGTGTTTAATGATAGTTCCTGGTGTTTAATGATAGTTCCTGGTGTTTAATGATAGTTCCTGGTGTTTAATGATAGTTCCTGGTGTTTAATGATAGTTCCTGGTGGTTAATGATGGTTCCTGGTGTTTAATGATGGTTCCTGGTGTTTAATGATGGTTCCTGGTGTTTAATGATAGTTCCTAGTGGTTAATGATGGTTCCTGGTGTTTAATGATGGTTCCTAGTGGTTAATGATGGTTCCTAGTGGTTAATGATGGTTCCTGGTGTTTAATGATGGTTCCTGGTGTTGAATGATAGTTCCTAGTGGTTAATGATGGTTCCTGGTGGTTAATGATGGTTCCTAGTGGTTAATGATGGTTCCTGGTGTTTAATGATTCCTGGTGTTTAATGATAGTTCCTAGTGGTTAATGATGGTTCCTGGTGGTTAATGATGGTTCCTAGTGGTTAATGATGGTTCCTGGTGTTTAATGATGGTTCCTAGTGGTTAATGATGGTTCCTAGTGGTTAATGATGGTTCCTGGTGTTTAATGATGGTTAATCATGGGTATATCATCAACAATATTAGTTGAAGAGATGAATAATGGATAACTGGAATCATGCGGGGAACCCAATGTCATAAACAACTACCATTTGGGGATGGTTTATACAACGCAGCATGTAGCACCTACAAAATGGTGATGACTTGGGGATGGTTTATGGTGCACTACCATTGGGTTTACCACATTAAATTAGAGTTATATCATCAGCATTCATCAGCAATCCTCACCATCACGATGTGCATATACCCAGGATCAAAGTGATGAGTATGTTCAACATGATCATCATTATGGCAATGAAAATCATGATCGCCATGATGATCAACACAACACGATCATTATCAACATCATCATTATCATGGCCATCATTTGCATCACCATCAACGTCAGCATTATCATCATCATGCTGAGCTTTTTGGCAGTTGAGGTTTGGCATGGCTCCCCGTGCAGTGGGGGTGAACGAAGGCCGAACATGCTGGGCGTGGTTTATTACCCTGCAGGAATCAAACATGATAGGGGGAAATCTCTATAAATGGCCATTCAAATGGGAACTCGTCCAACTATCCATGGGGGATTTTGCAGAAAACCATGTTTGATTGTCCCTGGCGAATCCTGGCAATGTAACCCAATAAATGCAACACAAAACACGGAGGAATTTCATCTTAGTTACCATGAGGGCCCCATATCTTCAATGGGTTGCCTAGGAGTTCATTGGAATCAGCCGCAGTCATGAGATTCATAAGTAATGTACAAGTAGTACAAACACGTTTTTGTTTGTAGCAATTGCTTGATCACCATGGTGATTTTTCCCAGTTTTCAATGGGACAAAACCGAGGGAACTTCTGAGCCATTTGTGGTCCCTTCGGTGACATTACGATGGCTTTGTGAGGAGTGTTTCTTGGAGACTTTGACGTTCAAGATTGTGTTTCTTCCCACTTGGAGAGTGACAATTGAAGCTACAAGTCAGTATACTTGTTGATTGGAAAGACATCTATAATTATAAAATATTATAAACACTCATGGGACAAGATGGTTTTTTTTTTTATGATGGATTTTTGAGCCTGCTTGGGCCGGGAAAATTTCCAGGTGGAGGCCACATCGGAGGGTGTGAACCTTGGACCTACGGACTCTTGTCCGTGGCGGATTTTTTTGGCCATGGGAATAGTCCATAGATTCCAAGGTTGACGCGGTTGATGGAATGTGATATTGACATTATTGAAATATGAAGGATCAAAAGGTGGTATCATCAATCAACCCATCTCATATTGATATTGATGATATTGATGATATTGATGATATTGATGATCCCTGTTGGTATCCTGGTTCATCTAGCATTTTAGGATATTTTAGGACATCCAATGAGAGTGTTCCGTAATCCAAGTGCTTGGAGAGACAGCAGATGATCGACGTGGTGATCCTCCGGTGCTGCAATCCCCAGCGGCGATTCTGGGAAAATGATGAGAAACTGAGAAACCAATGGATTTGGCACCATATTTTCAGACAAACTCAAATGATGTGACACTTGAAATGACTTGAACTACTCTAGGGTTTTTCCGTGGCACTGAGGTATGTAATCAATGACACAGTGGCCATTGGCTCACTGGAGGCTAGGAGATGCAGAAGTGCATGTGCCTGGTGGTTTCCATATGTTCATTTTCATCCCTGGGGCCCTCAAGATGGAGAGAACTTTCACGAAATGGAAGGTGATGAACGGCCATGTTGACCATTGACTGGGCACAGCCTCCTACCAATGGGCTTGTTCTCTGTGACCTTCTGGATCATGATCATGATGACGAGTGATGACGATGCCGCGCCTTTTTTTGTTTGATTGCTTGATTTCGTCTTTCAGAAGCGGCCGCAAATGCTGCAACTGCAGCTGCTTTTGGGCTCCAGCAAAAGGAAGAATCCAGTGTCAATGTGAATGACCAGGTTTTCGATCAGACTGCGCACATTTCAGGGACCATCCTGTTTTGACGTCGACAGTTGTCGCACCCGCTGTCTTTTCACCCCTCGCCGGAGCCGCTGGCCCACGATGGCAGAGATGGCTGCCCGGTACTTACTTAGCGTGTTCGTAGATCTGATCTGCATCAGTGGTGCATGATAGGATCTGTGATATGAACATACGCTAGCATATATTAACATACGTATATCAACATACATCAAGATAATCACATCAAAATATATTAATAGATATATTCAATATTCACAGCCTTCATGGACTTCATGGCTGAATTTTCATGACCAACCTTTGGGCCTTTGGGTTCTCGTCTACCAGGGTTATTTCCTTCCCCAGATTTGACCACGGATTACCGTCATTTTCATTCATTTCCCAAAACAAGTGCCAGGAAATGGGGGTTAATCCACCATTTCCAGACACAAATAGTTAGTTGGTTGTAAGATTAATCACATGTATGTACAATATGTATTTAACATGTCATATCATATCATATTATATAATATATAATAATATATCATAACATATCAATATTGTATCATAATATATCACAATATATCATAATGGAACAGTATGATATCTTCTGATATATTATAATAAACAATCATAATGGCAATATATTACAATATATCATAATGTTCCATTATGATATATTGTAATATATTATAATATATTATAATATATTAGGAAATTTTAGGATATATTATGATATATTAATATATTGTGATATATTATGGTATATTATAGTATATTGAATATTGTGATAATATTCCATGAAATACACCCATGAAGTATCCCAGAAATTTTCATCCTTCCCCCCTTATGATCGTCTCTTGCCGGTCCTCAGGCGCCATCGAAAGGTCAAGGGTTGAGCGCCACAGGGTACTATGATCCCGCTCGAATCGAGGCGCAGAGCACTGAAACCTGGGAAGCACTGGCTTTCAGCCATCAGTTATGATGGTCATATGGTCATTGGGACCTACCATGGTGTGTTTTTTTTTTTTGCCACACTTTTTTTTTCTCCGGAAGGTGAGGAAAAAAGGGGTGAGGAGATTCGTGATGTGATAAGGTTGCCATGTCCAGGAGCTCTAGAACTTCCCAATGAGGACTAAAGAGATAGACAAGTGAAGCTTACACATGATTTTTCAATGAAGCTTCCAGGAACTCAGGTGACATCTCATACTCTCATTCTTTGAGGGGGCTCCTGAAAAGTGGAAGAGTTCATAGCAACAGAGGGACAACAGGGGCACTTCATTTTGGGCCAGGTGATGCTGAAATCTCAGTTGGCGTGGGTCCCAGATGCCAGAGATCAGTGTGAAACTCCTGAGTTTTTGCCGGTGGGATATGCTGGGATGATATTCATGGGATAGCAATGGATATTTTCATGGATATTTCACGAATATTTCGTGGATACTGTATGTCACGGATATTTCACAGATATTTCATGGATATTCTGTAATAGCAATGGATATGAACGGATCCTAATGGATATTTAATGGATGTTCATGGATGTTTGGAGCTAGAAGCTCGGGCGCAAGGCTCATCATATCTGCGGACACGAATAAGTATTGAATAGCTTGCTCATTACAAGAGGTACTCGTCCAAAGTCAAGCATGGCAACGGGAAATCCACTCTAAACCGGCGAAAATCACTGGGAAAATCACGGGCAAACCATGTTTGATGACCTGAGGCTACGCATAATTACCCAAGTGCCCCAAGTGCCCCCAAGTGGTCAGCTCCAACGCCTAAAACCTCAGGCGGAATTGTACGGAATCATTGCCAACTACAACAGGAGCGCAGGGTACGACTGAGATGGATTTTTTTTGGGCTCCAGTAAACATACCCTCTGGTAAACTAACATAGCTATTGAAAATGGTGATTTATAGTGGATTTTCCCATTAAAAATGGTGATTTTCCATAGTTATGTTAAATTACCAGAGGGTACAAACATCCTCGAAACAAACGATCCCTGAAACCGTTTGCAGTCTTCAACCATCTTAAACCCTGGAAGATAAACTGAGCAGATTGTGGTGAAGACAAACAACATCAAACAATTCGATAGTAGAGATACTCCACAAAGTTGCCCATGTCCAGATCTGGCAAACAGTCGCGTGATATTTTGGTGTCCAAGAAACTTAGACATCTCCAAGTTAAATGTGCTAGGAAAATGATCTATGATGTTGCTGCTATCCATTCAATGCCATTAAATTATACCGGGCACATCCAGGATGCCATGCCCCCCACTGAAAGGAAGACCATGGACTTCTGTATGCACCACTACGAAACCTGCAAGCAAGCGGAAATGGAAAACCATGAGCTGCGGACCAGGCGATGACGGGCCAGAGAAGATCCGTAGATTTCTGCATGTCGTACACTTATGAATCCAATGAATACAGGTTTAACATACAGTAAATGGATGGTATAGACTATAGACCATCAACATATGGGTGGTTTATTATTGCTTTACTAAGATAGTACATACTGCTCCGACCAACAATCATGGAGTCATCGAATTGGTCTTCGGTTTGAAGCTGCATGGAAATTGGCATCTCTTAGCCAAGATACACTCTACCCAGTGTTCTCCTGCAGACCGGCCTTTCTTCATAATACATTTACCGCCATGTTTGGATTTGGATGACTTGGGGTGGTTGGATTTTTTCCCAGATTTATCCATCTATGCAAGCTGGATATAAGCGGGGTTGCTTGAGTTGCTTGGAGGATTTCCCGTTGTTTTTTATTTTGTTGCCAGAAAAAACAATGATCCCTGAAGGCATCCACAACCAGAAAATGCAATATGATGGTAAACATATGTTAGGATATGTATATATACGTATATATATAATTATAAATATAATTATATATATATATAATATGTAAATATCATATTCCAATTTCAGTCCAGGAATCTTCACCTACTTTTTTCCAAAAATTATCCCATCGCTACCATTGGGACCATTGGATAGCAGCTCGCCACGTCAGGCTGGCAGTGGTCAGGGACAGTGTGTCAGCCAAGGGGCACAAGGCAGACCCTTTGCAGACGCTGATGTCACCGGCTCAGAGGGCAGCCCATGGGTAAAGCATCACCAATGACTCACCTGAAATATCTGAAATGGATGGTTTTCTGGCATTGGGTTGACATTCAATGGGTTATAAACTGTTATAAATTATAACTACCCTCTGATTATTTAACATAGCCATGGAAAATGGCCCATGTATAGATGGTTTACCTATTAACAATGGTGATTTTCCATGGCTATGTTAAATAACCAGATGGTATTTGAAAATGGGATGCAGGTACTACTCGGTGGGATGATGCCTGAACTATTGCTGATCAGTATATACATGGGTACCTGAGCAGTATCAGACAGCCCAGGGTTGGTGATTGGGGATTATCATGCATTTTGGAGGGACCAACATCTAAGAACCACAAAAACGCAGGTTTTGGTCCATTTTTTACTGCACACGTGGTAAACCATACCATTTTGGGTGCTAAATTTCACAAACCTAGTACTTTAACTGGAGACTTGTACTTTATCCTGTGGCCATAAGAAAGAAATACCAACCATGATTATTTTGAGGTTTGGAAATATATATGCTGCCTCAACAGGCATGCCCTGAATTATGCAGAGAGAGCTTTCAAGGGATGATAAAATATGAGAAATATACCTCCTATCATTTGCCCAGGAACTCAAGCCCGTGCTTTGCGTCATTGGATAATGAATTCAAATGTACATTTCCATCATGAGAACTGTAGCTTTGTTTTTCAGCCATAAACCTAGTTATTCCTTGGTGTCATGTGCCAAAAGTTAAAGTACAAGTCCCAAAGTTAAAGTACAAGTCTCAAAATTTTGAGACTTGTACTTTAACTTTGGGACTTGTACTTTAACTTTTTGTATGACAGAATTTGGGAAAAATACAAAAAAAAGTTTTTTTTTTCTCAAATCTGCATACAAAGTAGCTAAAGTACACCTGTACTTTGACTTGTTGTAGGGCAGATTTAGGATTTTTAGCTATTTTTTCTGTTGTTTTATCCAAATTATGTCATGCACAAAGTTAAAGTACAAGTCCCAAAGTTAAAGTACAAGTCTCAAATTTTGAGACTTGTACTTTAACTTTGGGACTTGTACTTTATTTTTTTCTTTTCCAAATCTATAATGCTGACTTGAAACAATTGCTTGTTGAGATCAACTTTGTGTGAAATTTCTACACGAATCGGCTGTGCGACACTGATGACAGAAGTCGAAGGAGTGAAACAGCAAAACTGTAACGCACACACACACAAGTAAATCAACTATATACTTTTCACATATCAATTGTACAGTAACTCAAGGCAGTTGGCTCAGCTTTGAGGTCATTCACATGGCATCATTGGAATCGATAGGTTTTTATTTTTTCATTTTATATAAAATATATAAAGTACTAGGCAGAAACTTAAGTACTTCACCGAACCTGGTTTGTGAAATTTAGCAATTTTGGGGTACCCAATTCCAAGCCACACACCATTTTTACCAGCATCCATTTTTTCCAGCTCAAAGTTCAAGCTATGGATGTTGGTTATTCATTAAACATAATCCCATTGTTGAGGCACCCAATTTTGTCTCATAGCGTCAGGATCCTACCACCTTTTCCAACCCCTGGCCCATGACGCATCGACGCATCTGTAGGTCTCGACAGCATGTGCAGGACAGATGGAGGGAGAGGGACCAATATTATCCCAACAAGCCAGTCCCAGAATTGGGGTTTCATAAATGTTTGCGCCACCCCTAGTTGGATGGTACAACGGGTATAGTTTCCTGTGATTTTGCCCGTTTCACTCCACACAGTGACACTTGATTCAATCAGATTGTGTGCTTGCTGTTCAGATTCCATTTGTCCTTGTTGAAGTCACTACTATTATTGATCACCCCCTTGAAGACTAATCGTTTGCCAGACCCTGTTTTTGGGATTGCGTGTTAGCTTTCATTAAGCCACATTGAACGGTTCATCCCTAGTACATAGCCATATATAGCCATTAAATCCTTATTAAATCATATCAAATCATGAAATCTCAGCCGGAATCCCCACATTTTGAATCAGCACATCATGAGATCATCATCTAAATCGCCACGAAGTCGCCACGAAGTCGCCAGGCCACGAAGTTGTTGGTGCGCAAGGACTGCGAAGCACGCAGCGCCACAGCGGAGAACGCCCTGCTGAGGGATCAGTTGATGCAGACGACCAGGCCGGAGAAGCTGAGGGAAGGCCTTACCAAAGTGGGATTTCACTGGACAAGAGGATTTCAAAAGAGAAAATGATGGAAAATGCTGATTGAAGCAGAAAACGATGGGGATTTGAAGCAGCTTTCAAGCTGGTTCAAATGAGGTTTTGATGATGATGATGATGATGATGATGATGATGATGATGATGATGATGATATATATATATAATAGTAAATGAGACATAAGCCAAGATATGACTGGGATATGGTTAAGAAAACGGGAATAATCTGGATACGGGATACATTTGTATATTAGGTCTGGGTAAATTGGAAACGCTTCACGTCGCAACGTTACTGTAAATTGTGCTTATAGTTCTTAACGGGATTTATTCCCTAGTGGCGGAACTTTTCAGGGCGGTGAATGATTATATAGCATAAGCATAACTTATCCAGACAAGTCAAACATAAAGAGCTTAGATGGAGGTGATTACCATCTGGTAAACAAACATAGCTGGATAATCACCATTTATGAGAGCGGTAAATCAACTATAACTGGCCATTTTCGCTATGTTAAACTACAACGGAGGCCATTGGCTTTGCCAGCCGGGTGACCAAACCAAAAAAGCCTCCCGAGGGCTTATATAAATGGATTTCGACAGAAGTGGGAACAATCATAGTGGAAAATATTATGATGGATTTATAAATGAAAACAAACAATTATATAATGGGAATCATATAATAATAATAAAATTCATAGTGGAAATCATTATTATATATAATGTTTTTTTTCGTTCAACAACAGGGCAGTGAACTTACCTACAGGATATATTGTTAGTGGTGGGAAAACACGATATGTTGTTATTAAAATCTCAGGGATGTTGGGGGTACTCTAGCCGATTTCTGGAAAAAATACCTATGAAGATTGGGGTGTCACGTCTTGTAAAGCCAAATACCTCCCAAACCATACTGCTAGTAGCTTTACATGCTTTCGCATCATTTTTGCCATATGCTTAGTTCTAGATGCAAATATATAGACCCAAATCATGCAGAGTTTACCATTGGTTTTACCAATGGTAATCCAAAATGTTGATGGTCGAGACCAACAGTTCAAAATGGCGCAGACATTCGCAAGGCGTTTGAGATGACATATGGGTATACAATGATTACAATGGGAACTCTGCAGCATTTAGATGGCAAGATTCGGCAAGATCATCTATACATGGTGGATTTACCATGTTTGATTGCCAGAGGGTATTATTCAAATCGCCATCAGGTTTTCTTTAACAATTTTTATATATCCCTGTGCAACAGGCGAGTTATGCTGCGGTATTTTTTTCCCGAGCAGATGCGTTTTTCCAGAAAGTAAGGCCCATAGAGGTTCTCTAGACACATTGGCATCATTATGCATCATTATGCATCATTATGCATCATTATGCATCATTATGCATCATTATGCATCATTATGCATCATTATGCATCATTAGCTTTTGTCATGGGAGACCCAAATCGGTTAATATGTGGATATACGGTAAATCCTGTTACCATGGACCCTCATTACATGTCCGAGACCAGCACATCCTTGGATCTTGGAGTTCCCAGGGAAGCAGACCGGCTTTACCACCAGTCCTTGAACGATCCCTTGGATCCCGGCTGCGTCAATGCCTGTTTTTTCCAGCTTCACATCATTGAAAGCAGCTCGCTGAGCTGGGCAGGACATGTGGTTGGAACAAAGCCAGATGTGCCAGTTGTGCCAGTAGTGAACGTCGCGAAGGCTTGAAGAAGGCCATACCTGGCAGAGCTTGGTGCAATGACGGGCGAGAGTTTGTGCCCGTGACTGTTTCTGAAGGGCCTGTGCCAGTCGGTGCCTCTGCCGGTGGTAGAGATATAGTATGGGAATGCATTGGCTGTACTTTTTTGTTGGACGTTTGTCACACATACTCATGTCTTGCTTGAGAGAAGAAACAACTCATCACAAAAGTCGGTTCTGTAGGAAATGGATGGCTTTCTTGTCGTCATCTCAAAGAGCAAACAGGCAATGGACAGTCAAATTGTAGATGTTCTGTGATCTTTTACATTGTTTTACCATGTTTTTACCCCTTTGCACTGGGGTCAAGAGAATTCCATATTCACAAATACATTAAAGGTATGGTTGGCCTAGTGATATGTTCATGTACACGCATAATATGCAGTATATGCACATACTATACAAAAAATATTTATTGTATATTTATATAGACATATACTGACAGCCTGATTGCATCGCGGTTCAGGATGGTGCACCAGTTAGAGGAGGAACGTCGAGCTGTGACGGCAGATGCCAGTCCTCATATGTACCTGGGCTACAGGGAGATGATCGAACGTGACTGGCTGGGAGTTTAATGGGAAGCTATGCTGGCTGGATGTTCCATTTTCACGTTTGATCACTGGAGGGCACATGTATTTGGGATGTATTTGTATATGTGTATTGAATTGTATATATATAGAGTATATATATATATAAAGATACATAAAAGCGATTACAACCTTTAACGAGCACCCTGCTTTCGCCAATAGTCCGAGTAATCATATATATATACACATACATATTATTAATAGATATAAAATATATAACATATAATAGATATTTTAATATGTTATAATATATTATAATATATTATAATATATTAAAATATAAAATATATTATAATATAATATATAATATATATAATATATAATATAAAATATATAATATATAATATATGATATATAATATATGATATATAATATATGATATATAATATATTATATATAATATAGAATATATAACAGATAATATATAATATAATATATATATATATATATAATATATGATATATGTAATATATATATATATAATATATATATATAAGATTATATATATATATAATATGTTATATATAAAAGATACTATAATTAATAATATACAGTGTATATATATAAATACCATACTATACATAATGTAATATGCATACATAAGATACTATATAGATATAAGAGATAATGCATATACATATAATATAGTATAGTATATAGTATATAATATAAAATATGATATACTATATAATATACAATTTATAATATATAATATATAGTATATAATATATAATATATAATATATAATATAGAATATATAATATATAATATAGAATATATAATATATAATATATGATATATGATATATAACATATAATATATAGTATATGATATATAACATATAATATAATATATAACATATAATTTATGATTTATAATATAATTTAATATTAATACAATATAATATGATATAATGCAATATAATATGATATAATATAATATATGATATAATATAATATAATATAATGTACATATACATATATATATATACATACATATATATACATATATATAATATTTGAATATATGTAAATATCCAAAAATCTTGGCGCCCTGTGGCTGTTTTTTGTGCCAACGTCTAGAGATAGGCCAGAGACCATCTTCCGACTATTTGACCGTGCCTTTCTTGTTCCGATGTGGGGATTGGTGAAACCTATGATACCAGCTATGTTGCTGTTAAACCCAGGGATTTGATGGCCATACATGGGGTGTGTACCCCGTTTCTGGACAAAGTCCTGGTTCATTCATCGAGAACATGATGGGTTACGAATTTGGCAAACCCAATCATAGACTCAACATCTATTGCAAAGAAACATAAAGCACATTTGAAAAAAACATGCCAACATTATTACCATCCCCAAAGAGGGACATTAAAAAACGATGTAAATCTCAATGTACCTGGACAAAACCCTGGGGTTTGTCTGAACAAGTAAGGGAACACGCCAAAAAATCCATTGTTGATCATCTAAATCTGGAGAACAAGAAAATTCACCATGATTTATCATGATTTCCCTGGGGTAAAACCAATTCACCATGATCAACCATTAACCACAATTAACCAGTATGATTAACCACCATGGCTTTTCCTTGACCTTGGCATTACGAGGTCCTTGGACGAGATTGAAAATTCACCTCCTTCCCCTGCGGGCACTGTGGCATTGGGCAGGCGGGGGTGGGTGGGTTGAGAGCCATGGAGGCAAGAAAAGCATAAAAGAACACATAGAAATATATAGGAAAAACCATACAATACCTAATGTATTTGGGGTTATAACTAACCCAGGGTTTCTTGTATTTTTTCCATAAACCAATCCGTTGACTTTTTTTGGGATTTCAGTGTTAATGGGAATCCTTGCCCAACAAATATGAGGATTAAAATGGGTGTTTATCATAACTAGGCAAGAACAGTTGGAACTTTAATCGTTGACCGAAAAGTATCATCAGATATAGGGATTGAACCACCAAAAATTGAGGCTTTGACCGTCACCGACGATTTTTGAGCTGCTGCGATGTTGCATGAATTTTCAAACTTGACGACGGCCCAAAACTAATCCTTCATGGTTCATTTCAGTTCATCGGCAAACCAAAGAGTTTGGGGTGCCCCAATCTTTGAACTTGTCCATGTTTCTACACCAAGCGCTGATAAAATCTTGTCCCTTACTGACTTAATTGTTGCTCCTAGATTTCAGGTAATCAGGTAATCAAGTCCCCTAAGACCGAATACATTTTGACCCAGAGCCATTGAACCATGGCAACCCGAAGTGTGAGGTTATACCATCAAGTTACAGACAAAATGTAAGTGTAGGATGTTGTACATACACAAATTCTGTTCGGCTGAGCAAAGAGACGAGCATACGTCTGTGCATAATATGTATATTAACATATACGATGTGCATTCAACATGCATAATATAGCATATATCATATACCATATATAATATATAATATATCATATATCATATGTCATATGTCATATATCATATATCATATGTCATATATCATGTATCATATGTCACATATCATATATCATATATCATATCATATATATATATACATATACGTGTGTGTATATATATATATATATGTATATGTATAGTATGTACACATCAGATATATTTATACACATACATAATATATATATATATCATACATGTATGATACCATACACATAGAGATTTCGTTGCGCGAGGCCGTTGTCATCTCCCAAGGAGGCCTTTGAAAGCAAGGCCGCAGAAATCTGGGGAAATGACGAGAGTTTCCTCCCATAGAGAATGGGGATTAAACCAAGAACTAAGTTTGGGGAATTACGGCTCGAAAACATTGGGACACCTTGGTTTGGGGTAGTTGAACATAGTTTGATATTTTAGACAATTGTTTTTGCCATTTTGATGGGGACATAGATTAACCGTGATTAACCAGAGCCTTTCAAAGTCATCAGCTTTCTGATATTTCTGGCAGTTGGGTCCCAGGCTGCGTCAGCATCGCTGTCCAATTTGTCAACTGCCAAGATCCTTGTCACTAGCGCTGGTGATGACTGAGACCTTTCGGAAAAGATTTTCGAAGAGTTTTGTTCACTCCAAAGCTTGTGTCTTTTAAGGATTGCGCTCCCATTTAGGATTTATTGCTGTAGATGATGAACATCTCCAGAAGATCAGGAAGTTCCACAACGCTTTGAGCTCTTGCTCCGAAGTTGGTCATGCAAGCTCCAAGCGATGATTTGCGGGACACAACATAGCTTGAAGAGGTTTTTCCAAGAGTGGGATGCGCCCAAAACAGCCCAGAGATGACGGAATTGGTTGGGATCACTTTTCCGATCTCAAACCACTATAATGTAGGCTGCCTAATAGTAAATCCCCCCCCTAAATAAAATAATTATTTTAACAAATTTAGGGGGGGGTCAGCATTCCAATAGTAAATTTTTGGAACCTTATAGCTGGGATCATGGAAGTGGGGGCAGAGGTGGTGGAGGCGAAGGATGAGGACGAGGAGGAGGAGGAGGAGAAGAAGGAGAAGAAGGAGAAGGAGAAGGAGAAGGAGAAGGAGGACAACAAAATTGGAGTTGCGGAAAAAAGTTTCCACTATTGCCATGCATGGTGCAGGTTTGTTATTGCTATTCTGGGGCTTGCAAAGGGGGTACCCTTTGTGGACCTGTTTTCTTGCTTTTTTTAATAGGGGTTTTATAAGGAAATCAGCTGTTTGGTAATTGGATCAGATTTCTGGAATCTAAGCTTTTGCTAATCAAAAGTGAAGGCTGCTTTGAAAAGGATTTTCTTTTGGCAATACTAAAAGTAAATGGAGCTAATTGACTTTTAGTATTGGAGAAAAAATTGGGGTTGGGAAAAAAGTTTCCACTATTGCCATGTTGGGTCCACTATTGGCCATGCCCTCTGGACAAGGTCTGAACATGACTCTTTTGGCAATACTAAAAGTAAATGGAGCTAATTGACTTTTAGTATTGGAGAAAAATTGGAGTTGCGTAAAAATGTTTCTACTATTGACAAGATATCACTATTGGCTAGACAACATTATTCTTGATGTTTAAGAGGCTTGAGGCCCTCAAGAAGTGCATGTAGCTATATATATATGTATGTATATATAGGTATATATATGTATATGTATATATATATGTATGTATATATATGTATATATGTATATTATGTATATTATGTATATATGTATATATGTATATATGTCTATATGTCTATATGTATATATGTATATATGCATGCATATGCATACATATGCATACATATGCATACATATACATACATGTGCATACATATGCATACATATGCATACATATGCATACATATGCATACATATGCATACATATGCATATATGCATATGTATATACGTACATATATATATAACACTGATACGTATGCATATGTATGTGTATATATATATATATATTATACACATATTGTATAGTGATAGCAATAACAATACTGTCATAACAGGACTGATCATAACAACAACAACGACGATGACGACGACGATAACAACGTGAACCATTCCTAAGAATAATGATAACAACGATCATAATGATAATACTAGTTCTGACAATAAACAACGATACGTACATTCATATGCAAATATATCTACACTAATATACACTTTCATATACATATACATATGTATACATACGCATGCATACATGCACATGTACAGAACTTACGATTAATCGTTCCAAACTATTCTCCTTTTTAAGCGCTGCCTCCGAGGAACGCCTTCTCCATGCCAGCCCGCAGAGGTATCCAGGGGACTTCTCTTACTGGGGATTTAACCCACCAAAATGGGGATTTAACCAACGAAAACGGAGATTCAACCCACCAAATTTTGAAAGAAAGGGCTTTTGGGATGGGAATTATGGAGTGGTTTAAGGGAAAATCTACCAGAACACCACCCCAAAAATGACTATACTTTGGGGTAAAAACACCATGATCTTTTCCCTTAAATCAATCCATTGACCATCAACGCATCAACCATCAACCATCAAACATCATTTGTCATTTATATTCCCATATGTTGATGGTTAACATCACTGTATATGTCATCTTTATGATGGTCCATCTTCCATGGCAAGGAACGAATTTTGCTCAGCTGCTGTGCTGTGTCAGGTGATTTAGTGCAGGAGATCAAACTGCCGGGTCAGCCTTTCGACGACGGAGCCATCTTTCGT